AGATGATGCCCCGTTGTTGGAGGAGCGTTGGGGCTGTTCTGACAATATATGCAATCAGCAAATCTGCGTTGCTGCAGAGGCCGCTGAACTCACGGCCACTTCAATATTTGGGCAAGATTTCATTCCCGCTCTACCTAGTCCACCCGACAGTCTATTTCGTTCTCAAATGGCCTGTTCGAGACTTTCTGTGGTGGTCGATTACAAGAACGCCTTATCCTGGTACTACTGAGGCGAGCAAAGATGTTCTGCCGTTTTCTATGGTTTGGATAGGAACCATGCTCTTGTTGGGTGTTGTTATGGTGGTGGCATCTGAACTTTGGAATCGCTTCGTTGATATGAAGTGCCTAGTGCTTGCGAGGACATTCGAAAAATGGGTTTCATGTTAGCAGAATGCACCACAAGTCAAAGGCATACGATCAGTAACATTTGACATGACCGACACATCTCTTGTCAACAGTTTTAATAGTATGTAATGCACAATATATTAGACACAAACAACTTTTATGACTTCCTATATGTCCTCCTGTGACAAAATATTCAAATGACCCCCGCAGAAAAAAATATCACAGACGCCGTTATGCAAGAACCCAAAAAGAATCAGATCATCCCGAGTTTCATGAAATGGGTATACATCATAAATCCTTCGATTACTCCTTCTTGGCCTCGGCCTCATCCTGCTCATAGCCCTCAGTCTTCATGTCTGTCAGACCGAGGTCATCCTCCTCCTCGGCAGAACGGGTGTATTCCTCAGTAGTGATCTGGGGGTCGACAGCCGGGCTGCAAATATCTTGAACGTAAGAGGAGGCCATCGGGTCTTGCAATGTGATGGTGAACTTGAGCTCGCCGCTGATAGCCTGGTCGAGACGGCTGAAGAATCGTTGCCACTTATCCTTATCAGAAGAGACCATACTGTCACCTCCAGAGCGTGTGGAATCGTCAACGTCGAAAATGGCACCCTTCAACTGATCCCTGATCTCAACTAGCAATCCTTCAACAGTGGTGAAACGTCCACCGAGCGTTCCTGGTTGAACGTCGAGGTCAAGTTCAGGACTGTAGAGTCCTGCTGAGTCACTCTTGAGAATATCGCGAGAGAGATCAACCTCGTTATTCACCTGGAGAGTGATACGCTTGCCCTTCTCGGGCACCTCACCACCGGTCTTAATTGCAGACGATTTGTAGCCGCAGTGTCCACAGTTGGTACCAAACAGCAGAACCTCCTTGAAGTAAGGAATGTTGACTTTCTTAATGTTCACCTCAGCTTCCTTATTACAACCGGGGCACTCGGCAGGAATAGTGTAGACCTGGCCATCAACGATATCGAGATCATCTGGGTCTCCAGCATCGAGCTGAGCTGTGTCCTCTTGCTTGACGGCATTTGCATCTGCAGAAATTCCCAACTCCTCATTCTGTTCGTGGGTACGTGGGTATTCACGGCGCGTGTACTTGTTGCCACGGTCGGCGCTGTTGGGCGCAATCCATGAATTTCCAGTGAGGTCATCGAGGGAGATAGTGAAGGGGAAAGCGTCCTCGCGGTTCATAATCTTCTCAAGACTGGCGATGATAGGCACAAGGGCATTGTAAAGTTCAGGAGCTTGCTCTTTACGGAGCTCTTGCTCTCCTGACAAATTTTCATGAATGAGTTGAACCACTAGAGACAAGGTTAGCGTCTTGAAATTGATTCCTATTATATTGGGCTTCACGTACTGCCTTCCACATTGGTCAGCTGGCCAGTTCCCTTGGGAACTTCAATCTCATTGCCAAGCTTAGTAGTAAGTTTGAAAGCTGAAACATCGCTGCGGATGACTTGGCGCTAAAAGATTCAGTTAGCTTGAGCGGCAGATAATCGATTATAGCAGGAGATGGATACCTGAAGATCCTCCTCATTCTCGACCCTTAAAGTGTAAACAGTTCCACGCTCCTGGATCTGACCGGCCGATTTGATCGAGTTGTTCTTGAGGAAACAATGTTCACATTCAAAACTCTCCAGAATGATGTCTCTGAAGTAAGGGACTCGGAGCAAAAGCAAGCGTGTGACACTAATTGAAGTTGAAAGTTAGAAATAGCAAAACATGGAAACTAGATGGTAGAAACGAACCCCTGCTCGTGGCAGTTCATGCAAAGTGAGTCTATTGTCATTGCGCCGGTGTCCTCATCGCGCTCTACAAGATCGCCGGGTTTTTGGAATTGCGATTCAAACTGGGCCTCAAGGGCATCATTATCGGCTTTGCTGACCATTGTATAGGATATGTTTGTGAAAATTGGAGAGAAATAATGTGAAGTCTGGGAAATATGAAAAAAGGCGAAGAAATGTGTATTGAAGCAAGAAATTCTTATCGCAAAAAATTTATCGGAGCCACGGGAACATTCCTTCTTGTTCTGCGCGGGGCAGTGAGGGGCTGACAAAGAGGGGGATGACATAATCCAGTTATGCCATGAATATTTGCGACCGCCCTCTGTATTGGTGAGCGGTGAGGTTGATAGCTTTAGTGACGTCTCGATCTATGGAGTACATTGGTGTAGATCTTCATGTACAATGTACATCATGCATTGTGCATGGGTCTAGCTAGCTTCGAAATCCCTTTCCCTTGGTCCCATATCCACTCAAACACCAGAATCTGGAGATATAGGTAGTTAGCATCATCTTAGAATAGGGGGGTTTTCGGGGGTACTTATAAGAAAAAAAAAGTGGCCGTTTCCACCACCGAGGTAGTAGAAACGGCAGTCCACCAGCAATCGTCTGGCCAGAGCATTCTGCTCCCATGTAGAGAACCATCATTGGCACAACGCCCAACTCACAATGTCAATACAATAGTTCCATAGCGGTACAGAGATCGCCCGATTTCCCATTCGTCGCTTTTCAGTTCACCCAATCAGGCAATAGGGACGAGCCTCGGCCGGGAACGCGTAGCAGCAGATGAGCATCGTAGACAAGCCAAAGCTTTGATCCTCACTCGAGAGAGGTCCCACGTCACCCACTGCATGACGCATACACGTTAGAACCAACCAAGGGCATCGCCCCCATGCCGACCGGAAGTGGGCTGATAAGTCAAAGCGTTCGAACGATACAAACGGTACGTTTCTCCGACCAGAACAATTGCAATCAATCGAGAGACATGGGGCGAGCATCAAAGTCAGGTGCAGACAGGAGTTGAGGAATGTCTGGGACCAGACGACAACCGATGAACAGAGCCCACGAACCCACAAAAGCCCACACAGCCTTCACAAAGACAAGCCAAACTTTAAACTTGGTCGAGACACAGTAAGCTCAACCGAATCTGCTTAACGGCCATCCATCTCCGCAAATTCAGTCAACTCGCCATTGTTTCACCGATACCGTCGCGTGAGCTTGAAGCCGAGTCTCTTGTGTGTGGTACAGTACCCTTTGGGACAGGTTTTTGTTTCCTCCCCCGGTTGACCCGAAGACCTTGCAGGAGGGCATGTTATGAAGCGGACAAAGAACATCCAGAAAAATCGCTCCCTTCTTCCCGAGGGAAGGAACAATGATGGTAGTCATTGTTGAAGTCGGCGCCCATCGATCTATTCACAAACTACTTTGCGAAGAGATGGTTAACACGGTCGGTCGTGATCTTCTGACGAAGTCGAATCGGTGGCGGGTGCCGTGATCCGAGGCCCCTAGCCGCCTATGGGGCGTAGGAATAACAGAACCCAAGAAGGTGAAACGCAGGGGCAAGATCCCCAGGGATCCTGGAATAGGAAACATGTTCAGGAGCAGACAGTTGATGCTAACAGAATTGACGAGAGAACACAGGCAAATAAGTCCGAAAAACACCAAATGGCTTGGGGGGAAATTTGTTGCCATCCGGAACGAGCCAACAGTTCGCAATCTCCGATGCCCTCCTGAGATGAACATCGAAGAATCATAGTGCAGCATAACCAAAGAACCTCGCGACAATTTCAACTGTGAAAATGCCTGGGCAATTTTCAGGGAGAGGAAGGTTGATTCCGGCGAGTGGACCCTTTGGATATGCTGACACCATGACTGTGTGTAAGGATACTGCTGTGTTCTAGGCAACAAATCTCTGAGCCAAGCTATTTGATGCCCTAGGCCATTCGAGACTTGAATGTCGCATTCAATCGCCATTTGGTCGCGCTGTCGTAGTTGCTCCTAAAGGTGACATCTAATACCGAAGTACCCGACATGCTTCGCCCGCGTTCTCTTCTCGTTGAACTGATATCCGAGGCATAGGGTGACCATCTGTTTGTGACCGGCATGCAATGTCCAGCATTGGTAAACCGACGCGGTCTCCGTTTGGATAACGCATAGTAAACCGTCTTTTGTGCCCAAAGGCTCTGGCTAGTTCGAATCTCTTTCGCTTAATCGGACCATCACAGTCTGTTTCAGCTAATCGTATGATCCGGCATGCACAATCCGTGAGACTGTGTCCGTGAGGACATTGAACCGGAGAGGGCTTAGGGCTTGGCTCCAATATCTTCTGCACCGAAACGATACAAATCGCCCGAGGGCAAGACATATGTGATGGTTCGCCATTGAAGGCAGCAGACGAAAAGGAGGTTCGAAGGGTTGATCTGTACATATGTGCCTTGGAAGGCAAGAGACTTGAGTGGCTCCACACCCAGGAAACGGTCGCGGCGAAACTCCGGCACGTCTGAACAGAAATTGGGTCCAATGAGTGTCGCAAAACAAGCAAGATTCAGAGTGGCTGGGGAACTGGTCAAGGCGGTTTAAATTGTCTGTTGGAAGAGTGTGAATGGGTGGTGGATAGAGTAGACGGGAGTTGGTAACGATAACATCCTGGGTTGACGTGACTACCTCAAAGCGGGCAAGCGCGACGGGCCACGAGACTGACGCGACTGCCACGTGACCTTATGTTTGTCATTGATTATATAATCAGCTACGAACGCCAAGACTGCAATTGTTCTAATCGCCGCGATTCATTTCTTAGAACTGGACAATGTTAATGAGGTGAATACCTTCATTGGCATGAATTTGGCATGATAGGATCCTATAAGTATTTATGATGGGGGGTCCACATCAAATTCGCGATGCGTTTGACATTGCTAAGAACTTTCTGACCCCAGTCCTCGATCGAGGTATGCACATTCGAGATGTTTATCCACATTTAGGTCTTTAGTGCTAACTGTCATCAAGAGGAAATACAGAAGACTCAGGGTAAATCTTTGCTGCAGATCCTGGGTCAGAATTCGGGGGATGATGATGGTGCTGGTGATGATGCTGCGAGACCAAAGGTGATCAATGGGGCTTTGGATATCTTGACCAGTCTCCACCGATCCTTTACTGTGCCTGAGGATCAACATGGATCTCTTCAATCATTTGATGAGGTTGGGGACTCGCCATCAGAAGATGCCAAGCGCCGTCGAATGCTACATGCACTGCTGGACCTGATTTCCCTGGAAGGGATATATCCTTCGCTATCATCTGGCGTTGGAATTCCACTGCAGCAGCGGGTAATCTCGGTATTACCTGCCGGTGTTATTGCAAAGCAGGCTCAAGTGGTTGCTAGCAGTGTACCGCACGATGAGCCTCTTCTGCGCCGCATAATCGACGTTTTAATTGACATTCTCTTCGACCCGAGACCAAGCCTTCAACAGATTATCCGCGGTCGTATATTGAGTGATATAATCAGTGGCATATCTGATCTTGCTTTTAATCCAAACAATACGGAGTTGCCTTACCGGGACAGATACCAGAAAGCGTTGGCTAAGCTAATTGATGAGTATGTTCGATTTTCCTTGGCTATTTCTAAGTAATATTAATAGGATATAGTACCGCAACCACTGTCTTGCTTCCTACATTGTCCGCATTTCTACAATCGGATACTGCACCGTGGTTCAAGTCAACAATCTCCAGCCAGATCTCGCACGTTCCGCTACGACCCGGTGGTGTAGTGCAAACTATCATGTTCATTGCATCGCAGTTTTCCCCATCGCTGGGTCAGGAGGCACAGGATCAATCAAATGGCCCTCGTTTGACGGTCCAGGCCATCATGCAAATCTCACGACTCCTTTCTTCTGTGCCATCGGATGTTGACCCAACTGTCTATTTTACGACAATTGCCCCCCAACTCCTAGCATTAATAGATGGTGATGACCCAGATCTAAGGAAAACCGCATCATATGTTGTCGGTAATGGAATTTTGGGGAAACGTGCTTATGGTGCTCCTGGTACTGTCGGCCACTCGATCTTTGTGGAGCCGATATTCAATGCACTTACCGCAAACCTCGATGCTAAATCAAGGCGATGGATCAGTCGCTTCACCGATATCGAAGGCTCTATGCCACACACCATGGAAGTAGATCCCACATCCAATGTCTTGGTAAATGGCGCCACGGTGTGCCTAGCTCTAAACAGACTAAGGTGCCTAACACTACAGCATCCAAATCCGGGTCTTGTGAAACGAATCGTTTATCCGATTCTTCTTCCATTATGGGGCTTGGTATGTTTCTCCAAGGAGGAAGAGCGAACCTCATTCCACGAAAACGTCTTGCCCCTGCTCCAAACGTATTTTGGCATCTCTGTTGGGGCTCAGCCCCTCAAAAAACTGGTTGATAACCTTCTTTGGGATGGGGGCGCGACATGGACATATAGTAAAGATTCCGACGATGGAGTCGCTTTACAGAAGCGGAGTGAGGAAACTAGCCAGCATTCAAATCTGATGCGACTAATTGATTCTCTGCAAGCACGCGCAGAAGTTTTCGTTAGTCTCATTGGATCGGATCCTAGCAGCGAGGAACGGACCGGTGATATTTTCCTGTATGTCAGTGAAAACTGGCTAGTACAGCCCCAGGGCTCTCCACTTGCCGGCAGCACACTGGGTGGAGGTCCTGTTGGTGACAGTGACAACATCATTCAGAAGCTTGTCAGTGCCAAGGTTGCAGAGAAGCTACTTGAGAACTTCAAGGAAGCACTAACTCGACGGCCGCTTCGAGTTTTAGAGCTTATTAAGCATGTCATTGATGGGGAGCTGCATAGACTTAGCGCCCAAGAAACGGCGAGGCGAGGGGAAATGAATAGGGTGTCCCTATCATCTTTAGCTAATATTGTGGAAACGGAGGACAAAGACAGGGAGGAATTAGGCAACGACTCCTCTGAGTCCGTTTCAACAGCCTTCAGTTTGATGTCTACACTTCTTGCGTCCGCTGACTTCTCCCCCACTGCTGAAATCCAGCCCCTCCTTTCATCTCTTAAAAAAGATCTCGATCAACTCATTCCCTTACTCCCTTCTACCCTCTCCAAACCAGCAACGACCTCGTCCATGTTGCTGGAGATTCACCTTGCCGCTGCAGACGAAGAAACCACGGTCAAGGCAGTACCATCTCATGTTCTGGATCTTGACACCCATCGTCAAGCACTTGCGAATCTCAACTCAGATCTACCGCCCGTGCAGGCCGAGGGTCTATCGCTGATTTCGAAACTGATCATGAACTCTTCACCCGTCATTGATGTGGGGTCAACCCTCACACTCCTGTTGTCAGTCATCACCGACACGTCCAAGACTGCTGGCAACGAGGAATATGCATACCTCGGCGCAATCAAGATAGTTGGTACCCTAGCATCACGTCATCCACGTACCGTCATCAAAACATTGGTTGAAGAGTATGCGGACCGAAGAGAACGACGAGGATTGGACGAAAGACTCAGAATTGGCGAGTGTCTTCTGCGAACAGTGCAGGAATTGGGTAACGCACTAGCCGGTGAGACGGCCAAAATTCTTGGTGAGACCATGGTCTCTGTTGCTGGACGGCGTGGCAACAAGCAGCGTGCACAGGAAGCTCGCAAGAAGCAACTTACTAAAGAGAAACGGGAACAGGAACGCGCGCGACGCAAGGAAAAAGAACCAGCCATGCCCGAAGGCTGGTCCATTTCATCCGGAGTAGCCAAAGCTGCTTCCGAACTCGACCTCTCGGATCTCCATTCGGACGAAGAATCCCCAGAACAATCAGCGTACGCCACAAACGTCGTCGCTGCATGGGCCGCCGGTGCATCTGCAGATGATGCCCCTGATGACCTTCGCATCCGAGCATCGGCCATTTCCATTCTTGGGTCGGCCATCAACGTCAACATCCTCGGTCTTGGCCCTGTTATTCTTTCTTCCGCCGTCGAACTCGCGCTAGCTACTCTAACCCTCGAACGCGAACCAGAGAGCGCCATCCTCCGTCGGGCGAGTATTGTCCTGGTCTTCGATATTCTCAAAGCTCTCGAGGCAGCGCGGGAGACACGCGGAAACCAGGATATCGGATTCGGCTTTTCCCTTTTGGACGACTTGTCTTCCAGTTTTGCCTCTCCGTATGGTTCCAGAATGCAGGGACAGTCGACCATCGGCAACATTCCTACCATGCTACGGACGCTCCGCTTCATTGAGGGCAGTGAGTCGGACGGGCTCGCCCGTGCAAATCTGCGCGCTTTGATAGAAAGTTTGGAGGCGTGGTCGGAAAAGTCTTTGATGTGGGGTATTGGTGCCCAGGACAGTCAAGATGCCTTCAACCCACAATTTGGACTGAGCGACCGCATCGCTGGTCTACAGGTTGATCCTATGGCCGGGGGAACCACTGGACGCCCTCGCATCGAGGAGATTGAATGAAGCAAATGGCGGCAACACATCGGTCCTCTACGATACATAGAACATTTGAAGCTCACAGTTGATCCAATGATTACCATTTCCCGTGATGAATATTTAAGGTCCATCCAATATCAAATAGTAGTATGTAAGGATGGGGCTAGCTATACTCTTTTGACTATCCGTAATTCTGCTTCCCTCACATGTCCAATTAGGGAACCAGCTCATATCAACAGCCAATCAGCCATCTAATTGCCTGTTTCTATCAGCATCATTGGTCTAGTGGTAGAATTCGTCGTTGCCATCGACGAGGCCCGTGTTCGATTCACGGATGATGCACATCTTTTTTGTTTTTATTTTTCTACTCCCACTACATTTTTCTATTATTTTTATGTTGAATGAAATGTTGAAAATACTAGCCTGTAAAAATTAGTATTCTTTATATGTTAACTACTTCTGACCTGTAGTTACAAGATTAAACGAAGTAGTCGAATCTGAATGATGCTGGTTATATATAAATGGCCCGACCAACATGGAATGGGAAAATTGTTGCTCGGAAAGAGATGACAACTTAGATGAAAGTGAGGGAAAACTCTTCGCTAGTTTAATACATGGCTGGGCTATGCACAAACAGAGAGAACTATTCTATCATGTCACTACATGATATGAAGAAATCCAGGTCAATGGGATCTCTTGACCGATGAAGGAACATATCCTCTGGCCACTGTGTGGATTCATAACTTCGTGTACATACGTGAGCAGAGCAAGACAAAAGAAATTGGTAAATTTTATTCCATCCTCTTCCTCACTTGGAAACATTCTCACCTCTGATTCAAAACTGCCAACCCGCCGAAAGGAGCGCATAGGCGCCCTGTTCAGGCCGGAGAGCCACAATGATCCGATTACCACTTGGCTGAACTTTCATGCCCACTAACAAGACAGAAAATGGCCCCGTTCCCCCTCTTTCTCAGACGTAGGAGATCTGACGGAGGCACTTCTGTTGCTACGCCCAGAGGGCTGCCCCTTCAGACGGAAGAGCTGGGAAAAAAAGGTAAATAGCAAAGGGGTTCAATAATATCTGCTCAAAGTACATAAAAGAAGGGAAAGAAGGACAAAAGAGGTCCATCCGCCCGATTACCTACTTAATCCGAATTGCACAACGATGATTTATCCGCCTAACTTCCCGAGGTCCCGAAGTCCCTTCACCGACCACGACCACTGTATCCACCGCGCCCAGGACCACGTCCACCACGACCACGACCACGTCCGCCACGACCGCCGCGGCCACCACGGTTGCCCTGGAAGTTCTGACGGGGGGCATCTGGACGTGGGCCAGCCTCCATGCGAGCCTGACGTTCTTCATCGCTCATGTCAAACTTATTCTCAATGCCAATGAGGTTGCAGAAGGCAGCAGTCTGCGGGTTTGTGTACTCCTTCGGCTGCTCCTGGGTGTTGATGGAAACGGAGGGATCATAAATGGGAGCAGTCGTGACAAAATCAGCGGGGATATTCATCAATCCGGCCTTGACAATGTGCTCTTCAACCCATTGTTCCTCCTCGGCGATACGTTGCTGGTAGACTTCATAGCCCTTATGGAAAGGGCCAGGACCATTGGGCTTCCCGCCGAATTCGAGCTCATCAGCAAATGCACGCAGAATGGCCAGCCACTCCTTGTCGTACTGTAGTCGCATTGGAAGCTCTACCGCGGGATCATCCTGTTGGGAGATTGGCTCAATCTCCAGTAGCTCCACGTAGTCGTCGTGGTTGTGGGGCTTGTCCAAAGTCAGAAACTTGGTCATGAGATTCTTAATATTCTCGGGGGCCGGAAGGTACTGAGCAGGGCGATTCGGGACAGGGTGGGCTAGAGGAGACTGCCCAAGGCTAGCCGGCAGGGCAGATTCGACTTGACGAACGCGATCATCGGTACCGTCACCCCACCAGGAATCGTCATGCCAATTCAGAGAAATGTCAGCTTTAGGAAGATCCTTCTGGGCTGGAAGAGACTTCGCGCTTGGAGGAGACTTTGCGCTTGCGGTGCTACTTGGACTAGTTGAAATACTGATCTTGTCGGTATTGTCGGCCCCATCATTGGTGACCGGGACATCATTGGTCGCCTGGACTCCTCCGGTTGCTTCAACGAAGGAAGATTCCTGCTGAGGAAGCACCTCCTTGGGAGAGGTGTCCACAGGGCTGTTGTCCTGGCTGGCGGTTTCGAGGCTTTCGACCTTCTCGTGGTTGATCGGGGCAGAGTCAATCCGTTCTCCATCGGCGCCACGTACGAACTTTTGAACGGGGCCGTCGCCAATCTTGACTGTCTCATTGAAAGTAACGTCGCGCAGAACTTTCGGCTGTCTCGACCTGACTAGCCGCATGAATTCTTCTTGGTCTCGTTGCTCCTTCTCAGCCCGTCGGGCCTTGTCTCCGAACTCGTTCCACGCTTTGATGCGAGACTGTTCGTCTCCTGTTGCAGTTCCGAGCAATTTGTGACTAGCAAGCATGCTGGGGCCAAGGTTGCTGCGTGGCATCGGCACAGCGTTATTTGCGTTATTTGCACCGGTGATATCAATGGGACGGCTGGGGGGACTCAAAGACTTGGACTTTGCGCGAGGTGGGCTATGGGGCACCTTTGCAGTGAAACGTACATGGAGATGAGCTGAAAGCCAATACGCAGGTCGCAAGTGATTTAGGGCCTCACGTGCAGCCACGCTCCCGAGCTTCCCCGATTCGGAATCAGCTTTGAAGCCCGACTTCTTGCGAAACAGAGTTCCATAGTCGCCGAGTTTCTCGACACCCTTGGGCCAATCATGAGAGAGACCGATGTCAACTTGGGTACGGACTTGGAGGAGTTTGCGCACATCTAGTTCCCGGATATGGTAAATTGAGGAAACATCATCCCTGTTGTAGGGCAATCGTTCATAGTGGTTCTTGCGGTAGTCGTAACCTTTCCAAATTCCCGACATTCCAGAGATTCGGAGAGGTCCGTAGCGGATGATGTTGGCCGCGCCCAGGAAGTAGATGTTGGGGGCCACCCAACCGCCATAATAGAGTTCAGATAGGTGATTGCTCGCCTCGTGATTGCCCCCGATGAACAATGTCAGGTAGGGAGCAACGCGGTGACCGCTGTAATACTCGTGAAAATCACCAATTTGTTTGAACTTGTCAGGAACGGAAAGACAAGTTGCATCATTGGCATTGCGCAGAGCCTGGTTTTGTCAGTCAACGTTGAGATGTAGAAGCGGATATGACAAGGAGCTCACCTGAAAATCTCCGCCAATGATGACCAGATCAACGGACTCCCAGCCTTTCTCGGCGGCCTTGCGGTCCACAGTCTCATAAATGTCATTTAGGCTGCCATGGCCCTATATAAAAGATTAGCAGCTGTGAATTGGATATGTCACATGAAGTGGGGGATCTCCATGCAGTGTCACTTACGCAGCCTTCAACGGCAATGCGCACTGGCGCCATCGTAGAAGAACCCGACTGAGCTGTCGGATTTTGATAATGGAAAAAACAGCCTCAAAATGAGGTCTGAAAAGAAAGAGAAATAGAAACTGAATGCCTTGCTATGAAGCAGGAAAAAAAAAGTAAGGTATGAAGCAACGAAAGAGTTGAGGGATGGAAAGAGGAGAGAGTAAAAGAGATGTAGATGGGAAGAAGCGGCCGGTGGAGCTTGGGGCTTTTAAGCTCCCGCGCGGCAAATCTCTGAATAGCAAACGGACCCTATTCAAAGTTCTTTGTTTGTCCCTATTGTTCTCCGTTTGCTTCTTCATTGTCATTTAATTGACAATTGATTATTCTTTTTTATATTATATTCTTTTTTATTGTTTTTTCAATAATATTTTCCTCTCAATTAGGCAATGTCTCACATTGAGTCCTTTCTCAGTCAGGCAGTCACGGCTGTCCCCCTCGGTTCGTCGACATCAGCTCATCTGCAAGCGGTGCACACCCGGCTTCTCCTTAACGAATCTAAGTCTTTGAATGTCAAGCAGAAGAGAGACTACTGTGGAGCGTGTGGTAGCATTAGAAAGCCCCAGTGGAGTAAAGTTACTGAGATCAAGCCGAAAAAAAGCAAGGCTTTAAACTCATCGGCATCTGGTGCCACAGTGTACAAGTGTTTACGTTGCTATCAGCGGACAGTACTACCTAAGTATTCAAGGAATACTGTCCCCAAACCTTCGTCTAGAGGAGCTACGGTTACGTCTACTGGAGGGTCAACTCTAGTAGGGATTGACGTGAAAGATTCGACCGTCTCAACAGACCCCAAGGCAGGCGACAATCAGAGCAGCAAGAAGAGAGCTAAGGCAAGAAAGCAAGGTGGTCTCCAAGCTCTTCTAGCCTCCAAACAACGTGCTCAACCTTCACTCGATCTGCTCGACTTTTTGCAGTAGAGGTCGCGCACGTGAGTCTTTCGCCAGATCGGGACTAGCGCGGGGCTAGCTTGCCTGTCTGTGACGGTGACCCCCAACATCACATCTCCAGCGCGTGTGTCCGCAAGACTCAACTGCGATTTCACTTTCCTTATTCCCTTATTTTAACGAATTACCTCTCCTGTGTTTTTATCCTCGCCATAATGTCGTCTTACTCAGACGACGAACATGATCCCCAGGTGGATGAGCTCCGCGAGACCGCCTTGGTCACTCTCGAAGCATTGATCAGCTCCTGCAACAAACAGATGCAACCGTACCTAGCGAACACCACTCGATCAGCTCTTCGATTTTTGAAATATGACCCAAATATCGCTGAAGTAGAGGACGATGAGGAGATGGGAGGCACACAGGACGATGGGAGTGACGATGCCACGGAGGAGCCGGACCTGGAAGATGACGAATTCGAGGACTTTGAAGAAGAAGGCGGCTACAGTGATATTGATGACATGAGTTGGAAGGTACGTCGGTGTGCTGCCAAGCTTCTATACACCGTCATCTCAACATACGGGCTTGGTCGCGCTTCGGACGCCTCTGCTCTGTTTCAGCAGATTGCCCCAGCTTTGATTTCACAAATTAGCAGGGAAAGAGAAGAGAGTGTGAAACTTGAAGTCGTGTCAACATTGACGGCGCTTGTTCGGAAAACCGGCGAGGGCTCCATGATCGTCACATCCAATGACTTCCTAGAGGCCGTGGGTGGCTCGAAGAATTCTCGCAAGCGCAGACGCCAAGATAGTGATGCGTCAATGATCGATTTTGAGCCGAGTGCTGGAACCTCATCGGCAATGGATTCTCCTGCTGTGCCATCGTCCCCCAAGTCTGGTCCTCATGCTGATCTTGCCCGCTCTGTACCTTTAATTGTACAGAATCTTGTCAAAATTTGGAAGCAGGCTTCGATTCCTCTCAAACAGGCTGCGATTATTCTCCTCAAAAGCCTTTCGCTGGTTCGCTATGGTGGTCTTGCTGACCACCTTCAACAAATTGAAGACCTTATCGCGGATGCCCTCAAGACCTCATCTCTCTCAGGGAGTACGGCCGCTCATACCGGGGCTGCTGTGAGTGCAGGTACCCTCCAAATTGAAACCCTGGGTCTCATTGCAGTGATCGCTGAGACCCATCTGTCTGATGCGTTACTGCCATTCCTTATTGCCCTGGTGCCCGGTGTGGTCGGGGCCGTCAACGACCGCAACTACAAAGTTAGCAGTGAAGCTCTAGGAGCCGTGGAGCAAATTGTGAAAGCAATCACACCCCCCCGCGTATCTGGCAATCCTTCCGATGTCACTCTGCAGCTACAGAAGCTCTATGATGTTGTCCACTCTCGAATCACAGACACAAGCGCTGATCTTGAAGTCCGCCAGCGGGCAATTCATGTGTTTGGTGTCATTCTTGCACGCACATCAGGAGAACAGGGTGTAGAGTTCCTTTCATCCGAGAAGAGATCTAATGGTCTGGCTGTGTTGGTCGACCGGGTGAAGAACGAGACAACTCGTCTGTCTGCTGTTCGTGCGGTTGACGATGTTGTCGTTCTCGCCAGCCGCAAGCAGGATGTTTCTAGTGATTGGGTCAATAGTGTAGCCCTTGAGCTAGGCTCTAACTTGCGCAAATCCGATCGCGCGTTGAGAGGCGCGTGCCTAGAAACTCTCCGCAGTCTTTCTATGAACTCCAACATGAGATCTCACCTCACTCCTGAGACGATCGCAGCACTGGAAAACGCTGCTCTGCCTCTCCTCGCTGCTGCCGATTTCCACACTCTTACGCCCACGTTGATTATTATTGCCAAACTTGTCCCTGGCAATGCAAAATTAATGGTTAACAGCGATTTGATCTCTGCTATATGCTCAATTGTGACTAAACCACTCGTCGGAACCGTTCTCAAAGCATTGTTGCTGCTGGTCAAAGTCATTGGCGACGAAGGTGCAGGTGCTAGTTTGATGCAGAATCTCCTCCGTGACGTGGGAATTACAGGGGACTCATCAGTTGTTGGAAGAGCCGTTGGCACCCTTCTGGTCCACGGTGGCCCCAATCTGGGAGTCACAATGGAAGATTTCTCAACAGAACTTGGGACTGCACAGGATGATAGTCGGAAATGCCTCGCCCTTGCTATCTTAGGCGAAATCGGCCTGCGAATGGGCCCAGAGTGCCCCTTGGCCCCGAGTCTCTTCATTCCCCATTTCGAATCTCAGTCGGATCATGTGCGCTTGGCTGCCGCTACCGCCCTAGGAAATGCGGCCGCAGGTAGTGTCAAAGCGTACCTCCCAATCATCTTGAATGGGCTGGAAAAATCAAATGCTCAAAGCTATTTGCTTCTTCATTCCGTACGAGAATTACTTCAGCATCCGGAGGTTGTACGTCCGGATCTCGCACCATCTGCTCACAAATTGTGGCACGCCCTCCTTGTTGTCTCTGAAGAGGAAGACAACCGAGCTGTCGGAGCTGAATGTGTGGGCCGTTTGGCACTCCTTGACCCCACTGCTTACATTCCCCACTTCCAAGTAAGTCATGCTCATTCTTCTACATCTGCAATACTAACCTCGTGCCCATAGGAGTACCTGGCCAACGCTGACCCGGCTGTTCGCGGCGTGGTGATTTCGGCATTCCGCTACACGCTTGCTGATTCAAGTGACGCTTTCAACGATGTACTACGACCGTTGATGGTGCCCCTTCTGACCAACATGCTCGGTGACAGTGATTTGAGCAACCACCGGCTTGCGTTGACCACACTTAACTCTGCAATCCATAACAAGATGGATCTTCTGCTTCCTCACCTCGACGAGCTGCTACCGGCTGTTCTTGGTGACACCAAAATTAAGCCAGAGCTCATTCGCGAGGTCCAAATGGGCCCGTTCAAACACAAAGTCGATGACGGGCTCGACTTGCGGAAGGTCAGTATCCCTTAGCATTCCCTATAGATCCCTACTGACATTCTCATTCACAGAGTGCATATGAGACCCTTTACGCCTCACTTGACACCTCCTTCTCCCGCGCCCACATAGACGAACTCTTTGACCGCATTGTCGCAGGTATCGACGACGAACAAGACATCCGTGCAATCAGCAATCTCATGACATCCAAACTGATTAAAATCGCACCGGAGGATACCGAGCGGCGTCTAGACGCTTTGTCAGAGCATTACACCACTGTGCTCTCCTTCAAGCCAAAGGAGAATGCGGTCAAACAAGAGTTGGAAAAGGCCCAGGAGGCATCCCTCGGCATTTTGAAGATTACTCGAGAACTGAGCAAGGCTTTCCCCGGTGCTGAGGCATCGGCCGATCTTCACAAGTGGAAGACATACATGGAGTGGGTTCGGCGGACATTTTCGTCACAGATGGCGACTTTGGAACTGGAGTCCTGAACTTGATGCGAGGACGGTTTCAATTATTCGCTTATTCGCTGCGATGACCTGCGATCAAAAGCACAATGGTGAGCCATTTTTGCAATTAAGCTAGCTTACGACATGACCAATGAAATACATGATCTTAATATCGTTTCGCTTACGATCTCAACCTTGTAAATATACTCGGGGAGCACGCTTTGAGTGGCAGATGAAAGTACAGCCGCCGTCCTGCGCCATCAACCTAGATTTATCTCGACTAACAGTGTTTACAGTCAGTGTATTTGTCTCAAATTCGAGGTCGCAAGGAATATTCATCGTGAGCATCTCCAAAGATCTAGGTCCAATCCCCTTCCTGTACAGTCTCTATCTTCACACCCAATCGATAACCCAAATACTAGCTAAAAAAATAATCACAGCCACATCTTTCACGCCTCCTCCTTAATCGGAGTCATCTCAGGCGTAAGTTCGCCGGGAAAAGGCTTGCGCGCCCACACACGTCGTCTAAAATGATCAGCATGTCAATTCCCAATTCCCTTACTGCGGGTGATACCAAACTCACGCTTTCTGATAAAGATGATATCTCGGATTCTTAATCTCCGATCGAATCTTGGCCAAATAAACAGTAACTTCATCCTTCGACCAAGGATCCGGCGCACCGAAATGCGTAAGCAACCACATACACCAACCCTCCATCCCAGAAAGCCAATGGTGATAATTAACAACACCAGCCTCTTTAAATTTCTGATCGCGAGCCCACGGCCCAATCGGCCATAGATATGTCTTCTCCTGGAAATCCACAAACCCGGCTTTTTCCATCGCGCCGCGCATGGTATCCATGGTGTCTAGTGAGCGTCCGGCGCGCTCACCACAACCCATCATTGTCGAGCCCCATTCTCGCAGAATACTGTCTGCAGGTAGGCTGTCGTCATCACATAGGATGAAGGGACTGCCTTCGAGTTGTTCGATCCAGCCTCCTGGTCGGAGGCTCCTACGATTGGTGTTAGTGCGTGTGGATAGGTTAGGTTAGATCAAGTGGTTGGTTTACTTAAAGGAGCTTGTATAGACGCGATCCCATCCGGCCGGGTCGAATGAGCCGATCATAATACGCATGTGGATCAAGTCCAGGGGCTCTCTCCAGGTCCATTCCTCTAGGACATTGTCGACTTCAAGGATGCAGTTGGGCGGCATCCATGTCACTGGAGGAGGGAAGAGGTCAACTCCTCGGACGGTCGCTAAATAGTGTTAGTTTATTATTTTAAAGATATCCAGGGGGATTGGTATGGCACTCACTATTTGGGAACATGTCGGCAACATCACTACACAAAGGTTATGTTGGTATATGCCCTGTCTGTTATGGATGGGGGATATTTTGACGTACATAGCCCAATCACCCTTGCCCGTTCCAATGTCGAGGATATGCTTAGGGTTCTTCCCGATCGGCGATCTAAACAGTGGGTTTTCTCTGTCTGAATCTAAAACCATAGCGAGCAAATGTCTGAGAATGTTAGACGTGAGTCTCATATAGAAAGCTTAGTCGGACGCACCCAGCTTCGTAGGATTCAAATGCCTGTTCATCGGATGGAATCCTATTGAGAATTGAGTATGAGCTAGCAGCTTATTGGGTGACGGGTATGAGATGCATACAGATATTCCTTGTTGCTCAATGTTTGATATCTGTGGAGAATAAGTAAGCCACGGACCAAGCGGGATGGGCTCCACTATGAAACCATACCGTCTGCCATTTTCCATAAGACCTTGATAGATTGAGGAACCGATAGACGTCGTCTCCCTAAATATTGTGTTAGAGATGGCATGAAAGCGCGGGGAAAATAGGAGTATTTACGACTGCCAGTCATCGTCATATTTGGTTGATAGATAGATATCCGTATCCTATAACTTGTTAGAAGAGTTAGGAGAAATGATAGGTAACCATACTACTGCAATGCGTGGTGATTTTGCCATTGTTCAATATGCCCCTTAGGATGATAGAAAAGAGTGGGAGGAGGTTAAGGGGCGGAATGGCACATTCAATGTTGGTACTAATGTTCAACGGTTTTTCACCCGGTGTGCCGCAATCCTGAAGTCGATTCGTAATTTGGATTGGATGATGAGACACAAGCGCGTTATTGTTCTCCACGGTCAAAACCCGAAGGGGGTTGGTGCAGTGTTAGCCACGTTGTGCGGAGGTTCCCGTCGATGATCATTGGATTGACATTGAAAGGGGCGGGCCAGGGATGCACGTATGCCGAGATTCTCTATCCTTGTTTTGCCCGTATAAGACACTCAACGTACTTTTGGAATTGGTTAAAAATAAATTTATAGTGTATCTATATATAGCAGCATATCATATGTTAAGAACACAAACCATAGGCAGTTTTACTCAGATATAAAGTCCTCCAGGGCTAAACGCATTTATTGCTTAGTCAGACTATTTGTATATCATAGAGAATTACATATCCCTGCATTTGTCATTGTTATATCAGATCTTAAAGAAATAGGGTGTTATTTGGAGAACTACCGTTGATCCCAGAGAGATGCGGCTCTTATGTGTGGGAAAAAGCAGGAAGTAGACACTGTAAAAATGCTGGCAATTGAAGGCACAATGCTAACTTTTGAAAGCCCGAACTGACTCTGATTTTAGGGGGAATTTATGAAAGGGTTAAAAGACACACTTATAGGAGTGCGTATTCACCCTCATAGAAAAGGTAAAATGAAGCTATTCAATTTCCCATTATACAAATATCCACATCCATTTCTACGTGTTTAATGCCATTCTGTCACTCCGAATATAGTGTAAAGAATAATTTATAACCCTTCCAAGGTTCTCTATATCTTCCATCGATGTATAAGGAGTATGGATTTTGTACTAAGCCTAGATAGGAAATTACCTTATTCTGAGTCGGACCTTCTATAAACTTCATTCTATGCACTTCATTCCTTCGTCATCTTCTAATGTTACCCAAGTCTCAATCATGCTGCAGAACTTGATGCCTTACTTTCACCTCCCATCCAGATTTGTTCCCTTGAACCAAACCTTTCACACTTTTCGGCACAGCCTTCTAGCACCTTACCTTGTGGAGCTGTACTTGATCAAGTTCTTCCGCTCATCAACATGCAAGTCATTCGGTCCATTCGTGAAGCTATCGTTCACCGTGTCGGCAAACCCCGTCTCTCATTGGATGCTCTCCCTGTGGAAATTTTATCATCAATATCAGATCTGCTGTCCCACGAAGATATCTACTCTCTTTCATTGGCGAATTCGCGACTTTTCACAGCACTAAAACGTCAAAGGGAGCAGCTCCGACCGCTCAGAGGAAGGGACAAGCTACCGATCCTTCACAGAATCGAGCGTGATTTACCGGACCACCACGTTTGCTATTATTGTTTTGTCCTGCACAAATATGACAAGTTTCAAGAAGGCTACTATACTATACACCCGCCATTTGTATGGTTTTACTTCCTCCCTTGTGTACGGAACGGGAAAGTTCCACATGGACACGCTTTGCAGATACTTGACTCTGATTTCCATTATCGCTACGGTTTCTACTTTGTGCATCTCCAACTCGCCATGCAACGCTTCTACCACGGTCCAAGATTTGGTATTACTACCAAGTCACTATCATATACCGAGGTGAAAGAATACGAAGACTCGCGTACGTTATTCTAAACTGAAGCACAAATATGCCCAAGTGGAGGTGGGCTTCCGATGCCACAAACACACCCAGGGCTGACTCAGTTCAAGCCTCATAACTTATGCCTACGAATGCAAGCTATCATGTTAGTTGCTTGCGAGGATCTTCATCTATTTCTTTCTGATGAAGTGGTTGGGCCCACCATGGTCTTCTATATTTGCGAACATATCTCGCACTCAACATTTTTGGAATCAATGGTCAATTCCTATGGAGAGGAACCAGCAGACTATCATATTGCTGCAACTTGCAAAAGCTGCAACACGGATTACGAACTTGTACTTGTTGAATCCGGTCAAGAGGATCTCGCTCTAGTCATCACGAGGTGGATCAACTTAGGCCCAGGTCTTAATCCACATGATCCCCAATGGAAAGTCCACACATTCCAGTCCCCAATGCGGAAACGACTCTCCTTAGATACAAGAATCCCATATCCAAGTCCTCGGCGTTCGTTTGAAACCACCGTCGCAAAGAGCTGGTCGGCGGATGACCTTTATTCTTACAATCTTTCATCTCTACGAGCTCGGAAATACAAATCTGCGATGGGCACAAAATACCCCGATTTCCCATGGACCTTATACTATCTTCAGGAGCCCGTGGAGAGTCTGGTAGGACTAATAAGCCAGACAGAGCCGGTGATGCCGCGGCCTCGCCCTAAATGTAAAGTGGAATGAACTCTGCTTTCGCTTCACATCTCCCTACCCCCTTTCCAGCTCACCATCGAAAGAACAGCCCATATTTGTCTGTATTAGCCACCATCCAAATCGAGAGCTTTCTTATGCTTTATCTGTCCTCCATTCCTTGTAACCAACAAAACTTTCCCTTGAATCTATAGCTTATAGACATGAAGACCGATGGTCATGAGCAGGATGAGGCCGAGGCCAAGTAGGAGTAATCGAAGGATTTAAGATGTATACCCATTTCATGAACTTGGGATAATCTGATTCTTTGGTGTTCTTGCATAACGGCGTCTGTGAGATCTTTTCTGCGGGCATCATTTGAATATTTTATCACAGGGGGACATATAATTTTGAATCCCCCTCGCAAGCACCATACCACTAAAATGACGGTTCTGATCACATTCTGGAACTATCTTATATAGTTGCTTTTCATCCGATCCCCTCTTCCCAGTGACCTCAGCTTTGCTCCACTCCTTGCCAGGCTGTCGGCGCTGGCGTAACATCACATCCCCAGCCTCTATCTCCATGCTATCCAGACTTTCCTTATAGAGCGTGGTCCTGTTATGGAGGAACATTTTGTCCTCCTTTAAGTCCGAATGGGACTCTTCCAGCTTCTTTATTCAGAAGTGCGAGTCCTCCAGCTTCTTGATCCTGGAGCGATCACTCAGAAATGGCTCCTCAGAGTCCCCATTTCCTGGTCCTCGATATCTTGAGATCACTGAGCTCACCCTCAAGTAGCCCAACCCTCTCCTTGAGAGGCTCCTTGTGCGATCACTTCAGTACCAGTTGATTTCCCTACGGATGGGCTTGCATTTTTTGCAAGGGTTACCGAGATCGCATGAATGAACGTGAGAAGGCTCATCAACAGTGTGATGCTGTTAATTCCCTATGGATCGTTTGATCATCATGGGCAACGCCATGATGATCAATGGATGGCAAGGTGGGCACCTAAGGGTAAGGGTATTTCCTGTGCTATTACAAGTATGTATCAGCTACTGCCAACGATGAATGGGCTGATGTTTATCCATACCAAGTATGCACTTTAGGCAAGCATTTCGAAGTGCCAGGTACCCGTAAGGGTCTTCGTCGACCTTAGTAAATGGAGGTTGACAGGCGAGACTTTTCGTCTTGGCTTTCTATTGGAGCCACCGATAGCTGAAATCATTTGATTAGTTAATGCTCCTGATGGAACTAATAGTCAAGTTCCACTTACCAGGAGACGGACAATGATCAGGTGAAGTTAGAAGTTGAACTTCGTTTGAAACGGGGAGATAGCGGAATGTGATGAAGTGTAATGAGAATTGTAGTGAAAGGTAGGAAGAGTGATAGGAAGAGTGTAGCGGAAGGAGAATGAGAAAAGTAAAGGAAAGACAGAATTGTAGGAAGGTAAAGAGAAAGTGAAAAAGGAAGGAGCCAAGGGAAGAAATTGAGATCTTTATATTTCCACATAATAAAAACCTCAATTCCACAGCTACACGTTTAAGCTCTCGTCTTCCTCACTTTATATTCACTTTATTTTCACTTTAGTCACAGTCTACTTATCACTTTGATATCGTTTTAGTTTCAGTTTAGCACTTCTGTGTCATATTCTTGATTTGCTCATGAAGAAATATCTGATTCCATCGTAAAACTCGCTCAACCGTCAAATAAAGGCATTTACCCCCTGAACGCGGGCTTGTCATCATCTACGTGATCTTCGAGAATCCTACCAGTGTGTTCTGCCTCAATCCAATTTTGTAGACGCATTGGAGGACCGGGTTTCAAGCGGTACTCCATGTGAAACTCCAACACCTTCTTCGGGGTATGTTTAAAGTTGCCAGCGGGGTACCACTCTCGGTCGACGTTGTAACCTGGCCATTGCACTCGGTACTGTAGTTTTTGATTATGTATCCTGGCATCCATAATGATCTCAATGTCCCAAGGTCGGAAGCGATCGGCGTTGGGCGCAGCAGCGGCCTCCATAATTGGTGCGATGCCAGAGGTGGCATTCAAGAGACGATAGGCAAGGTCGCCCCTCTCACGCAGAGCAATATCTCGATGAGCGACTGCCTCGTCACGTTCGTGACGGAGTGCTTTGAGTTCTTGCTGGAGTCCTTCGAGTCTTTCCTGGAGCGTGTCATTTGTAAGAGTGTATTCAACTCTGTCGGCTTTCAACACATCTATCTCGTCCTGCAGATCCTGGTATTTTTCTTTCAACAGCTTGCATTGATTGGCAAGTCCTGCGAAGTGTTCACTTATTGGAGTCTGGAGACGAGAGCGCAATGAGGAATCATCTTCCTCGTCATCTTGCTCTCCCAGATTCACTGGGTCTCTCAGATCGGGGGTTTTGGTAGTCCGATCATGCGCATCGACTTCCTCTTGCACATAGATCGAGCCTTCGTCATCCGGCACAGCACCACGATGCCTATCCCCGACCTGTATGCCCCCGGGGTGCTTGTTGCGGATCTTTGGTCTGACCATTTTGATTGGTCGGAATTGGCGGGTTGAGTCTTGGTTGTGGGATGCCAAGGAACTAAAGTGGGGTTGAGTCAGCATTGAGAGTCCAATCACAGGGATAGTACAACTGGACTATCTATAAGAATCGGGATAGTTACCAGTAAGTTCTTTAAGAGAAGTGGCATTCAGACGATGTACTACAGAGAAGAAAAGTAAATAAGAGGGGATTCGTGGGGATGAATGGTATTTGTGGGGTCCCTAGTGCAAACCAGGCAAAGCTCAACACTCGCTCAGCTCACTTCCCAATATGGAAGGCACGTATTCCACTTTATTTATTACAAGAATACCCATATAACCGGCCCTGACTTTTATTTTTTATTATCTGTGGACTTTTTAGTACTAATTTCAGCTGTAGGTTGCAGAGAAAGTGAGGTAGAGAAGTGAGAGAGAAGTGATTTCTTATGTATGAATCTAAGTTTATGGGCCATAGGAATGGGCTGATTCCGCACACTTTCCATCAGCATCTATATGCTCCGGGAGAAATCCCACTAGGAGTTTGGCTTCGAGTTCTTACTTTAGTTGGATGAAGCGCCTGCATAGTCATACGCTACTAGTTAGACTGCAACAGGTTAATTCAACTTTGATTGATTGCAAGGTTGAAATAAACCTTTATCGAAGACCTTACACTACGACTCAACCTCAGCACGAGGACACATCTAATGGCTGCCTCAAAAGGCTGCTTGTCCACTGTGAATACCCCCATCACATCCTCTTTACCAATGGACTCTTTTGCCATGGCCTCCGCTCCTCTTTACAAGCCTCCCTCCCATCAGCGTCGCAAAAAGAGAACAAGCAACACACAAACTTACCACCTCATTCAAAACGCCCGAAAGAAACTCACTCTCGAAGCTTCCCGGGCAGACTGTGATCTCCGATTGCTGGTTGGCCACACCAACCTGCTTCATTCGCTGATGCTGGACTACGCTGACCCCAAGCGCGAAGATAAATAGTCAGATCATCCAAACCTCTTTGCCTCCCTTGAATGAGGGTACTTACAAGACCACTTCTCCTGCACTGCGCAACCTGAAATATGTTGTGACTTTGATGCCATGGCCAAATTTCAAGGGCCTAGTCGAAGCAATATACAATGCCCAAGCATTCAGCCGCAGCTCGACATCTGCAATCAGCCCCAGCAAACACAAGTTAGATCCTGAGATCTTCGTGTAGGTGATGAAAATGGCCTCCAAGGCCGTTTCCAAGAGGCCATAGGCGAGATACTTGGATCGACCTTGGAGGCCCAGGAAGTGAACTTGTATTTTGTGGGCTTTAAATGCTTGCCAACGAGACTCCACAAAAAGAATCTCGACACGTACAATGGACCTCGACCATAATCGAGCAGCCCGAAGAGAACTGGAACTCAGAAGGCGCATCTGACCTAGAGTCGGACATCAGCGAGAGCGAGGAAGACGAGTCAAAATACCATGAAGCCGGATTTGTTTGTAACACCTCAAACCGTCGACGAGCCTCCTCACCAAGTACTCCCACGCCAAATTACCTGCCGCGGGGGGTGGGGGGCTTTGAGCAATTACACAGACTCAAACTTTGAATTTAACGATGCGGAGGACCTAGGGGAACTCACGTTGACGCTGTACTGGGAGACAGGAAAAGGAAGGCAAAGCACCTAGAAGAGAGAATCTGAAAATCATGTGTGTGTGCGACTTTGTACATGTATCAACTGTTATTGTCTTTCCAATTGTCTCCAAGAAGCATTCACAGGCGCCCCTAAGCATAAAATCCCTTAGAGATTGATCAATACTGCCGTATAGATCATATCACTGATAGAATGACACCTTTGAGTTTAATGAAACCACATAGACAAAAGTTCCGCTAAATCTGGGTTAAATAATTGTCCGAACTCATAGAGATTATCCCACAGGCTTATCCCCTAGCACTGGCGATTTTTGGCGCCTCGTCATGGGATATATGGTACGTGCGGGAATATTTATATGTATAGCAGCCAGGAGGCCAAGTTCCTGGTTTCCCACGGTTTACAGACCGGCCACTCGTTCTTCGTTCTTTGATTTTGGGTTGAAGGAATGGCAGTAATATGTTCGGACATGTGACAATGCTTGAAGACAGACCTGGTCTACTTTTTGAAGATAATGGTGTCAAAGTTCGGCGTTTGGTCTTTCCTTATGCCAAATTGGAGGGAACTTCGGGGGGTTGACTTGGATCAAAGGCCGAATGAGCGCCACCGGCGAATTACTCCTGAGACGGGTTTGTTTTACAAGGCATCTATTGATATAATACTGCTGAGTGTGTCCTCTGTTTTAACTCCAAACACAAGCAGGGTCAATGGTAGTGAGTATTAGATTCAACAAATTAAGCGAACCAGTCCGACATTCGATGCTGAAAGCCGAGAGAAATCGCCCAAATGTTCTTCATATCTCGACAAATAATACAAGAGTTTTATGTAATAGGAAATCGATAAACTAGCTAAACAACGTTATAAACAACATTTGAGCACTGCGGAGAATGATGTACGGTTAAGCCTAGGGAAAGCAGCACACCTTACACGGTCAATTTCGTGACCTATGTCGCCAATTCTTTCGAACATGGCATTGTGCTGTAGAGAGGTTTTTGATGAGTGAACCGCATATCGTATTTCGTTGACGAGTCTTTCGAAACCCTTAACCGGGTAGGTGAATCTCTCCGACTACAATATGAAGATGCATAGGTTAGCCCTCAATACTCTTGATCGTTCCCAAATCTTACCTGCATATGGCCCACTTATTTGAGTTCCGGTGGCCCAGAAAAATACTATAGTTGATGCTAGGGTAACCTGCCGTTTTGGATTGGTTCTCTTATAGTATGGATACATGGTTTAACCCCGTGCTTCTCGGTAGCCTCCGAAGCACTTGATTCCTGTTGACGTTTGGACTGGGCTCCATTCAGAATGCCAAGCCTCGCCAAGATTCAAAGATATTCCTATCTTATAATTAAATAGGACGTGAGATAGGTTTAGCCTGCCGAGGAACTCTACCATAATAAAGACCCTAAGTTTAGTTTCAAAGTAACGCGCAAATGGGGTGATCAACAGAGGAGGCTGTGCTCGTAATAGCAGTATTTAACCTCAAATAGAGTTTCTTTGACATCCAATAGAGTTACATCCGATTGCGCTGTTGGTCCATATACGGTTAGCCCAAAGTTTGAAATGGTTGAACCCGTGGACGACACTATCCAACTTACCCCGGTGTATGATTACTAATCAATTGCAAATTATGGGGATAGTCGATGCCCACAATATATCCTTGATATCACGAATAAGAAGGTGGCTTATGAGGCCCAATCAGAATCTTATCACTCGCTTGCCCACAATCTATCTTTTTACCAAAATGGATTGGCTTATGTTCCACTACACTGTGGCAAATTTCTTACGGCGTGTATCGTACCGTACTCCGTCCGTCCGAGATCATCAATGGACTGCTTCATCTACTGGTACAGTAACTTGAAAAATTAACGCACATCTCATTACCTATCGGTTCCTACTCGGCGTGCTATGCCCTGTCTGGTAAAACTTTTCGATCAATCGTCACCAACCTCACTATATCTCTTATTCTGTAGATTTAACGCGATTACCAAAGATGAAGGGTCTTTTGGAAGGTAAACAGGAGGGCGGGTGCTCCCCGCCCCCACGGCCCCCACCCTTTTCATTTACAAGTCTTCCCTGCCCAATGACGCCAACCCCACAGAGAACGCACAGAGAATGGACAAAACACAATAGTAATTGCTCGAGAAAAGTTATCGAGCCGCGGGCAGAGTCAATTCTACCACTGTGGATTTTTAACTTTGCCCGGGACGCTCGTACTCTCAACTCTACTATGAGATCTTCAAAGGGTCTCGTCATTATTTAAACACAAACCCTAAAAAGGACCGAGACTAGTCTCCGTTCGGGATCATTCCCCGCATTCAAAAACCGGGGACTGTCGGCTGTTATGGCCCACCAGGGCATTATCCGAATATGAACCCCTATAAAGGACGGACCGAGACCCTTTGCATTCCCCGTGTAAGATCATCCCTCTCGATTTCTTTTCAACTTTGTAAGTTTCTCCCCCTCTGGCTTGGCGCTACGTTTTCAATTGTGTTTATTAACAGTCTCTCTACAGATCCCATCAACAACTAGCCAAGTCAAGATGGAGATCGAGAAACCCTCAACCCCCGTCGAGATCGAAAAGGTCAAGATGTCGGAAATTGAGTGTGAGCGGGCGGAGTTGCTGGCCAACCTGTCGGATCCGGACGCTGGTAAGAATGACGAGGAGCGTCGCGAAATCGTGAGTTGAATCTATTCACTGGACGTCGTACAATTAAACGTTGAACTAACATAAGTGTCGCACACAGGACAAGAAGCTTATGTGGAAGGTCGACATGGCCCTCATTCCTTGGCTTTCACTTTTATACCTGCTGTCCTTCCTCGATCGAACTAACATTGGCAATGCTCGTCTGGCTGGCCTCGAGGACGACCTTGGCATGGTCAAAAGAGATTACAATAATAATTTGACCATTTTCTTTGTCGCTTACGCCGTCATGGAACCCGCCACCAATGCCCTGCTCAAGATGATCACCCCTCGTCTGTTCTTCACCATGATCATTGTTAGCTGGGGCGTTATCATGACCCTTATGGGTCTGGTCACCAACAATGCTGGACTCCTTACTGCCCGTTTCTTCTTGGGTATGGCTGAGGCTGGCTTGTTCCCTGGTGTAAACTACTATCTTTCCTGTTGGTACAAGAGCTCAGAGATTGGTATTCGCTCTTCCATCTTCTTTTCGGCTGCTGCACTCGCCGGCTCCTTTGGTGGTCTACTCGCTGCCGCCATTGAAAAGATGGATGGACTCGGCGGCAAGGATGGTTGGGCCTGGATTTTCATCCTCGAAGGTCTTGCTACTGTCGTTGCGGGTTGCTTCTGTTGGTGGCTTGTCTTTGACTGGCCCGAGACAGCTCGCTTCCTCAGCCCAGATGACCGCATTCGCGTTCAGCGCCGGCTTATCATGGATCGTCAGGGCCGTACCGCCGAGGACTCGGACAAGAGACATATGTACGCTGCTATGAAAGACTGGAAAACATATGGATACATGTTCATCTATATGGGCTGCCTCACCCCTCTATATGCCTTCTCTCTTTTCCTCCCCACCATCATCGCCGGCATGGGCCACCAAGGAACCAAAGCTCAGCTGCTATCTGTTCCACCCTATGCTGTCGCCGCCGCTTTGACTGTGTGTGTTGGTTTCTACGCCGATCGCACGCGCCAACGAGGCCTCTGCAATATTGCCACTGTTTTGCTTGGTATTGTTGGTTTTGCCATGTTGATTGCCAGCTCCAATCCAACTGTGCAATACGTCGCTGTCTTCCTCGCTGCAGCGGGCATCTACCCCACCATCCCGAACACCCTCTCTTGGCTGAACAACAACACCGAAGGTTCATTGAAGCGCGCCTTTGTCTTGGGTGTCGTCGTCGGCTGGGGAAACCTGAATGGTGTTGTGTCTTCCAACATTTATTTGGCTGAGCAGAAGCCACGCTACTACACCGGACACGGTGTTCTTCTTGGATTTTTGACTGTGTTTTTACTTGGCGGCTCGATCTGGATGCACCTTGGACTTCGCAAGATGAACAAAGATCGTAGAGCTGGTAAGCTGGATGAGAAGTGGGATGCTTTGACAGATGACCAGAAGTGGATTCAGGGTGACCTTCGCCCTGACTTTATGTATGTCCTATAAGAGTTATGTCCTACAAGAGTGATGACGCAGTACCGACGGCATGATTATAAGCGAGCTGAAGGGCTCAGCTCGACTTGATGGTTATGAGAGTCAGGGTACTACTGCAAACAACTTCTATACAAATAGAATATATAGATTGAGCTTCTTGTGCATTCGTAAGGTTCTCACTTGATCGTGGATACTGTGAGCTATTCTTCATTTCAGAGGAATACAACACAACATGATTTCCACTCGGTTTTGGAAACATAATCCAATGTTCCTATTTGCTCTCCCCTTGAAATTTTATCGAGACCGGTAGGCACAGTATAGCCGCAAGGCTACCGAGGCGAAGAGCCTCTGCTACTTATAGGTTGCTATGCTCCATGAGGCACTTATAGCATCTTATAAAGCATGTCTCGACAGATCTCTGAGCATAAATTAGGAATAGTATAGCTGCAGTAGCAGTTGCGGGATGTATATGTAGAATTTATCAATCATTGCTATCAAAGCCTCTGACTAACTGTAACACCGTCCATCAAAGCAGCAGAAACAATCCGCGTGTGTTCGCGACAGCAAGACATATAGACAGGGCTTCAGTCAAGCCTGGTTGACCAAAACTTGATCTTTAGCAGCTATCGGTGTGGCCGTCGCCATTGTTCTTGCACTGGTATCCGCACTTCTGGATAACCTGGATCTTGCCGTCGGGACCTCCAAGGCAAGCGAACAAGGCGTTATCTCTCGTTACGCCAGGGAATTTACCCTGCGCCTCTACAATGGCATTTCGAATTTGGGTGTCGTAGTTGCCTTAATATTGATTTAGTAAAATGCTCTATCTTAACTCAAATCAAAGAATTTGCTTTACTAACCTCGGGTAAGAAGAGCTGAGGCACAATATTGGAACTGGGTTTGGCAGTTCTTAGCTACACTAAGAGAGGCAAAAGCAACCATGGAGGCAATGGAGAGGATGCTGAGCTTAACCATGTTGTCGGTAGAAGACGGTGCTGATAGAAGTGCTTGGAGCTGCGAAGTGATTGAGATGATTGGAAAATTTGAATGGTTAAGTCACGAGTTAGAGCAGACGTTGAAGGGGACTTTATAGCCATTATCTTGTCTCGTCAATCTCGTTATGGAATAGTCTGCACTTTTCATTGAGGTGCACATACTGTAACACAACTCCCTCAATCCATGAGCTAGTGTAGGAAAAGACCAACAATGTTGCCGGACCTCAACAGACCGTTTCCCCTTTACAGTCTGCGACATATGAATTAGCCAATTAATTGGTTTCTGAATTGTTGGAATCCTGTAGCCCCGAAGACTTTGATCCTACTCTACCCCAGGTGTCAGTGCGTTACGGAACTCCACCTTTTAATCCCGTCGACTCTTTTCCAGCCCCAATCTGAGAGCAGTCAGCCCATTTCCCTTTTCTAGAAGAGGTATTAGCTTAAGGGAGATGTGACTTGCACGTTGTCCATTCCGAAAGGAGGACTGAACGATTGGAAATTCTTCCGTCAAAGGACGTCTAATGTGATATTCCAAGTAATCATACTTGACCTCAATTGATCCAGTTCTAAGGCCAATACATTTTTCATAGGCTATGAATGCTGGCCCTTGTTAGAGTGGGGTTTCAGATGATCGACATGCAAGCTCATTAAAAGTGTGGCTCGCAACGGCTATGGAGTTACATTGGCTGTCAATCGCTACAGGGTTCGGAGTTCGGAGTATGGAGTAAAGATATATACCAGAGTTTGTATTAACTATTATGCATAACTATACATCATAATGTAGGATGCAGCGTGTCGTGTATAGTAGACTCATATTCGGAATTGCCACCTTTAGCCCTTGCGTCAGCCACCATGGGGTCAAATAATACCATGTCTCACAATATTGAGGCTTTTAGTTCTCGGCAGTGCTACTCGGCCCCTTCCGCCCCTTAATCGTCCCGGTGGGGTCTGCAAAATCATAATTATATCCCCAACTCATATGTTACACTAGCTTAAGTGTAATATATGGAACCCTTCGGAGTAGAGATGTATTTTGTACATAGTGGAGAGTTTCTCGCTATAAGACATACTGTAAGCATACTATAGTGTACATGGATCAGCTCCTATTCTAAGAGGCGTCCTTATCCTTCCAAGAAATCTTTTTCAAGAACTCCTTTGGGACTTGTCCACCGAAATTAAGGAATGGATGTTCCGCTAGCTCACGAGCAGTCTTCCTTTCTGACGGAACCCACGTGAGCATATCCCTAGCAAATGGCAAAAAGAGCTCTCTTTCCGAGTCATCAAGAGATGGGATAGTATCCTCCAGTTTCCGATCTGGGATCAGTTCCTCGTGCAGAAATTTCCCTACTAACAATCAGTTCAAATAATACATGCCTCATATGCAAGCTCACCTTCTTCGTCGAAATAGGGACCACCAAAGATCTCCCGGGCATTCTTGCCTAGTGTGCCCTCCTCGATCGAAATTTTACGGCCATACTCCAGCTGTGACATATGGTCTGCTCGCTCAAGTACCTCCTTAGGTGGTGGACCAAGCAGGGCAATCATTTCTGCCAGATGCGATTTAGGATCATATCGACGGTTAGTATCTTCTACCTGAGTAAATAGCTCTGTGCCTTCGATAATGTTCCAAACCTTCGAAAGCAACGAGTCAGTCTCGATAGTATAAGTGAATTGGTGAATATTCGAGCGGCTTACAAGGACACCGAAGTTCCATATATCTGCACTATAATCCCAGCCATACCCAAGCACAACTTCAGGCGCGCGGTAGTAGGTTGGCTGTATAGGATACAGATAGACGGATTCGGTTTGTGACTTTGTTTCTGGGTCGACTTTGTCAAGCGGCCATGCGTTACCGAAATCGGCTATTTTAGGAAGTACATTTCTCATATCGCGGACGTCCATTGGCCCAAAATCGTCGTAGCTTCGGTATGTGGTGTAATTGGTTACTGGATCAGTCTTGTAATGCATAGGGGATTTGAGGACTTGTTCTTGAATGAACCGAGGTATAGCTTTTTCATTCTCGAAGGTCATGAGGATATTTGCGAGCTTCAGGTCTGGAGTGACTTTCTGTTAGTAATTGTCTTTTCATGCATTTGCCGAAAATTCAAGGATATCACTTGCCAGTATGGATGACTCTACACTCTGCGTGCAAATACTGCAGCCCAAGAAGAAGCAAAACAATATATGCCTTTGCAACCGGAAGAGGCATCCTTCGGTTCACGAAACATTTCTGAAAATATGTCATTGGCTCTCGCATTGTCTCATCGTATACAAGGCAAATATGGGTTTTGTCCGAGTTCGTAAGCTCAAAGCTTTCCACGCAGTTACGTATGATCGAATAGCCCTGGTGTGAAGGGTTCTTTTGTGCAACGGTTTCCTCGATACGAAGATCATCTCTTGCAGCCTTGGCATCATGGCCGGTCAAAATCTTCAAAGTAACCGTTCGCTCGGACCGCCATCGATACCTAGTGACCCACAAGCTCTAGTCAGCTTCGTACGGAATTGGCGCAACAGAACGCACCTTGTGATATCTCGCGCTAGCCATACAGTTGAACTCGTTCCCCAGCCGATCTTCGCTAGAAACTGGTAATGGTTGTCAAGTGTCTCGCCCGGTCTTGCTGGATAGTAGTCTCGGGAATGAGAGAATCTCTCCTCATCGACGACCTCATTGTTGGGTATGGCAAAGTCAGGACTCGTAGGAGGAAGATGGAGCGGTGCTTATGGAGCGTAACGAATGTGCGCTTTGTTACGCGACTTGTAAACCGTAAGCCAAACATGGGGACATGTGGGTTCATGTGGGTTCAAGAGAACCCCCTTAAGAAATTGGCTTGCCGTCGCGGGACGGTCCGATGCTCCACTTAGATGGAAACCTAGAATTGGGATATTCTAACTGGTTAATAGTTAATGAAAGATCCGAAACTAGGTCTTTCTTGCCGAAAGCAAAGGGAATTGGAGATAGGAGGCATTACTAAGCTTTGTTTTCATTTCCAACCCCTGTCTATTTCCACATCCCTGTAGCCGAATTGTATATTGTTCACTATGGAGTACAATATCCGTCCTTTTCAAACTCTCGCAAAATGGTCATATTTCCTCTCGCTGAGATTCCTATCTACAAGAGAGGGGGTGGGGGCTTATACTCTCACAGTCTCATAACTTTGTACCTTCTCATAATGGACTACTCCCTTGTTTTAACTAAATGGCTTTGGAAACCAATAATTCGATGAATGCATGTAAAATATATTCTATGGATATATTAGAGTAAAATCGGGATACCTAACATCTCTAGCATATTCCAATGTTTTCCTAGTTCGTCTACCAAATTGAAGGCAATTCACCATTTGAAAGCCGTGCGAACCTTTCATCGCTGTATTGGAAACATTCAGGGAGCCCTGTTTCACCATAGGTCTTGCCGAGTACAATTTGGGCAACAGCTGGAGCGCATGTAAATATCCGAGCCATACCTATTGCCAGTCAGCATGTTATTCCCAGGATATACTCGAACAAAAGAAAAACCTACCATGGCCATTAAACCCGGCACAAATATACTGCCCTGGCAGGGAATCAATCGCCCCGATAAACGGAACAGAGTCCGTAGTCATGGCAATAATTCCAGTCCAAGCATGATCCAGACCCTCTCCGTGCATGATTGCCTGGGACGAATAAGCTGGAAATATTTTACCAAAAGTCCGTAGGGCGTCCTGAGCAATCTCGTCATTGTACCGGGAGTCGTCGGTACTGAATTGACCGGCCTTTGTTTCAGGGCTCATTGTTGGGTTTGACCGTGATACACCTAACACCAATGTACCATCTCCCTTACGTTGGATCAAGGAGTAGAAGTGAAGAAGACTGAATCGTAGGGAGAATGTGTTCTGTAGACCCTTTTGCCCCGAGAAGGCAGGGACAGGTACAAGAGCATGGGCCTGTGCACGGTTTGGCCGAATGTAAGACTCCAACTGCGGTAGTAGCAGGGCAGCATGGGCATTCGTGCAATGGATAATTTTCTCTGCTTGTATTATTCCCCGGGGTGTGTACACATCCCAGATTTCTGGGGTATTGCCTTGTTCAATTTTAGTAGCAGGACAAAAGGTGAAGAGCTTCACACCCTTTGATATCACTGCCTGAAGCAAAAACTGTGCAAGCTTTGCCGGGTGGCTTGATCCTGCTGGCCATTCATACGCTGCCACAGCCCCTGGGACTCTGGTCTTCTCCTTGGCCTCGTCTCCTTCATAGAACGTGATGTGAGAAGTGTCACCTCCTGCTTTCTTGAATGCTTCCAGGCTCTCTGCCTCATAAGCCGCAAATTCTGGGGTCATGCAAACATCAAAAGTTGTCGTCAAGTTGAAGTCACATTCCACATTGTGTTCTTTGACAAATGAATCAACTTTTTCTAGGACAAGTCGCTCATCCTGGATAATCTTCAATGCCTGTTCCTCTCCATGCACTTTAGAATATGCACTGAACCCCCTGAATGCATCTATTTTCGAAATCAGAAATACTCGCAATAATTATAGAAGTCTAACAGACCTGGTCGTACATGTCCGGCATTTCGTGAGCTCGCACCACTTGCTGCCTCTCGTGCCTCGAGGATCACAATATCCTCGGGTTTAGCCCCTCCTTCGATCAGCTTGAAGGCTGTCAACCCGCCAGAAATACCGGATCCCACAATAACATATTTTGATCTTGATGGAACAGTTGTGTCGATATTCGCATGCAAATTTGGATATGCCCGAGTTGTTCGCTGCCAGTAACTTAAACAAGGAGTGGGATTTGGCAGGCTTCTACTGCTCCCAATATATGAAGCCATAATTTCGGGTCAGATTTGCGATGTGTTGAGGTCACTGCAAGTCCCTATGGATATATATAACTTGCGGGGCGAGAGAGAGTCTCATACTCGCCCTTATATCTATATTATACAAACGGGATCGGTAATATGACCCCCTCTCCGGGGCCCTTATCTTTACTTTTGACCCCCATCACCCCGCAAGATAGCCACCCCCACCTTTTGGGGTAAAAGGAGCGAGACGACCGGCAAATACGCCGGGAATCACCGCATCCATTTTATACGAACGGACAGTAAGCCGGTGGATTTTAACTTTATCGACACCTTATAGTGAGAAATGCCTTCTTTGCCGGTAAATAGAGCATGTACATCCTTAAAGCCCTAAAAAGCCAGAAGTTGATCGGCAAACGCTTGACTTTTCAGTACCGCCTTCTTGATCGGGTGCGATACTGGACCGTTATATATTCTGCCCACCATAAAAATTCTGCTTCACATCGTAAAAAAAACCCTACAATTCGATCAGAAAAATCGTACACTCTTAGGATAGTTTTAGCTTCGAGTTAATAATGGCTAAAACTGAGCGACTGAACATCTAATCGGGTTCCATAACTCAGTTGGTTAGAGTGTGGTGCTAATAACGCCAAAGTCGAGGGTTCGACCCCCTCTGGAACCACGTCTCTTTTTGTTTTTGCGTTTGTTTGGTTTTTTTTATAGCCTTACCTCTTCCCAGACACATAGGCGTCTCTTATGTTAGGTTTCCTGGGCCATTGGCAATTTTTGAAATGCAATTGATCTTTTCTCGGTGTGACAACGGTATTGAGAATCTCATTGCTTCTAAGCAACTTAGGCAAGCCAGTACATGTTTATTATATATCCAGAACAAGTGGGTCGCATGTATAGAACGTTTGGAGGGCACAACATGGACAACTTTACTGAAACTTCCTTCTAGATTTTTTTACAGCTAGAACACTGTTAAAATTCACTAGGTATGTACATACACAGAGATAGCATACGTCGCTGACTGAGTATCTTAAAGGAAAGCACAAAGACGGCAAGTCTCGCATAGCATAAGGCCGAGTAAACTTGAATATTCCTAGCCCCAGTGTCTTCTATGCCATACAAATAGAGTGTGATTGCTGGTGGTCTTTATGCTGGCGATACTAGACCGTGTATACTGCATAACGCCGAGCTTCTTCTCTAATGCAAGTAAATAACCCAACGGCGACTGAACGAGCAAGTCTCGTTGAAAGGGACACCCTCCTACATGTGAACTAACGTGGTCATACGTATAGAAAGGCTTTTTTCCCATATAGCTTTGAGGCCATGTATCAGCTTCACTATCAGAATCATCGCGGCCTTGATCGTATTGCTAGCCGACTAGACGGAGCGTAAGGTATTGCTTGATGTATACAGCGATGAGAAACTTCCATCTTGTAAAGATGGAATTGCCCGATAAGCTTGCTCCCCGGTGAGATGTTTAGCAATTGAGGCATAGATATGACAAATTTTCCGCACATAATATCCAAAACCATGGTTGCGGTCTAGTATACTGCACAGTTCTCTCCTTGCCCTCGAGCTAATATACTTTTAGGTCATCAATAGCAGTCTGTTCGTTGGACTTCCAAGCCCTCCTAAGCTGCCTGCAGTTGTTTTAAATTAATATCAGCGTAGTTACGGGTCAGGAGAGCTTCTGAGATCGTTGTCCAAATACCTAGCCGTCTGCGACTATGATCAACGGCTACCCTTCTAGGGGAGATAGTCCATTATCACTAACTAGTCTCACATCTCACCCTAGGCTGAGAATATATTTCGGCTTCGCGGCCATTGCCACAGTAGAGTGATGACCCAGGTCCTCTCCACAACGGTCAGAATGCAACTATTCAACCCTTTGAAGTAGATATGCCAGTCACTTATCAAACAAGATAGAATTGTTGTTGTTGAGCATGTAACGGGGGAGAGAGAGAGAGAGATGATTACTTAATCATAGCCAAGTTCCAAATTCCAATCCCAGGTCAGGTCAATTTTAGGGAAGTAATGTTAAGTGATAATGTCAAAATTCGAACCCTAACCAAGTAACTCGGTTCCATAACTCAGTTGGTTAGAGTGTGGTGCTAATAACGCCAAAGTCGAGGGTTCGACCCCCTCTGGAACCACGTTTCTTTTTGTTTTTGCTACTAGCAGTAACCTCTTCTTCCCTAATGAAGAATAGTCTGCCGCATAAGCGGTTTCGGGATGATATATTTTAGTATTTTAGTAGTGTTTTTAGTAGTTGAGGGTATGATTTCCTGGCGACATGATCTGTAAAACTTTAGGGTTATTAATAGGTGTAACGGCCTCCGACTGAGAAAGTGTACTATACAACGATAGGTTAATATAGAAGGTGCTCAATCCTTTTTTTCATATTCAAAGGTGTATAAAATAAGGGACGAGGATGATACACGTCTAATCATTCGGCAGGCTCGAAAACTATATATTGGTACTGCCAATGTTAGGGCTACACTCTCTGCGTAGGAACTGGGGATGTTGAGATTGATGATCAGGATGCTACGAATCCATTACTACAGGTGAATAGGTCCATGTTGATGCTTAAAAAATGGCGAGTTGGACAAAATGATAACTAGGGTGTATAATTTGGCTGATGCAGCCGCCCAGAAGCAGAGCCGAGTACCGTAGCAAACATCTTTTCCCGATTAAAACTAGCCGCAATTGCCGAATTAGGACTAGGATGCATATGCAATGTATGATTGGTTGCCGGTATAAAAAGTCTTGGCTAAAGGTTAGGCCAAACACATCAGATACAGCCTCGTTATACAGTCATTTGGGAAGAGGTAAAGGCCGACAAAAAAGTAAAAAGAAACATGGTTCCAGAGGGGGTCGAACCCTCGACTTTGGCGTTATTAGCACCACACTCTAACCAACTGAGTTATGGAACCCGGTTATATGTTCCAGGATCAAATTTTGACATTATCAACCAATACTAGTGCCGTGCCTGAACTTGGTTATGATTGGGTAATCACTCACGCCCCACCCGTGGACCTGTTGTAACTACCTAGGTAGTAGTAATACAGTAGTCAACCTTGGAACCTTGCGAGTAAACATATCGAAATCGTCAAGCGGATTACATTTCGTAGTACGCTAATGCTCGACAGGATACATTCCGGGAAGTTATTTCCCATTCATAGAAAGCGGTCAAGCTCCCTGCCGGACATTAAACACCGCCTTCCCAATTAGGCGCAAACTGGATGTCATTTTTCCTGCCACAGTTTTTTATACTACCAACCATTCAGGTTTACATGGTGAAAAAACATGGATTTTGATCAACAAAAATCGTACAGTTAAGGCTAGCCCTAATTTGAATTAACTTGAGTTAATAGTGGGCAAAGTCCAGCGGCGAAACATCTGATCGGGTTCCATAACTCAGTTGGTTAGAGTGTGGTGCTAATAACGCCAAAGTCGAGGGTTCGACCCCCTCTGGAACCATGTTTCTTTTTCTTTTTGTTTGTTTTTGTTATGGCCGTAACCTCTTCCTGAACGACTATGTATAGGCTTGTGTTAAGCCTACTGATATTCAACAGTTGAATCCAAGCATTGGTATTGTGGCGCTTAAATGCGGGGAAACCCTACCATCTTCCAATTTCCCCTCAAATCCTTCAGATCCTGCAAGCTCGAAGGATTTCCCGAGGTAAAACTTATATCTCCACTGAAAGCTCAGTAGAGTTTAGAGTTTGCTAAATGTCAAAATGCCTGATACCTAGTCTTGTATCAACTCGGCATCCTTCCGATGTTACCCCAATGGAGAGCAATACAATCATTGGTGCTTCTCATTCTTATCACGCGTGCACCTTGCAGATAGATACCCATGTCGGATCTGGAATCCGATGGCTACCCCAGACACATTCTTTGACCTATCTGTGAGGGGTCATGGGGGTCTTATCAGAGCTCGGTCCTCTTATATATGAATGGCCCAACGTCGCTAGAATGTTTGCTTTCTCTTTCCCCCTCTCTACCACATCATAACCATGGTGACTTTCAAAATGTTTCGTCGCAATGCGTCGACAAACATCGATATTCGATCTCCAGAGGAGAAAGCTTTAGTCCGACGCCTTGACATTTTCCTGATGACTTTCGGCTGTCTTTCACAGGGTGCGTTGGGCTACCCCCCCCCTTACAGCCCGAGATCAGTAAAATTGACATCTGTCAGTTATCAAATATCTCGACCAACAGAATATTAACAATGCCTACGTATCTGGCATGAAGGAGGATTTAAACTTATTCGGAAATGAGCTTAATCTGTGGGTTACCCCAAAACTTCTACATACAAACTTGCAAATAATTGATACTATCTAGATTCACTACATACTTCAACGCCGCCTATTGCGCAATGCTAATTCCCTCCCAAATTATCCTCACCTACGTACGCCCGAGTTATTGGCTCCCAGGCTTGGAGATTGCATGGGGTGTTCTAACCGGATTGATTGCAATGACAACAAACGCAAAACAAGTCTACGTCCTCCGTGTATTCCTCGGTCTATGCGAAAGCAGCGCTTGGCCAGGAATGATGACATTATTCAGTATGTAATTCGAATGCCCTTTTCCACCTTAACCGAATTCACTGACCTTCCAGTGTACTGGTATACCCCAACCGAACTAGCCAAGCGAATGGGATTCTACCACTCCTGCCAAGCAGTGGGCCAAATGCTCTCGGGCGCCATGCAAGCCGCAATCACCGACACCCTCGAAGGGCGTAATGGACTCGCAGGATGGCGCTGGCTATTTGTGATTAATGCGATCATCACGGTAATCTGGGGATTTGCAGGATTTTTCATGCTCCCCGATCTACCGAACCGACCTAATCCGCGCGCATTCTGGTTCAAAAAGGTGCATGGCGAGCTTTCACTAGAACGGCTGGCGCGGAATGGCCGCGCCGAGCCGAAGAAGATGACCTGGGCCGGCGTGAGACGCACGTTCTCGGGATGGGTTGTTTACTTCATTGCGATTCTGTATATCGCAACGGTCCTTGGAACATACGGATATGTCTATTTCGGATTATTCCTGAAATCGCTGAAGAACCCAGATGGGAGCGCGAGGTGGACTGTCACGCAGGTCAACGCTATCCCAATCGGAGGATCTGCGATCAATGTCGTGTTCGTCTGGATCTGGGCTCTGCTGTCTGATTACCTGGAAACTCGCTGGACACTCATCGTTCTTCAAGCGGTTATTGGGATCATCCCGTGTATTATCATGAGTGTCTGGACATCCCACCCAGCGTCTGTGGCTTTATCTGCTGCTTATGCGTCATATTTCATCTCGTATATTTGTCTCGGCACAGCACCACTGATCTTCGCCTGGCTCTCTGATCTTATCCCTCAGGATCCAGAAGCACGGTCTCTTGTTGTCGGCGTTGCTGTCGCTGGGTACTATGCAATCTCATCGTGGTCACAGGTTCTTGTCTGGCCTGCGAGCCAAGCGCCATTCTATAAATACGGATGGCAGTCTAGCTTGGCCTTGTTGGTCCTTGTTATCATTATGACGAGCATTTTGAGATATGTGGATGTGCGGTACCTCCTACCAAAGCGCGAGGAATTCCGCGCTGTGTTGGAAGAAGATATCATTGCCAGTAAAGGGGCTGGTCCGTCAGTGCGTGCTGATCAGGTTGAGGGTCATCGTCGTATAGACGGAAGCTCGAAGGTGCCATCCACATCAACTGTGCGAGAAGTTTAGCCATCGGGGCTCTAATAGAGCTTATGTTCATGTTGCTTTGCTTTGTTGATGATATTGGCTTCTAGCTTACTCTTCTGATTTACTTTCGATACCCAGTGAGCTGATTCTATAATATAAAACATTTTTGACCCATCGAGAAAAGAACAGTGGATGTCTATTAGCGAGAACTAGTAAATAGCCGTAATATATCCACAATAAAGAATTACATGACCCAAAGGCACATGCCAGGCTCAGAAGAATAAATAAATATACCTCAGTAGTCACTATCTCCAATCTCATATTGTCAGTATCCTCCTATTAAGCTACCACTGGAGATAACTTAGTAGTAGAGAGGATTCTCGGGGTCAGTGAGATCAAAGATCACACTAGAGTGCGGCTTAGCACCACCACGATTAGCGAACTCCTTGGTGAAGTCAATTGTGCGATTGAAAGAAAGACTGCCATCCTCGTTGAGGTCGATATAGAGCGCCTTGAAATCAGCCGGGGTGTTGATGATACCAATGTCGCCAGTCTGGACAAAGTAGTCGGTGACGACCACATGCTTCTGGTCAGGCGTGACCTTGATATAGTGAGGTCCGACGGTAGGCTGATCCTCATCTGGGTCATCCAAACGCTTGATGTTGTTGAGGTCGCTGATGTCTAGCGCAGCAATGTGGTTGGCCGTGGTAAGGGTGGCGTAGAAGTATTTACCGTCTTGGGTGATGTCGGAGCTGCGAGCGAATTTTGTTAGCAATGGTGTTTATTGTAGGATATACCGCGAATAAACTATAGACTTACTAAATAGCGATAGTGTCACGAGCCTTAGGGCCAAGATCATAGAGTTTTTCAATCACACCCTGGTTGCCTTTGGCGTCCTTTCGCAGAGGGTAAATAACCCAGAGTTCACCAAGGTGCACGGCAGTGGCAATAGCAGCAGATTCCGGGTGTCCGGGGATGAACTTGACATCTTGGATACCACCACCCTGAGTGCATTAGAAAATGTATGCCAATTAGGTCTTAGGAGTCGGCTTACATTAGGGATGGTAAGAGTGCTGAGAATCTTTCTAGATTCCAGATCCCATAGACGCAGTGTATCGGCATGGCGCACTCCAAGACTGGGCTTCAAGATAGTGATCGGCTCGACAAAGTCCGAAGTTAAAATGAGCTTCTTCTCCCAATCAATGGCAAGTCCATGGGGAGAGAACTGCTGTTCTAGAATGTTGAGGGTGCTTTCCACATCCTCGGGCCATTCGTGAATAATGTTAAAATCGGCATCAGTCTCAATGAGACGACCAGGTGCAGTGCCAACGGCAGAACCCATGTAGGTGATGAAAAATCCACCATCTGGCTTTGCCCGGACCTCATCTGCAATGGATGCAAGGATACCGCGGTTACTCTTCAGGAACTTGGGGCGATAAGGATTGGAGGTATCGAAGTAGAATCCAGTATCCTAATAAATAATTAGACTGGAAAGGCTTATTGAAGGAAGCATACATACTTGGGTTTTCAAGAGAGACAGCAAACCACCACCCCAGATGGTCTTTCCATCTAGGGACGGGCCCAAGTGGTGAGGGTCATTGCCGCTGCTGGGCACATCTGTGACCCATAATAGGGTTCCAAATGTTTCCTAAAATTGAATTAGCAAATAGATTCAGTATAGTCTCCATCAGGATTAGGATTGCCATACATCATCCAAACTGTAGGTAGCAAGGAAGTCTACCATGATAGTTAGTATTGTCTCGACAAACTACCATTAGTAGATCCATACCTTTATGAAACTTGTCTGCTGAGCCAGTCCAGAAATAACCAATTTTCTTTGGCTTGATATCACTCGACGTGAAGGGGGGACTCTCCAGTGGAGGAGTAGGCACTTGCAGAATAGGCAAAGGAGGAGCGTTGGTCGTTAGAGGCTCGGTCACTCCAGGGATGCTGGGAATGAGAGGAGGCAAGGAAAGACACTCCCCGAGGGCAACAAGAGACGCAATATGAGCAAAAGAATACTTCATCTTGTTGGTCTTGTTGGCGAGAATGATTGAGCAGGGTTGCGTTGGCTTGATGAGCATATTTGCGGGAAATCTCGAGAGTTTATATACCCGAGTGCGTCCTCATCTCATCCCATATGAAGCATTTCTTTCTCTTCCCCTGAACTATCTCGACAGTAACAACACAGAGCACGCAAGAAAATTACATTTTGGGTTCGTGTGATATTCCAAATTCTTCGAGGCTGATCTGCGAAATGGCGAATTTCATTCTCTACGCCGATATGACAAGCCAGGCAATTCCCGAGTCGGGATCTGATGAACCAATGGTCCCCATGCTCAGGCATTTCTTTAAAGTCAAGTTACGGGGATTCCTGCTAATCTTGGGGAGATGTCGTGATTGAAGTTAATCCAGAGTCTCGATAGAAGGATTATAAGTTCGTGAAATCAATAGCTCAAACCCAAAGTCGCGTCTCTAGTAAGAATAATTCTATACTAGTGCTTAGCATTGACCTTGCTATAGCTAGCAGTGATATGTGGACGAACGGGTGGTGGAACTAGGGCTAAGGGAACCCATGACTTCCGAAATAGGAAAGGCCCAAAAGCCATTCTCGCAGATCACCATATCCACATTCAACACAAGCAAGGCACGGGATTAAGGTCCGGGGGTCAAAGCAAAGCTCAAGTACTGCTTTTCAGTAAACTGGGAATAAAGAGGTGAAAGTAAGGGAATGATCCGCGTACGCCAAGAAATGTGGGATATATGTACTCATCGAGGGTACTGATGAGGTGATCCAGGGTTGAACTTCAATTTCCACCTTTTAAAAATTCCGAGATAACCGAAAGCACCTGTCAGGTCCCTGGATCAGCATTTTTAATTTCCTCATGGGGACCATGAGCACGGTTGAGTCTGCACCGATTTCGACATGATGCCAAGAATGTTATAATCGCCATCTGGTCAATTTCATTATGATTAACATCACAAAGCCACGAAATATATTGGAACTAGCGAAGTCACTGAATCTATTCGCCATCGGGATTTGGACGGAACTGGCGTGGAAATGTTATATATAACTGGGAGACTGCAGACTTCTTGGCTAGAGGCATCCAAGTCCAAATCTCATTCTTCTGCACATTCTTCTCCTTGACTTGAAATGAAGTCCCAAAGCCTTTCACTCTTTGGACTATTTGCTTCCTTTGCCTTTGCAGTACCTCAGACTAAACGGCACGATGGTGGTAATGACCAGCCGATTAGCGGTGCCAAAGGAGCCCCGATTTTAGGTAAGTTCAAGGTTGGAAGATTCCATTCATAGGTATTAGCTAGCATAATACGTGCTCACAGTTCTTTTCAAATAGGTGGAACAAACAAAGCCATCGATCATCAAAACCCAGACCAGTTCCGCACTTCTAGTACTGATAATGGCTTTGTGCCCAATGTCAAGTGGAGTTTTTCTGAGTCTCAGACTCGGCTGTTCCCAGGTGGATGGTCTCGGGAGCAGGTCATTCAAGATTTACCCCAGAGTCATGACATCGCAGGTGCCCAACAGCATCTGAAGAAGGGCGCTATTCGCGAACTGCACTGGCACCGCACGGTTAGTGGCCGCACCTGTACATTTTTTATGGCATTTCACTTACTCTAGAGTCCAGGCCGAGTGGGGATTTGTCTACAATGGCTCCCTTCTATTGTCTGGTGTTGATGAGAACGGTGGTTTCACTACCGAGGTCCTTGAAACGGGTGATATATGGTATTTCCCCAAGGGTGTGGCGCATAATGTCCAAGGTCTGGACGATGAGAATGAGTACCTTCTCGCTTTTGATGATGGCGATTTCGAGAAGATTGGGTATGTTTCACCTACACCTTTATAGACTCACGATACTGACCAAGAAGAACTACCTTCATGGTTGATGACTGGATTGCCCATACCCCCAGAGATGTTCTCGCCAAGAACTTTGGTGTTGACCCCAAGGTCTTCGATTCGGTTCCTTCAAAGTTTCCTTATATCCTCAACGGCACTGTCAGCAAAGAGGTCAACAATGCTCCTGTGGGTACGCTGAGAGGTGACAATTCCTACGTTTACCATACATACAAACACCCCTCGGAGCCTGTTCCCGGTCACGGTGGAACATTCCGCAAGATTGATTCCACCAACTTCCCCATCTCGAAAACTCTCGCAGCTGCGATTGTGGAACTGGAGCCCAAAGGTCTTCGTGAGCTCCACTGGCATCCTAATGTAGGTTTATAAACAAGTTATTGGGAAGAAACCTATATTGACCACCATCTAGGCTGAGGAATGGCTCTACTTCCACCAGGGCCACGCGCGTGCCACTGTCTTCATTGGTGATTCCAAGGCTCGCACGTTTGACTTCCAGGCGGGTGATACAGGTGTTTTCCCCGACAATAGTGGTAAGTATAGTTATTCTAAGACTGAGAAATATGCTAATTCTTATTAAAAGGACACTACATTGAAAACACCTCCGAGACAGAGAAACTTGTCTGGATCGAGCTTTACAAGAGTGATCGCGTTGCTGATATCTCCCTGGCTCAGTGGCTGGCGTTGACCCCTGCTGATACTGTTGCGAATGTCTTGAAGATTGATATCGAAGTGGTCAAGCAGATCAAGAAGGACAAGCAAATTCTTGTTCAGGGCAAGAAATAATTTGGCATCGAATTTTTGTGTCTGTAACCTCACATAACAGCCTAGATATTAAGTACTCTCTTCTTGAGCTACATATATTGGTCTATATTATCCGCTAGGTAGATTATCCTTATTGATTAGCTTGTACTTCCATCCACCCTTGATACGAAGATAAGCCGAGTTACCTTAAGTGATGATAATCTAGTCACAAGTGAATTTGATTAGGACATCAATACATGCGGGGCTTGCCCTCAAAGGTATTGAGATGATCAATCAAGTATATCCATTATCAAGCGCTAACCAGCTGGAACATATATCTGACTACAATGCATTGCGGTATCTAGGAGATTATTTCCAATATCCAGGCTGATTCGGCCCGCTGGGAAGCTCATCTAGCTCGTAGAGCTAACCTGGGATATTCAAGGGTTAGTTACAACGTGGATCAGAATTACCATCCAATCCCCATACGTCCAACATCCAATGTCCCGCCAGATACTCCGGGAAGTCCCCAGGATGACTTCGCAAAGCCATCGGATTCGAAACATGAGACCATTGGTCGACATCTATCGAATGAACATGACCTTGAATATAAGATAAGAGCATTTGATCGTCTTTTCCACAAATACAAAGCTCGAGGCAAATTGGGGGATCTCCCAAACGATAATACCTCACCAGCTACCCCGACGACCGGTGCTAAACAACGACCTGCAATGATAAACGAGATATCATGTGCAGTAATCAATTGTCTTCAATCCCTCCATCGGCTTTTATCTGGGTCGCAATTCTCAGAACTCCAACTCGATATCCCGCTAGTACTATGGCAAGACGAACTGGGTCGTTTGCGAGTCTGGGCTGCCAATATCGGCGCACATCAAACTGGCCAATCCTCGCTTGATTATCGACTACGAGACGCGTCGGATATTAAAAGACAGATCCTTCAACTTCTAAAACGTCTACAAAGAGTGATCGAACACCTCAAAGACGTAATAGACGCATCAAGTGCATCTATAGAGGAAGACCTTTCGGATTCGGATGAAGAGCACGAACCCGAGATCTCTTCAATTTACAATGCTCTGCGCGAAACAATAAACGATCTATTCCAGCTCTCAGTTATTATCAGACGACCAGCCCAACGGGATCGTTTCCTGGGCACCAAGAGAGCAGACGCGGTCATTTTCGAGCCTTTTGACCGACAACATGTACATGATAAGTATCCTCGCGCAGACACACGTATCTTAGATCGACTTGGTTTGGCAGGTTCCAAACGCCGCGTTGTTATGCGGTATCGTGAAAGACACCATATCAAACTCAGTCAGGGTCTTAATGCAATTCTCGATGACACTCAATCCGCTGTATTATCAGAGACTATTGCGACCGAGTTTGCAAATCATTCTGAAACGGCTGGTAATGATATATGGGAGACTCGGTCTTCTATTTCGCAAACCTCATACGCCCAAACTATACTGCAAGGGGATGGAATGACACTCCCCCCTCCACCGAAGGAGTCAGTCGATGGCAACCCATTTGAATGTCCGTACTGTTTTGAGATAATAATCATCGAAAAAGAGACTGCATGGGCTCGCCATGTTTTCAGTGATCTGATGCCTTATATATGCATTTTCCTTGACTGTTCTACGCCCCATCGTCTATACGATAGTCGCCGGGAGTGGTATTTCCATCTACAGAATCAGCATTCTATTACAGATGATCCCAGCGTATGTCCAGACTGCCCTCTCTGTTTATCTTCCATTCCATCCGGGACGCAGTTTGAGAGACATGTAGGTCGACATCTGCAGGAATTGGCGCTCTTTGCTCTACCACGTTTTGGTCCAGAAGCAGACGATGTACGTGCTTTTACTGAGTTGCAGGAGGATTTGGAAGAATCAGAGTATGAAGACGAGTCAGATACCCCTGGCTTAAGTCCAGGTAAGTCGCCTACTGTCTTTTATCTTTTCTTTCTTTTCAATCCGCTGATCAAAAGCACCTCACAGCTATAGATAGAGCGATATCTGCATACAAAGCCCTTCTTTCCCACCAGTCAGTTACTCCTGACCAGCTGAGTACCGGACTACAGCAAATCGAAATGTTCAAGAAGTCCTTGAAAGCCAGATTCCCAAAACAGTAATGTGGTGCCTGGCATGTAATATATACGGCTACCTATTACCACTAAAGGTCAAAAACATACAAGAACACAAATAAAGCCGAAGAGGCTAACAACAAAAGATGCCAGAATGCCATTGATTCAATATCCAACTCCGATAATGCGCTGATGCTGTACAAACAAAGAACTGACAAAACTCCATACACGCCGCCGATGCTCAAAAAACGCTCGGTGAATCTCAAAGGATAACAAATAACATAGCCTAATTTTTGATCGCCTTTTTTCGCAACACACCAAGATGCTCTAGTCTGTCCCATGCTTTGTTCATGTCAGAGGACTCGTCGCCGAGAGACGGCCGAAGGTCTAGTCCATCGAGAGTGTGGAGAGAGCCACTTGTGCCAGCGTAGAGCAAAAGCTCAAGGACTCTCCGGCGTAGACGTGTGGCTTGATCGAGGTGCCTCATGTACTTTACATCCGCTTGCGGATCGGCGAGTGGAACTGTGTACGGGTCGTTGACTTCGATATCCCTGTCTGCCTTCGTCTCGTCTCCCATGGTGGCGCGATGAGAGATCTGGTCGTCGTTTCCAAGTTCAGCCAGAGCATCAGAAAGATCCCGGTGGGTTCCTTGGTGCCGGACGACTGCTTGTTCTTGAGACTTCAATTTCTTGCGATCGGCATTGCCACTTCCGGTCACTGCTGGAGGGTAAAAGCCAATAGTCAACGGGTTCCCACGGAGATCAAGCTTGCGTAATGAGCATGTAGTTCCTTTTCCGGTTTTTCCTAGTCGACTGAGAATTTGACAGACCCTTCTCATTCTCGAGAGACGGTTGCCCACGATCATCAGTCTGGCAAGACAGTTCATTCCAATCAGTGGTTCAACATCATCAACCGAGTTGAAATTCAGATTTAGGACCTTGAGATTCGGAAAGTTCAAAGCAAAATCACTCGGTAGACTTTTCAATGTGCACGCAGCTAGATCAAGAAGTTGAAGTCGTAGCAGCGGAGCAGAGGGGCAGACAATTTGTTGGGAAAGCTTGTTGGAGGACAAAAAGACCTTGCGAACATCCTTGACAAGTCCCAAGTCAATATCCAACCTGTGCTCAGAGTTTGCTTTCGAGGGTGTCTGCTCTCGGAGAGACAGTACCTCGAGATTGTGACAAACCTCAAGACCAGTAACGGTAGAAAGGTGATTTTGATCGAGGTAGAGAAGGCTCACAGATGGGAAGGCTCGCGCATCTAAAGTCTCTATCTTATTTTCAGAGAGTTTCAGAGCGCGGAGGCTGATAAGAGAAGCAGAGGAGCCAAAACAGCTGATCTGGTTGGCACTGACATCGAGAGTGGCAAGTGACGGAAGCCACTCGACATTCCGAACAGATGTTAGGCAGTTGTGGCTCAAGTCAAGATCACGAAGGCGTGTCAACTCGGACCCTGCAAAATCCACTGCGGTGATAGAGTTGTTGCTCAGCTTTAGGCTTAGCAAGCCATTCAGATCAAGAATCCCGTCGATGTTACGGATCTGATTGTCATTCGCCTTCAATTCCCTGAGATGAATCAAGCTTGCGAAGCCATCCAGCGTCTCAATATCGTTCCCTGAAACGTCCAAGTACTGCAAGTTGATCATGTGACTCCAGGGAGTCAGATTAGAGAGGCAGTTTCTAGGGATCTTGAGGGTTCTCAGGGTTGAGGGGATGCCACTCAGTTGACCAATGTCATTGTCAGAAACATCTAACTCCTCTAGTCGGGGGCAGAATTCGTTCAACTTGTGCAGCGTAATCAATCCCTTCTGGCGCAAGACAAGGCGGCGCACATGTTCCCAATACGGCTCGTATGGTTCCACATCAGTAATATGCTTGATCAAATCTTCAGTTGCCAGTGCGAACGTTCCGTGCACTTGTCGTAAGGAGGAGGGGTTTGTACGTTGAGCCACGTAGCTCATTTCAAGGTTCAAGGGTTTATCGCCTTGGTTGACGGTAAAGTCCGCAAGTGGACTGAGGTGGAAGCTGTAGCTTGTGTCAGGCCCTGCGCTTCGGAGAGGCATCAAAGAATTCTCCGCCTCGGCTCTGGCGGGCGTTTCTTGAGCATGAAGTGAGTCATTCCTGCGGACGAGGCTTTGGTCATCAACAGTCTCCTCGTTTCTCTCCTCAATCCTCGAGATGGGACGTCGAATGAATGGCTGTCCACCGACTGAAGTTTGGCGCCCCGTAGGAGGAACGGATGACCGTATTGGACTACTTTCGTGGTCTGCTGGACCCGTATCTTCCCCTGACACAATCACGTGGTTCGCACTGTCGGACTGGGCGTTGTCAGGCTCGCCGCGAGAAGAGGGGCGTGAGACAAGGGGGGACGAGAGATTGACTGTCGCGACACGTGCTTGTTTCCCTACAGATCCGGGGGCCTTCGAAGATAACGGATCCTCACGTTGGGGTTCATGTTTTCCTTGTTCAGAGAGTTTCCTTTCCGCGGCCTCATCTGTGCCCCATGATGTGGCTCTTGTCCCAGTGTTAGGAACACTGGACGTGAAGCGAGTGAATCTTGATTGGACCGAGCTTGTTCCGAGGGATGGTTCTCCGTCCCTCGTGTGTGGTCGAACATCGGTTTTCTTCGGGGATTTGGTCGCAGAAGGACTGCGGGCCTTAATTTGCTCTCGATCAATTGGAGCATTGCTCTTTGTTGGAGAACTGAGGCCATGAACTCGCATCATCTCCTGGAGCTCATCTACACTAAGATCCGGAATATCCCTAAATGGGTCATCAGTCTCCTCGGTGGGTTCGGAGATTGGCGCCTGTGGTTCTTCCGCCTCATCTTTCACCCATTGATTCTTCGAACGGTCATACTTAAAGCCATTGACCTCATTCGGGATCAGGTGGGCTACAAGATCAGAAGCCAGCATCCCCTTGACCTGGGAACCTTGAGAAGAGCCTGTGGGGACGGAGGTGACACTGAAGCCAGACATTTGAGTGTTGATAGTCATCAAATCTTGGGCGATATTTTCCGCCGTGTTATCAGTCATGCCACTAGTCTTTCGTTTCCTCGGTCCGTGAATTCGGATATTCTGTGAGTTGGATTCACCGATTTCGGTTTGGCCCTCGTCCTGGCCATGATGCAGGGACATTTCACGGTCATTCGATTCATCTTGCTCCTGGTATTTCTTCAGGTGACTCAAGATCAGTGGATTCACCTCCTTCACCTCTCTCAATTTGCGAAGATCCGTGCCGTCACGGCTCGGGGGGCGAGAAAAGGCTTCCCGGGTGGATTCGTCGTCGCTGAAGTCGTCTTCACTTTCCACGTCAGACTCATGTACACTAGTCAACCCAGCCGCACCTCGTCCTTTGGACCTGATGAGGTCCATGATCTTGGTGGCCTCATTTAGATAATCCTGAGTAGTGATGGATCCTTTTCGTGAGGTATCGCTGGTTCCAGTAATCTTCACTAGAGGAACGTCGCCATCGAGGGAAAACGAATCAGAATAATCATTATTATCGAAGTGAGATTCGGAGAAATCTCTGTGCGGTACAATATGGCTTTCCCCGTCGGTTCGTATTTGGCTTGGTGTGGGTGTTCGAGGTCGCTGCCTTGATTGAGAAAGGCCAGGTGGAGCAAGATAGTCACTGCTTTCGAGCTGTACACCATGCTGCATAAGACTTCGTTGCAACAGTGACATGCTATCACCGTACTTCTGGGGTGAACCGCCATTGGCAGTGTGATAGGGCTCGGCACTGTTGTTTCTCATAATTGTTCGGCGCCGTTTGGGTGTGGGATCCATGCCGGGGGCCCGAGGTACTCGCTTGACATCAGGTGCCATATTTTCCTTATTATTCGAACGAGTCCCATGCTGCACATCATCAAAGAAATCCTGGCGCATCCAAGCAGATGGTTTCCTGGTGAATCCAGAGCTCGCTGATCTGGTGTAATGATACAACCCTTGCTGTGAGGAGCCTCGAAGATATTTCTGACGGGTTGAGGATCGTTTTCGCGAAGACGGGCGGGAGCCAAACCCTCCAGCCTCGTCGTACATCAATTTGTGCTCATAAGGGCTGGTGTCTGAGAAATCAAATTTGTCCAACTCGCCACCCCCAAATTGGCTAATCCGATGAACAGCATTACGGGATCCAAGACGTTCATTTCGTCTAGGGGAGATCTCCTGCAATGGCTCATTTCTCGTATTTAAAAAGCTGCGGTTTTCGCCTTTTCTTCGCGCTTCCTCAGAGGGCGAAGGGGGCTCCTCTCCCTCCGACGTGTCACTGAAATTGTCTTCAAATTGACTCATCCGTCTGAGAAGTCTGTTATTAGTGAATGTATCATGGTTACCAAATAGCTTCAATGGGCTCCCCGATGACGGCATCTTAGCCTCGTTCTCTGCCCCAGCTGTGGATGGCCGAACATGAGACGAGGAAGGACGTGGTAGACCAGGTGATGCGGTGTTTTGTGGATTGAACAAGGGAGAACTTCGGATTTTAGAGTGGGTGATGGTTGTGGGGGACAAACGGTGGGAAGGAAAGGGCGAAGGGGAGAATCGGCGAGGGAAGGAGCGGTTTCCTCGCCGACTGTTGAAGTCCACCGTCCCCATAGACAGATCTTGGGGCAGAGAATGACTGGTCACGTCTAACAAACTGTCATCTCGTGGAGATCCATCCGCTTGAGGTTCACTGTGGTTGTAGAATAGGAAGCTATCGCTTGCGGGGGAGTCCGGGCGACTATCATTTTGGATAGACAGGCTTTCCAACTTGTTGGTGACCTGTTTCAGCGCGGACTTGATGACTTCTGCAGTTCCATTGCCATCAACAGTGTTATTCCGGGTGAAGGTTATGGGTGTGATTCCCTCGTTGCGAAGATCCTCCAGCCCACTAGCTGTCCGTAGCTGTGTATTCCCTTGTGAGAACCCTTCCTGATCCCATTCCACGTCTAGATTTCCATTATTCTCCCAGGGAGCGCGATTGACAGTTCCTTCTGGTGACCGATCGTCATTGTCCCTTTGATCCTCATTCACGTGTTCAGGGTTATCATCGCGACTGTCCTGCTCGTCATTATCCTGTCGCGAAGGTGTGTCCGCAAAATCCCACAGAAGGTCATCCTGCTTCGTAAATGGGGTAGAGTCTTGCGCCGTTGCAGCACCAGGCGTAGGCGGCTTGAACACGCTTTCGAGTCCCATCGGCGCGAACAGGTCTCGTTGCTCCCCAGCGGCGATCTCCCCGCGCACTAGCCGCCTACGCCATTCTGGTGTACCCTCTTTTGTATCCTCGGCCTTTTTTGTTTTGATTTGAACCGTGCCGTCGAATTCTGATTGCGTAGATCCCTTAGAGACGTTCGACACCGATCGTAGAGGGGAGCGCGTATCCATTGCGGGCTGCTTGCGTGCCGCACCCGGGGCGGGCTTGGGGCTTCCCTTGGGGCTTCCCTTGGGGCTTCCCTTGGGACTTCCCTTGGAGTAGGTCTTTGAGATGGTTCTGGGAGTACTGGATGGCAAAGTATTCGGGGCAGGCGATCGTGGTTTGCGCGTTTTGGGTGTTCGGGGAGTTTTCGGAGTGGGAGGTTCTCTTCTATGGAAATGGCATGGTCGAGTAACTTTGTCTTTTTTGTTTCCCGGCGATTGTTGTTCTAGGGAACGCCGGGCAGGCACAGGAATGCGACTTGGGGTTCCCGGCTGACTGATCCTGGGCGAATCTGGTAGGGCAGGTAGAACAGGTATTGGGCTGATTGGCGAAGCTGGGGATGGCCAGTCATCCGACAGACTGTCAAGCCATGGTTGGTTGCTCATTTTCTTTTGTTGTGATTCCGGTACGCGTGCCGGGTCAACATAACAAGTTCACATCAACTTCAACATGAAAAGGCATAGATTGAGAGCTAATAAAAGAAAAGAACGGTGGGTAGAATAGTGCGGAGATGCGGTGTCCAGCCCTGGAGTGTATCTCCACTCTAGTAAGCTCCCTTGTTTATTATCTTTTGTTTACTTTTTTTTACCCGTTTAGATCAAGACTATATATATATATATATACAATAATATATTGTACATAATATATAGATGAGATCTATATATTGAGGTCTATATAATTCACCCTACATTCCTCTTGAATTATTTTTAGGGAGAAATTATCCGCAATATCTCTAAACCTCCAGATTCAAGCTAGACCATCGAGTCCCTTTTAGTCCCACTTGGTCGTGTTTTGCTTTTTTTTTTCTTTTTTTCTTTTTTTTAGAAAAAAAAAAAAAGTAAACAAGTACGAGTTAGATAGATCTCCAAGACTGATCAGGTACAGACTAAGTACTATGGAATAATTAGAAGGGACCTCAGATGTTTTCATATAGAGTAGAAAATATTTTCAGGTCCCACTTGATATATATCTGCAAGGCTTGATCAACTATTCCGTAGACCATCCAAAAACTCTTCCAATATATATATTTGACAGGCGCAAGGAGACAATTCTTTGCAAATGAATTGAAATATTGTATAGAAACCAAAATATGTATTGTTCGTGTCTAACTCCTAGGATATTGTCTCCCTCAATAATGAATGTTACAGTATAAAACATGAAATGCATATCTTAAATAATCAGTCTCTCGAATGAGTACTTGCCAACCGCCTTGCGGCGCAAGTAACCAATCTCACGGCTAGTGCGATTCTTGACCTCACCGGTGGATTTTTTGATCTTGGTGCGGGACACGTCATTGGAAGCAGCCTTGAGTGACAGTGGTAACATCTTGCCACCAGCATCACCATCGAATCCATCCTCACCCTCACCGGGACGGGTAAAGACCATCAAGTCCGCGCCATTGAGTTTCTCATAGCGGACCAGGTGGGATGGACCCGATGCCTCGGCATCCATCTTGGCCAGGGCATCCTCCGAAGTAGTAGCAGAGGTTTCAACTTGGTCCGCAAAGCGGAGGTACTCGCGCAAAACACCCTTGAGATGGGTTGCCTCTTCGACTCCTGCAAGCGCGGCGGAGACTTCGGACTTCATGTCCGCAATCAATTCCATTTCGCGACTAGCAGCGGCAGTGACCGAGTCTGAGTCCTCAAAGTCACCCGCTGCTGGAATGGCCGAGATCCAACCGGATGGGCCCACGGCATCCACAGAGGCAGTGATGAGATCAATGATGACATTGAGAGAAAGGGCGGGGGTAATTTGATCGAGAGTAATAGGTGTAGGGGGATTTTCAGTGAACCGAGAAGTGTAACCTCCGGTAGCGAGGGAAAGACGGAGGTGGTGAACCATAGAAATGAGCTCAGTCCGCGAGAGGTTGGAGCGGAGGGAATGGACGACAACTGAGACGGGCTGCGAGTGAATCTTTTGGAGGGAGGTGTTTAGACCAGCGAAAATATCCTTTAGGGTTGCCGTTTCGCCCCCCAGCTGTTTTGAAAGTTCCTGGGTGGGAGTGGCAAGATCACCGTTCGTGATGGCGCGTGCTGTCTCCTCAAGAGTTCCAGAGTGGGAACGTGCCTGGTTCAAAAAGGCCTTGAGCGCGTAGGCCAACTCATCGGAGGAAATCAGAGTGGGGCCCTCAAGCACTTGGTTGACCTGCTTCAATGAGGGATCTGAGTCGAGGAGGGCCTGAATGAATGATCCGGTGGGAAATGGCTGCAAAATGCGTGGCTTGCATGCACGGCGGAGCGCAATCTCAACATTGTCGAGTGACAGGTGTCCCAGACGAATGAGCCAGTCGCAAGTAGTCGGGGGCCACATGGCAACACGGAGCTGAGACGAAGGCGAGGCCGACATTGTATCATTTGTTGTAGACTCCTCTACAGCGAATATTTTGGAAAGCAAGAAAAGAGTTGCTTCGGGGTTGACATACTGCCCGCGGACCGGGAGCGTCGTTTCGGTATCGGAGGTACTGAAGTACGTGAGAACGGCATTATCGAACAAATCGACGCTCTTCGTCTTGGTGGCCTTCTCCACAGTCTTTGTAAGCTGAGTCCATTTCTCAACCTGCTCCGGTGATGTGAGTCGAAGGGAGGCCATGTTGTCAGATCGGTGCTTCTTCGATGCGATATCCCACTGTGCACCAGACGAGCCAATACCCCTGCCGATGGCATCGATGAGCAGGCTATCTCTAGTCCGTTTCAGCGAAGAGCTGGGTGCACTAGGGAGAGAGCTCAAGTCAAAGGCAATAAGAGTGTTGCCTTTGGTTGCGACAGCAATCCCAAGTTTGGCAAAGTAGCTGATGAAGTTTGTGGGAGTCTCTGGGGTCGACCCAGTGCTTGACAAAAGGTCACCGGCTGGAATGCTGCGCTGCACAGAATGGTACTGGGTATCATATACCGCCACAAGAGATTTTTGTGCACCGATCACGGTCTGTGGAGAAATGCGCATGACAGAGGAGAATTCCTCATCGTCGAGAACGAACTGCGATGTGACGGAGGGAGAGTACTGAGAGAGGTCAACATTGATAAATCCCCTCTCGAAAGAAAGGTTCAACCCTGCGGAGCCAGAATGGAAGCTCCATTGCATAGCATTGCCATTGGTAGTCTCCAGGCCGCTCACATCCGGGATGTGGAAAGTTTGTAGATGGCGCAGGCGCTGACTTTCGTCCAATCGTGACTCTGACTTTGCATGCGCGGGGACTGAGAACATCTGAACAATGACGTCCTTGAGGGAGACTCGATTCGTGTTCTTCGGGTGGGATACCAGAAGCAAGATAGATGGCTCGTTGGTTCCTGAGGTTGTCACATCGCCTAGTGCCAGCAAAGCCAAGTCCTGTCGCCTTTTGAACAAAGCCTTCTTTGCATCATCAAATTCAACCAAGAAGCTGGATTGGACATTATGAGTAGAGCAAACCTTCGCAATCTCACTGTGCTGAATACTCCATCGCTGGGTCTTCAGATCCGACGATAGCCTACGCACACGACCATCCTCGTGGACTGCAAGAATATCAAATGGGTCCGTCTCTCCTTCAGCATCGGCACTAGATGGAACGATGCCCACAAAAGTTGTAGGGCTGGTTGAGTCGGTCACAGTTGTAGTCGAAGATGAAATGACTGGAGCACTTGAGCCGCTGCTGCTGATCTCCTCTACAAAACACTTGATCTGATGTTCTGGCTTAGTGACGGCAGTGTATGTTTGTCTTCGGACTGTCGAGTTTTTGGATAGTTTCCTGCGAACTGAGCATGGGCGGCAAGAGAAAGTAGATTGCGGCGGGACGGCGTAGGAAGTCACAAGTTTGGGTGTTTGAACCTGATTAAGACTAGAGTTAGATGCAATCGAGGGATGAAGAAGTATAAAGCGTACGTTGTAAATGTTCACAGCTTCGCCATCTACGGCAACTGCGACTTCATAACGCTTGCGTTTTTTCGCATCGGCGAGACTGAAGACATCGCCGATACGGGTTTTTCCAGTAGAGGCGTGAAGGGGGCGAGGCAATTGCGCCAGGACAGATGGAGACTGCAAATCCATGACGAACTGAATACCAGGAATCAAAAAAAGGCTTGAGTTCCTGTCCCTTCAAAGCGTGTGATCTTTTTGATGCAGACCCATTCAGTTTGGAAATCTGAAAAATTTTCGGGATTATATCGGGCCGGTAATCCACCCTCTAGGCCATATCAGGGCTAGCGTGGATCCATCGAGCAATCAGCCTGACATAAGCAATTAACGCGCCCGCCGCGACTTTCGCGTCGTGTTTGAAGCTATGGAGATCGACCTTGACCTGACATTTGCTTCATGCAATCACGTCACACTCACCACCTAGTTTGTCGTTTCAATGCTATATCTGAGATACTGCTTGCTCCCTGATCTCTCCTTAGGGATCAACTGATTGTTCATTACATGAGCGTCATATCGAACCTACCGATGGCTATGGGAACCAACGACCAGCAAGTCATACACCCCTTCTTCCGACAAGGTTAGAATGTGTCCCATAGCCGCAGGTGAACCCCAGCTTACAATGTCTAGAATTTGGTGTATCTGTCAAATCTATCCCCTCCAATGAGCCGATCTCGCCTGTGAATACCCATGCATACGAGCCTCAACCGATAAGCAGCGGAAGCTCTACGCACGAACAGGACTTACAAGCCTTGGAGAACCTTGACTCGAAAGTTTCAAAAATAAACAATGAAAGTTCTTTGAATCTTGACGAAGACCTAAACGAGGATCGGAGGAAGAGACGAAGAACTGACAAAGCCCAAACCACCGAACCCACAACTGCTTCCAGTGCAGGTCTCTCAGAATGGCTCGGCCACAACACGACCAACAACGTCCCTGCGTCAACAGATCATACCCCCGAAACCGAAATCAATTCGTCTACAACAAAGCTCGAGGCTCCGCTGGCGGAGACTCAACTTCCCGGAGATGAACTTCAACCATTGGAACCTACCACGAACAAGAAACCGGAGGATCGAGTTGTAAGAACCTCTGCGAGACAGAAGATCCTTAAGCTGAATTCGAAGGGAGGGTTCCTGTCGTCACCCGTCTCCAGTCCTCCCCGAGAGATAAAAAAGAAAACCACAGGGAAGAGGGGAAGGCCACGAAAAGCTGAGAGCAAGGTGGTGACAATCAAGTATAGTGTTGCCATGGACAAGAACACCGGGAAATTGATCGATGATATTCTAGGCGGCCGAGTGGTTCAAAAACCCCCTGCCGCTACACCCTCTGTTCAGCCGTGCAAGACGAAAACAAAACCCCGGAAGCCCACACATCCTTTTTTCAGCAAGAAACCGGCACAGAAATCCGGACCCGCGAGTTTGAATGGATCACAATCGGACAATCCAGATACCAGTGCCGGCGTGCCCTCAAACCAAGCCACAGCGGGAGCCCCAGACAGGAAGCGGATAGTACCAGCTTCGGGTGGTTCGTTTACCAGTTTTCCCCGTCGTGCCTCTAGGTTTCCTGAACTACTTGATCCACTTTGGCCACCGCAAGATCTTGTACATGTCACAGACGTTCAGCCGCCCCGACTTGTCAATGATCGTGCCTGGCATACTACCCAGGACCGAAAAAAATCGAAGATTGCAGCTATCTCGATTAGAGATGAAGAAAATGTCCTTCTAGTAGGAACAGCTGAAGCAAGGAGGATTGCCAGCCTGCCTAAACAAGAGTACGATGCTCTAGGTATTCTTCGCCATCCCGTGCGACATGTTGCTAGCAGTCAAGTCTTGCATACAGCAATGGAAAGACAGATGTCGTGGTCCTCACCTAACCGCCAATTTCCTTGGAATTCTTCTAGTCCCCCGCTTGCCAGACTTCGATCGGCCCTACTCACGTCAGTTTCAGCTTTCGACTGTGCAACATATGAACCGCAGCTTTGGACGCACAAGTACGCCCCTCAGTCAGCCGAAGACGTCCTCCAGCTTGGCCGTGAACCACATATGCTTCGAGATTGGCTCCGGAACCTCAAGATCACAGCAGTGGACACCGGGAAATCATCGAAGGAAAATGCTAAAGCGAAGTCGAAGCGGGAGAAAAAGGCGAAAAAGCGCCAGAAAGCCTACAAACTGGACGATTTCGTGGTGTCTAGCGACGAGGAGGCCTCTGAGATGGACAATCTCCCTGGCTCCGATGACGAGTTAGCGGGCGGCGTGACTACGACACCTCAACGGACAGTCATCAGGTCGGGTGATGTAGCATCTGGGCTACATGGAGTAGAAAAAAAGACTCCAATGACCAATGCGATTCTTCTTAGCGGCCCGGCTGGCTCCGGCAAAACCGCTTCTGTCTACGCCGTTGCAAAAGAGCTTGATTTCGAGGTTTTCGAGATAAATGCCGGAAGCCGACGAAGCGCCCGAGATATGCTGGAAAGAGTCGGAGATATGACGCAAAATCACCTCGTTCATCTCCTCAACGAATCCGATAATTCAACAGACAACGACAAGGATTCTGCCAAGCAAAACAAGCTGAAGAGCTTTTTCAAAGGTACATCCTCAAAAGCTAGCAATCCGGGTTCCCAGTCTGGCGAACCTAGCCCTAAGCCAGAAAGTGCGCCCAAACGCCCCCGGTCACAAAAGCAGTCCTTGATCCTGCTCGAAGAAGCCGATATCCTTTTCGAAGAAGATCGACAATTTTGGACTGGTGTCTTGACTCTTATCAGCCAATCTAAACGACCGATCGTCATCACCTGCAACGATGAGAGTTTAATTCCCACCCAGGATATGTCTCTTCATGCCATCCTACGATACCGGAAGGCTGCTCCTGACTTTAGCGTTGATTACTTGCTTTTGGTTGCTGCTAACGAGGGACATATGTTAAAGAGAGAAGCCGTCACTAGACTTTACCAAGGATCCGGAATGGACCTTCGGAAGTCATTAATGGATCTGACCTTCTGGTGTCAGATGGGTGTTGGTAGCGAGAAAGCAGGATTAGATTGGCTGCTTCCTAGTTGGCCACCTGGGTCAAACGTGGATCATGATGGGGACCGACTTCGGGTTCTGAGCCTGAACACCTACGAGCGATATATGGGCTGGTTCAATCGTGATATGATTTTGACCCAAGGCTCGTTGGATGAAGAGACGGAGATCATTCGCAACAGCTTGAAATCGTGGGATCTCGGCCTACAAGATTCCGAAGACATGGCTGGGAAGAGTCAAGTTGAACTTCTGCCCCCTGATCAACTTCAGTCCATCCCCAAGACAACGCAACTCGACATGCTGTGCCGGGAAGCGGATTACTATGACATGAGAAGTTCTCTCGACATCCTTTGCTCTAGCCTTTCCACGGATACGAGAACTGTAAGCGTGGTCGATGTGTTTACAGAAACCCCAGCTAATAATTGAACAGGATGCTGTTGATATATCCGCCCCACCGCCGCCGGAAGGCTATAGATCTAACTATCTTGACAATTATCCGCTCCTGCACACAGAGCTGCGAACAGAGTATTCATGCCTCAGTGAGACTGTCAGCAGTACATTTGAAGCGTTAATAAGCAAAACTTTCCGGCCTTCGACCACCGAGGACTTGGAATCGCAATATGCGGGCCGAGTCTTGAGCAAAATCATCATCTCTGCAATGCCCCCGCAAACCCCTCCCTCCACTCTCCCTCAATTCCAGCGAATCTTTGAACCCATCATGCGTGCCAACTACTCAAACCCTACACCAACCGCCCGCCACGCCCCCTCGTTCGAGAATGGACTCGCCCCGATCACGGAAGACTTGGCGCCGTACATCCGCAGCATTATGGTGTTTGATGCTCGCCTCCAGCAATACCGGGAGATGTTGTATGCGCTCACAGCGCAGGAACACGGGCGCGACAAGCGGTCACGCACGACACGTGCTAGCCGTGCGGCTCTCGAAGGAGGTGACAAAGCCTCAACGCGCAAAGAGAGGTGGTTCGCTCTAGACACGCCTTACTACAAAGTGCAAGGCACTGCAGGGCCCGAGTGGCAGAATGTCTTGTTTCAGATGGGGTATTTCCATATCCAACCTATGGTTGAGGCATCCCCTGAGCGCAGTGACCATGTAAGTGATCAGGCCATGGAGAATGCCGAGTGATTGGTCTCGTGTATGATGTATTATGAAAACGATCTCAAGATGAATGTATAGCTCCTGTTTCACAATCTACTGTACTATTTACTATTTATATGAAACTTTTTAAAGAATTGAAGAGAAATTTGACTAGAAATCTTGAATGGATGTTGCAGTAAAAAAAAAGAATTCGCTGTGTTGGCTATTGTATTCGCTGTCATGGCGATCGCTCATAAAAAATACATCAAAAAAACTTGAGAGCTGAAGAAAAACCGCCCCGACCCGCAGGAACCTGAACGAGTCAACAAAAACCAAAATAAATATCGATCAATACTTACAGCAATAATATGAAAACCCCTATATTACACAACTACCCTTGTAGCCACCGGCTTCGGCATCTGCACCTCATGACTGGGTAGTTGAGCAAGGTGATAGGGCCCATGATCCTGCTTAAAATCATATATCGACTCGCCAGAGCTCCGTCGCGACTCAGGATATGGACGTCCCTTCGGTGGCTCCGCGCCTTCATTGCCGAAGCGCTGTGTCGCGTAGCGAGCATAGAACCCCGACTCGCGTTGACGGTCTTCTAGATCTTCGAGGTCATCACGACGCATGCGCTTGCGGTAGAGGACTATGAGGACGATGATAGCGATGAAGAGCATACTGTAATATAGTTAGTTTCTGGATGGGATACTTCTGGGCTATCTGGGTAGGGTATGAGGGGGGTAAGCCATACACTCCTGTTATCGCGGCGGGAATGCCGATGGTCACTGCGGAGCTGGTGGGCTTTGTGCAACTGGACATGGTCTCATCGCCATTGCATTCACGGCGGAAGATGGAAATTGGAATCATGATGAATTTTATGAACAAAGTCTTAAAAGAGTGTAGTTGAGAACCGGGAAAGGAGTGAATGGGGTTCTCATAGAAGGGATACAAGGGAGTGTGGGAAGAGATCTTCCGTGAATAAGTGAATAAATAGAATGTCTCAGAGAAAAGGAAAAGAACGAAAATAGAAATCAAGCTATGATCCAGACTTGTCGCTTCTTATGACCGTTTAAATGTGCGGAGTTCTCCGTACAAAATTGAAGGTGTTGATTCGTCGCAATGGAAAACTGAAAAGGGGGTGGCTTATATTGGTTTTTGGTCGAAATATGGGGTTACATTCTTCATATCTTCACTTCTTTAACGTTAATTAACATTTTAACATGTATAAAAATGTATATTTTATAGATCCATGTTAATGATCTTCCTTAATATTCGGCATTTCCGGGGATTTTCAGTTCCACTATTGTGTGATTGGCCTTAACCTTGTTTACAATCTTCTATTTTCAGCCTTGAAAAGATATCACAAGGTCCTATTCTTGTATATTATACACAAATCCTTACTGATCAGGCTTAGTAGCATCCAGCTTAGCCAACACCTCACTCTTACCCACCTCATCACTCCATCTCTTGCGCGGGGACTCAAAAGTCGATCCAATCCGACCATAAGACATCCCACCAAGTTGACCAATTGGCCGCAGCTTCTCCAAATCAATGTGACTATAATCCTCATTGGCAGTGCCCTCCTTGACCCAAAACCGAGTAGCCTTGATGAGAACAGTAGCAGCAATGCTCATCCCAGGTTTTTGGTGATCAGTGAACTCTTTGATATCAATCACCTTGCCTTCAATGTTAAACACCGACTCCGCAACGCGGGACGGCTTCACCGTACTCGACGGCGCCTCATGCAGACCGGATACATCCCACTCAGACACGCCGTATGGAGCATCGATAGAGCTCGCATTCACTGCCTCGATCATGTTCTCCGATACTGTGTTGATCACACACTCCCCAGTCTCTCGGAGATTACGGTAGGTGTCCTTGACTCGACCGGGTCGAGACGAGAAGCCCACGATGAACATTGGTGGATCGTGGTCGATGACTTGGAAATAACTAAAAGGGGAGAGATTCTTTTCACCCTTGTCATTGACTGTGCTGAGGAATCCCACCGGTCGAGGCGCAATCCCCGAGACAAGGAGGCGGTAATTGTTGATCATCGGGCGATCTGGGGCGTAAGGGTCTATTTCGTGATGTTTTTGCGCCAGGCTGGCTCCATTGTCCGGTACGCCTTGTCCATACTCCCAGTTGGGATTTGGAGATTTTGTTACGTTGATGGGCTTGGAATGCTCAAAATCTGGGCGTTTGGCTTGGATCTCGTCGAAATTGCCACTGTCTTGGACGATTTTGTACTCTTTTTGTGCCGTGGCGATTTCAGCTTTTGATGCCACGGCCGTTGCAGAAGAGCTCATTCTTAATTGGTTCAATGAATGAGAACCAATCCGAGATATAGAGATTGGAGTAAAATTCCAAGTCCTGGATTCGGGTTAGAAACTGGCTTGCTGGAGAGCAAAATTTGACATACCGGTTGGATAGAAAGCGACTAATTGTTCTTGTATAAGTCATTTTAGAACAGAAAAGAATATTGTTTGACAAGATTCAATGCGACAATGATGCTCGTTTTGAACTATGATATTTTTCGGGATACCGAGAAAAAGTCGGGTGAAGCCTCCGAGAGTCGGGATCCCACTCCGGGACCTTTACGATAAGATCTTAGTAGTGGAGTCGACCTCGAGCTTGATCTCGACCATTACTATGTCATATTCAATTATCTTCAGCTGGATGTAATGGGAAATGTTCTACCTTCACTTTCGTTGCTTTGGGATGATCTAGGACACCAGTATGCCTGAAGGCTTGCACATAGAGTAAAAGGTATGTCTCGCGCTTCCTGTCATGCCATGCACTATATATATATTGGAGCCTGCTTACCCACAGACACTTATTTTTGAAGATATAATGGAGGGAAAGGGAGATAGGATGGTTGAATGGGTAAAATTAGAAAGTCTAAAGACTGCCTCTGCTATATGCAGGACTTAATTCTCATCAATTTGGTTACATACGTCGACAATGATTAATTATATATATGGCGCAGCTTCGAAATCAATTGAACTAGGCACCCCGCTCGCTTCTGAGACCATACCAACACTGCTGCCATAGTGAAAAGTCCGGCCATGGTTACGGCGGTCGGGCGTTGACTGACGAAGCCATGCAGACTCAATAAAAAGTCACCAATAACATTGTTCTGGAGTTTCATTTCAGGTTGCCCGTTAATTGTATCTAATGCCTGCAATAATGAATCTGCACTATGAAATCCGCCGGTCCAACACTGTTCAATCACAGAACCAAGCCATAAATATTTAGTAGATGGGAGGGTTTCTCTCTGAGGCCAATGCGCTATATCATCTGCCTCCTGATAGAGATCGATATCACACTTTTTGCCAGTCACAACTTCATAGAATACGGCCCCAAGGAGACGGATATCAAGCTGGACTGTATATCCTAGATCTTCGGCAGTACTCATATCGGTCTCGAGCGGAAAAATGGCAGACTCAGTGAAGTCACGGGATTTAATGGAACGGTCGGAGTCGATAAGGAAGTTTCGACTCGCAATATCTATCACAAGAACCCTCCAACTGTGGATGTATGAAAGACCAGATGCCGTGTCTCTAAACCACGATAGCTTTTGCGAATGGGATGGTTCATGCTTCGTCAAAAAGGAGCGAAGATCACCATTCTTCATATGCGCCAGCTGAGTGGCATTGGGTGAAAAGCCCACACAAGTAACAACAGCCCTGTGACGGGGACCCTCGCTAGGCTGTAGACGGCGGTAAACATCTTGCTCTAGTCGGACGACATGCAAATTAGATGCAAAGTCTACTTCAGAGGTCCAAAGGTATCGTAAAGGCATTTTTACGGCCAAGCCGTCTTGAAGTACAACAAGTGCTGTACTCCCATTTCCTAAGATCTGTGATTGGGAAACTGGCTTGAACAGGGACGAAATCCATAACGATATATCTTTTCTGGGTTTCCGGGTCGACAAAGTTGGCGTAAACATTTGGCACAGGAACATTGCTGTTGGCTGCAACAAATTTCATGTTCTCAGCCTCTAAAGGAGGGATTAAATACCCAATCTTGACCGCGAAGTGTTCCTTTACGCGAACCACTTTGATAGCATTGGTTCGTATACTAAGAACATCAGTCGATGCTCCGATATCGGCGATAGTTGATAGTTCAATGATGGGATGCATCTCGTTGTCCATCTCGTTGGACGTACATAGTAGATCGTTCTCACGAGGAGGTCGTGCTTGGAGCAAACAGTGCAACATGGGTTCACAGCACGCGACTAATCTCCATTGGCCACTGACTTTGATGAGGATAGTTCTGCGATGGATTCAGGGATCGAAACGGTTTTGGATGCCTAATTTCAGTCTCGTGATAGACGAATTTGTTGCGTCTATTTTAGAATGAGAATTGTCCATATCCGCCTTGACTGGGCGCATGCCAAGAAGCCTCGGCGATGTTGTCAATGTTATGGCAAGACCGAACTTCCCATTCACCGCCGGACGCAGACATATAGTGAATATAATTTGGCCCCACGACACTTTCGAGTAGGTGGTCCTGAGGCTGGCCCTGAGTCCTGACCCAGCCGTATCCGTGTTCTTTATGTGACGGCCTTGTAGATAGCTGTGACGTGGCGGGTGGGGTCATCTGTAAGCCACAAGGCTGAGCAGCTGGGGTGCTTGCCGTCCTCCCACCTAGTTATCGTATCCACTGCCCCTATTTTGAACAAACTACGTGTATCGATTATCGGACGGCTTGTTGTGGTTGGACGTCAATGAGAATTCCTTGTGACTACCGGAAACGACCCTCTCCAAATTGTCTAGACAATATATTATAGCACTGCTGTTAAGTGACACTCGGCAAATTAGCCACCCGGCGCCTTCCCAGACGATTATATGGATACAGCCCAGAATATGGGCGACCACTGGCGTCCCACGAAGAGGCAAAGTCAACTTCTCGTGGCTAACAGCGATCAGCCTGAGGCGGGACTTGTGGTCCGATTACAGGCACGCTTCAGTATGCCGAGTCCGAGCGACTATAGCGTCGGTTGGATCTCCGCTATACATACAGAGTACGTTGCCGCTCAAACTTTCCTTGACGAAAAGCATGAAAGGCCACAACATTTGTCTGCCGGTGATAGCAACGACTATACATTAGGCAAAGTTGGTGAGCACAATGTTGTCATCGCTGTCTTGCCCAATGGAGAATACGGCACGTCCTCTGCAGCAACCGTTGCAAAAGACATGCAGCGCAGTTTCACAAATCTCAAAATCTGTCTGATGGTTGGCATCGGCGGTGGTGTCCCAAGTCCAAATCATGATATCCGGCTGGGTGACATTGTGGTTAGCGCTCCTCGCGATGGTGACGGTGGTGTCTTTCAGTATGACTTTGGTAAAGCAATCCAGGATCAAAAATTCAGACCCACTGGGTTCCTAAACCAGCCACCCGTTGTCTTGCGAAGCACAGTGGAGGGACTTCGGGCCCAGTATGAAATCGAAGGCCACCAGATTGAAGAGGTCATCGCCAGGATTTGCGAGAAGAATCCAAGACTGCGAAAGAAGTACAATCGGCCAGACAGAAGCAGCGACAGGCTCTATCGAAGCGAAGTAATACATCCTCCAAAGAATGAAGCAAGCTGTTTGGAAGTCTGTAACAGTGATCCATCGAGCTTGATACCACGACCCGAACGGGCGGAAGGTGAAGATAATCTGGTCATTCACTACGGACTTATCGCTTCGGGAAACCGGTTAATAAAGGACGCCCTACTTCGGGACAAGCTTGCAGCGGAGAAAGACATCCTGTGCTTTGAAATGGAAGCTGCGGGCCTGATGAACCACTTTCCTTGCCTAGTTATTCGCGGTATATGCGATTACTCGGATTCCCATAAGAACAAAGTGTGGCAGGGCTATGCAGCTATGGCGGCTGCTGCATATGCAAAAGATCTTCTCAGTCGAATGGTACCAAAAAGGGTTGAGGCTGAGAAGAAGATCGGTGATATTCTATCCGGTAAGTCTAAGTCTTAGGAACTCTCCAATAATCCATGTTAACCGTATGTGCAGGCCTCCATGAAGCTGTAGACAAGCACCGGGACATTGCAGAGGGGCAGCTCCAAGTTCAGAAAGAGCTACTCAACGATGAGCGCCAAGCCCGGGAAGATCAAGCTATGGAGAGGCTTTCCGAAAAAGAGCAAGAGTGCCATCAGCTGTTCCGTCTCACATCTGACGGCAAGGACGCCACATATGAGTGGTATAAAGACCGAGTGGAAAACCGAGTAGAAGGCACCTGCCAATGGTTCCTCCAACATGCCAATTTCCAGAGCTGGCTGAAACAAGATTCCGGCCCCCTCCTGGTCTCGGCGGATCCTGGTTGTGGAAAGTCGGTGTTGGCCAAGTACCTGATCGACTGTTACCTGCCACGATCTGCCACCGTCTGCTACTTCTTCTTCAAAGAGCAAGACCAGAATACTGTCCGTCAAGCGCTTTGCGCACTTCTTCACCAGCTCTTCTCCTATACGCCAGCTCTGATCAAATATGCGATGCCACACTTCCTCAAGGACGGGAAAGGTCTGACTAAGTCGACTGCCTCGCTCTGGGAAGTGCTGCAAAACGCTGTAAAAGGTACTAGCGAAGGACCTATAATTATTGTCCTCGATGCCCTGGACGAATGCGCAGAATCGGAGTTTGTGGACTTGATACGGAATATTGAGAGCCAATGTCGCAGCGACCAGTTGGGCCTTGGCAAATTGAAGTACTTCCTTACTTGCCGCCCGTATGAGCAGATCGTGTCCAAGTTCCGCGGCCTATTAGACGATTTTCCAAATATCCACATACCAGGAGAGGAGGAGTCAGAAACCATCAGTCAGGAGGTGAATCACGTCATTAAGCACCGGGTCGATCAGCTGTCGAGGCAGAAGCGCCTCTTACCGCGAATCAAGAGCCACCTGGAGAAAAAATTACAGGAGACCACCCACCGCACTTACCTTTGGGTCTACCTTGTGTTCGATTACTTGGAGAAAGAAAACTTCAAAGAGACAATAAAAGGGGTCGAGTCAATCATTGCAACGCTTCCGGCAAGTATCAATGAAGCATATGAGCAACTTCTTCACAAGTCTAAGGAAGATCCGATGGTTCGGAAAGCCTTGAGTATAGTCTTAGCTGCGAGTCGGCCCCAACACTCTCCGAAATGAACATTGCCGTGAATACGGATGACAAAACACAATCTTTTCATGATCTCGACTTGGATGATGAAGAGAAGTTCAAGTCCCGTCTCAGAGATTCGTGTGGATTGTTCATCTCAATCCACGGTGGCAGGATTTATTTCCTTCATCAAACCGCTCGCGAGTTTCTCCTCGCACCTTCAGCAACGCCCAGTGCTGTTCCCTCGGGGCTACAATGGCATCACTCCATCACTACCTTCTACGCACACGCCGTTCTTGCAAAGATCTGCGTGCTCTATCTGAACTGCTTCAACTCTGATGCTATACTTTGGGCAGATGCTGAAGCGGAAGGTGGCTATGATGTCGATCCTCTTGCCTTCTTAGATTACTCGGCCAAAGCCTGGGGGGCTCACTTCCGCGAAGCTGGCGTTATACATGACGCTAACATCGTACCTTCCACTGCGAGGATTTGCAATCCGGATTCGAAGAGCTACTCAGCATGGTTTCAAATCTATTGGGAGACTACAATTATGCAGCCTACTGAGTGCTTTACGGATCTTATGGTAGCGTCGTATTTTGGTCATTGCGCCGTTGTCAAGCTTCTTCTCGATATGGAAGCGAAGATCGAGGCGAAAGACACCGAACATGGTCGGACGCCGCTATTGTGGGCCGCTGCGAACGGACACGAAGCTGTCGTCAAGTTGCTACTCTTGCAAGGCGCTGATATTGAAGCGAAAGATACCGAATATGGTTGGACGCCGCTCTCGTGGGCCGCTAGGAATGGACACGAAGCTGTCGTTAAGTTGCTCGCCTTACAAGGCGCCGATACCGAGGTGAGAGATACCGAATATGGTCAGACGCCCCTATTGTGGGCCGCTAGGAACGGAGACGAAGCTGTCGTTAAGTTGCTCGCCTTACAAGACGCCGATATCGAGGCGAGAGATACCGAATATGGTCAGACGCCGCTATCGTGGGCCGCCGAGAACGGACACGAAGCTGTGGTAAAGTTGCTCGTCTTGCAAGGCGCCGACGTTGAGGCGAAAGACAAATGCAATAGGCGGACGCCGCTATCGTGGGCCGCTGGGAACGGATACGAAGCTGTCGTTAAGTTGCTCGCCTTACAAGGTGCCGATATCGAGGTGAGGGATACCGAATATGGTCAGACGCCCCTATCGTGGGCCGCCGAGAACGGACACGAAGCTGTCGTAAAGTTGCTCGTCTTGCAAGGCGCCGACGTTGAGGCGAAAGACAAACACAATAGGCGGACGCCGCTATCATGGGCTGCCCAAGAAGGGCGCAAGGCCGTTGTCGAGCTGCTGCTGGAATATGGAGCTAGTGCTAGCGTAGTTGGTTGGACGCCGTTATTATGGCCTGCCATGAGGGGCCAAGAGGCTATTATAAAGCTGCTGCTCGAGAAGTGCGCCGACGTTAGGTCTAAGGGTAGTGAAGATTGCCAGACGTCACTATCGTGGGCTACCTGGAACACCGAAAATAGGCAAGATGTAATTATCAAGCTGCTGGCGAAGAACGGCGCCGATATCGAATCGAAGAACAAGGATGGTCGGACGCCGCTCCTATGTGCTACATCGTCGAAAAACGAAGCTATGGTAAAGCTGCTAGTGGAGATAGGCGCCAATATCGAGTCAAGGGATAATAATGGCCGAACGCCGCTCCTAGGGGCTATATCGTCGAATAACGAAGCTATGGTAAAGCTGCTAGTGGAGATAGGCGCCAATATCGAGTTAAGGGATGAGAATGGTTGGACGCCGCTCATATGGGCTACATCGTTGGAGAACAAATCTATGGTAAAGATGCTAGTGGAGATGGGCGCCAATGTCGATCCAAAGCATGAGGACGGCCGGACGCCATTTGCCTAGGCCGCAGTGAAGGGATGGAAGGGCATCGTCAAGCTGCAGTTCAACACAGGTGCGGAGGTCGACGTGAAGGAGAGACGCCATGGTTATACATGGCTGTGTGGCTGGTCGTCAAGAATTGTTACGAGGCTGTCTCCAAGCTGCTACACCAAAAACATCGATAACTACGAGATTATACCCTTCCTTCCTTCTGGAACATCATACTTGGATAGCCTGTCACGAACAGGAAGAGCCTTCAACACCTTGATCGCTCTTTACGAAATCCGTTCCTGGTCGGTGTACTGCTGAAGATTAATGTTCTAAACAGTCTGTACAATCATAAAATTTATTGTATTTCAAGCTTCTGGTATTTAACTGGTAAGCTACAAAACTAATTATGACGTGCTACCTATGCATATCTGGATTATATCATGTTAGGGTTTGAAAGATGATCTCGCTGTTCCCAAGGTGATACTACTGTAAGCATCTGCGTCAAGAATTGTTACACCAAAATGCTCTTTATCCATTCCTTACGTCCAAACTTTCTCGCTTCACACTCTCAACCGCTCTTCTCTGCCCTCTGAACAATTATATGACCTGTTAAAGCGACACTCTAGCCTCGTATACCCCCTTTTTCTTTCCCTGTACTGTTTGCTCTCTTATAGTGAAAGACGTTGAAATCCATCTTCCCACCTGCTGGAATTCCCAGTTCTCGGCACGGGTTTGTTAGGGTTGGTAGTATACGAACGTATACAAGGGCGACTGCACGTCTGACATCGTATTCCTAGTATGAACTAGTCGAGGACATGTCTAAGAAAAAAGAACCTCTGGGACAAAATTGTTGAAGCTGGACATCATGGTTATGGACTCGTGAGATAATAAGCCCTCGCTTCCTAGCTAATAAAATCCCTTTTCTCTCTGTGCGCCCAGACTGCTCCCTAGGCAGTCCACTTCCAGTGTATTGCCTAAGACCACGAAAGTAATATAACCACACAAACCCTTCGGGACGACACCGGCCCGTTACATGTATGAACGTCACCATCGATAAGTTATCCTCGACAAAAAGAAACCTACCTAGGTACACGTGACAGCCTAATCATGGTACTCACCTTCGGAATTCCCCTCCCCAGGTTCTCCCCCCATCATCCACCTCATGTTCCATCTGACAACCGATTGCTTTTGACTATCTTAGACCACCCATAGGCACTCCCACGCGAAATGGACCAAGAAACTCCGAAGAAACGAGGCGAACTATTGAAAACAATCTATCAGCGAGTCAGGGCCTGCGAGGCATTTTTCCTTGATCCTGATTATCTAAAGATATGTGGAATTCAAGCTTCCCAAATCGGAATATTGGATGGCATCCTGCAGTTTCAACCGTGTTTCTTTCTACCGAACCAAGTGAACATCCTCCAATTCCCGACTAAGGAAGAGATTACACCGATGTTTCCCCGTCCTGACTTTCCGTCTTTGCTGTCTGAAATTCAAAAAGAATCTCCAGAGTCTGCCCTCGAGCTCACGATCGAGGCCTATGATTCCGACTTAAAGATCTTCCATTCTCTAGACGACTGGGCAGGTAATGCGAGAGACATACTTTCCTACGTTGAGGAGCAATTCGGTGCCCAGAGAGTTGGTCTTCCACATGGCGCTGAGGGAGGCGCGGATTTGACTCATCTTTGGGGTGAAAGGTAAGCGCGTTGAGTTAATTCGGCAGGATATGGATAAATTACATGGATGCTCACTCATACTAGAACAGATTTTCAGGGGCCCTTCAGCGAAACATGTCGCCAACCAGAGATTGCGCTCGAATGGGAGCTCGACGGAGTTAGGGAGGACCTATCAGAAAATGACCTTCCACACGCAATTGCAGCAATGACTGCGGCAGTTCCCGCCAATTATGCCGAACGAAGCATCACTCTCCATGAAGTCCAATGCCTGGTTGACCTGATGTGGAATCGGGAAGTGCATGGACGTTTCTGGAGAGAAGATGAGGTCCAGCCGGTCAGTAGCATTCTGAACTGCACTAGAAAACGGAACTAACACTGTTTGTGCTATCCATAGCTGTTGCTGTTCTCATACATGGGCCAGAAACACGGGAGGATTACACAAGCTACATTCGATGGGGAACGGCTGACTATACAGTATTCTCAGCCATTCTGCTTTGAAGACGAGACTCAGGCCTCCGTGGAGCTTTTTCTTCGCTACCTCTCGATCTCCCTGTCAGATCAGAAGGACCGGCTCTTCCATTTCGGGTGCTTGGACACAGTGTCGATGAGCACATGGATGTGATTCCACCTCTGCTTCCAGAGCTTGCGTAGCGATCTGGCTATATATCCAACGCTATATTTTCATATCTCCATCTTGAAGATTACATTTTAATAATACAAATAGATAGCTAGTCACGTAATGATCTCGATCTCCGCCAAATAGTGAGAGAAGTTGCGAGTGAAGGCGGCCAAGAGATCGATGTGACTGCACTGTTGGCAGGTGGCACCAGAAGTCCACTTCGTTTCTGAAAATGAGAGAATATGGGCCCTGTTGTATTGATAAGGCTCAGGATATGAGATATTTTGCCAAGTTGATGGTAAACTTCTGCCTTTCATACAGCGACCAGGTTGCCCAGGAGCGTAGAAGAGCCCATGGACCATAATCTCCACGTCTCAGCCGGCTCCCTCACTATGATATAATATATATATAATGGCCAGCCCATAGGTAGGAATTCTCGCAGGCTACTTATCAAAACCTCGCTTTTCTGACCCTGTCAGAAAAGTGACAGTATATCAAGCTATTCCTCAAGGGTGCTTATGTGGCCACCTATTCTTGTTCATAAATAATACATTAGTCAACGGAAGTCGACGATGTGGCCTAGACAGCACAGGAATTTGAACAAGCTGTGTTTCGGATGCCTAGTTTCAGCCTCATTATAGACGAATTTGTTGGCCTATTTTGGAATAGGAAATCAATTTATGAGAAATGAATAATGAAGAAAACATTGAAACCCTTTTATCGACCATCGACCATCCTGTAGCCATACCTCTTTTTTGCACGATATATGCCACCACACCACTCACAATTCATGTGCGTCGAATTGGTCCACCAAAATCCCCCCTTATCCCTTACTCAAGGTGTCCAAAACCTCTCGCTTCATGCTCTCAGTCAACGCTCTTCTCTATCTAAGCAAAGATGTGATCTACCTGTTAAAGCAACACTCTAGGTTTGTAAATACCCTATTCCTTTACATAGCTACATTACTTGCCTCCTTAGAGTAAAAGACAGTGGTTGAGATCCGCGTACCCACCTGGTGGAATTCCCGGTTCCCGGCACGGGTTTGTTAAGGTTGGTAGTATACGAATGTGGACCATGGCTGCATGTCTGACATCGTATTCTTGGTATGAACCAGTTGAGAAACATGTCTAAGAAAAAAGAACGGAGGGAGCATTGGGTCTCGCAGGATACATCATTCTCCATTTTAAAGCGGGGTACGAATATATGACCTAGACGTTACCCGGGAGAGAAACCGGTTGAATTGATGAATTCCTGATTCTGATATATTCTCTCCACCGCTGAAATCATTATTATCATTATTTTCTCCACATATAGAATCATGAACAAAATATCCTACTAGTGTTGAGACATTTGCGGGGTCACGGGGTGGATTTAATGCTTTTATGCGGGGTACATGTGGCAATGATGCGCATGTCTCACCTACTACTTGTGTTCATTGGTTGTAGGAAAGACCCTCAGGCGGTGGCCTGACAATCTAAGACATGGAATAGGTGATATGTCTTAGATGTAAGGCCTCCAGAATGGACTCTATGGATACATCATCGGTGCTGGTCCGAGCAGCAGACCTATATGAAGACCGCTAATTCCCTCCCTTGTCGAGAGGAAAACAGATAAAACATCTATTACAAACAAAAAGCAAAATATCAATCATGAAGGCCTCGTTGATCACATTTGCTGCCGTTCTCGGCCTGGTCTCGGCCCAGAATGCCGTCGTGAACAACCACTGTGACACCTCTGTGTATGTACAGTCGTTCCCGTACGGTGGTGGTGCCCCCGGTCCTCTCACTACTGTTCCCAAGGGGGGAACTTTCTCCGAGAAATTTAGAACCTCTGGCTCGGTACGTTACTCCATCCTATTATGCGCAATACTCGTGTAAGGGAAACTGACTGGAGATGGAATATGTAGACCGTCAAGATCGCCAAGACAAAGACACTGGATAAGCCTCTGTTCTTTGGCTATTCGTTCTCGTCCAACCCAGACTACGCTTACTGTGAGTGTACCCAATCTATCAGCTAGGAAACTTTTGCTAACCTTCTTCAAGATGAGCTAAGCACGGAATGGGGAAACCCCTTCGCAGCCAATCCCAACTCGCTCAGTCCTGGGGAGGGATGTGAGGCCTTTGACTGTGCGGCTAATGATGCTGCCTGCTACAGTACCCCAGCTCATAAGAAGGTCTATGGGTGCCCTCAGCCAGTCACCCTGACCGCGGACCTATGTCAGTAAATATGTCGTTTACACTTTAATGTGGTAGGGTTGTGGGGGAACATATTTCTCTGTTTTTTTTTTTTGTCCGTATTTCAACCTGTTACTACCAGTCTCAAGATAATTATGTGTGAGAAAGAGACAGGCATTCTAGTGGCATTGAGTTAGATCTAGGATCTAGTCCAATTAATTTGCCCAAGACGAGAGGAAATGAACATAATGTCTAAGTGATTTCTCCGCTTTTCTTTTAGTGCTTTGCCTGGCTCCTTCGTTCGTTCATCCGATGGGTGATTCACGAATTGACCCATTCAGAGAAATTAAGTCCAGTTCCAGATCTTAGAGCTTCGTTGTCCAATAAAGCCAAGCACTCATTCCCAAAAATACCATGCGGAACTGCCTGCACATCGTGAGGATTTACCATCCTTTGACTACCACCCGAGGTCCCTTGGCCGCTCTGTTCGCTGTTCTGTGCGACGGAGAATAAGCGCCGCAGGACAGCTATGAAGTATTGTGACAGATCATCCCGTTCAATGGAGAGGTGATTCAGAGCTAGTTCCGCCTTTTTGATGTCTTGGATGCAGGATATTGACTCCGGCGAAGAAGGATCTGCCTTTAAGTGTATAAGAGGAACGATTAAAGCGTGGAAGAAGGCATACCTAGCACACGTTAGCAATATATACTGAAGACGAAATAGAAATCTCACAATGTGAAAGAGAGTGTCAACGGTGAATAATCACCGTTCACGATAGATTCTGATATTATTCCGATTGTTGTCCGAGCCATATTGAGTCCTTTCGCACGACAGCGAATTTCGTTTGAGTTTCGTTCTGTCGGCAGTCTGGTGCCCATAGACATGCTTCTCAGCCACTTCAGGAGTAATGGTCTATGAATGAGCTGTCGAAGACTTCGGTCACATAGTGTTTGTCGACGATGGGCTGTGAGATACCATTCTGGTGCGGATAAAGGATCGATCACTTGTGTACACAACGACGACCCGTTATGCCAGGCATCTATCATTTGGTCGACTTCATGTACATTTTGCGGTGTGATAGAAGGAGCTGACAGTAGACGGCGATATATTGTGTTTGCCATTCTATGATAGCTGGATTGTTGTATCAGGCCAGTGTACACGGTTGGATGATCAACTTGTACAGGGAAAAGGGTGGTCGAAGATTGGAGGGTCTGTAATATCTTGTTCAGCATATAAGTAGCAAGGAAGGGATAGGCCGACTAACGCTCTCGTGGATATTTGAGACTGGCTCAACAGTAATGAGCATCTCCTCTGGCAGTAACAGTGGCCGGCCGTAGATTTTCGCGGAGCAACTCTCGGCACAGTAAACACTCCACCACACTCTCCTGCGGATTTCCTTATCCAGTTCGTTTAAATAAGGTGATATGGGCTCAAGGTGCAGGCTGAGGAAAACTGCCATTCGAACGGCAGTTCCTATGTAATGTCCACTCTGTTCAGGGCTTGCCTGCTTTTTTGAAAATTCCCCAAGTAGGACCAAGCTTTGCACGAGTGTGATGTCGCCTTTCTCTGTGAAGTGAACATTTTGGACCATATTTTGTGCCTTGGCAAAATACTTATTGTCCAAACCATCTCGAGCATGGACAGTCAGCCATGCTCCAATGGCCAAGACTATATTTGCCAAGATCTGCCAGTGAGGTGACGCTTTGATTTGGCCTTTGTACTCCAATCTAAACGTGTCCTCGTGCAGAATCGGGTAAAGGGTATGATAATGCAAAAAGTAATTCGCTAGAAACTCGCTTTCTTCGTCGCTAGTTCCGAGTAACTCAGGTGTGTGAGTTGGATCAGTCAAGAGTGAGTTGAATGATGGGTTTGTATCTTGCAGTTCAGCGCCCGTAGGAATATTTGTCTCTGTCTCCCATGGCGAAGAGTTATTGGGGGGCACATCATCCCAAATCATAGGGTCTGATGGCAGTGGGTCATCGACAGAGACTTGGCTGATGGGGCCATCCGAAGTGGAAGGAGCCTGATCTGTTGGCACCTCATCAGTGAGCAAGGAACGGGTGATGGCATCAATCTCGCCGGTTGGGAACAATCTTCGAAGTGTAGATTCAAGTAATTGAAGGCGGTTCTCTACCGCCGTGAGGTGTCTGAATACAAAAGTCAGTTGTCCCGTCTCGACCTGATTCGACGGCGGGGTAAGGTATTTGAGCCAAACTTACTCGCGTGTCAGAGGTGTCCGGTCGACCTTTGATTTATATACACAATGCCGATTATGGCGGACACATGTCGCGCATGGTTCTGTCTTCGAACACTGAGTCAACAAAGGTCAATAATCCTTTTCGTTTCGATAAAAGAGTTATATTCACAAACCTTGGCTTTGCGAGCTCGACATTCGAGACACTGTTCCTGTAGTATTAGCTCCAATACACGGTCTAATTGGATGACGTTGCACGTACTGCCGGGACATGGGAGTTACGTCCAAACCCTGTTCCTTGATTTTGCATATTGATAGGACTGAGCCGATTAATTAAGTCGTTTGCCTAAATTAAGCCTTCTTCCGCTTTTTCTGCCGTCGGCCTATCTAAACACAATGATATCTGGGAAGACCATTGGAAAGACCACTGGAAAGACCACTGGAAAGACCAAAAGACTTACCAAGGCCGCTTATGCGGCCCACTATATCTTGTATAGTTAACTGGAATTACCCGAGGCCGTAGCTAGTGGAGGAGAATATTGAGATCGATGGCTGGATGCCTAAGGTGTATAATTATGTAAGATCTCGTTAAACTTCCCGAGGTCCCGTGGATTTTGCTGATCTTGCCACCTGGGAAGTAGTATCCCGAAATACGTCCGCCATTCATAATACTTCCGCCAAAACGAGATCGAGAATAATGGGGATGGATTACCGCTAACGTCATTAACATATATATATCCAAGGTTAGAATTAAGTGTATAATTTCAAAATTATGGTTGGCTAAGTGCTAAGTAGTTGAGTACTTCCCTAGGGGTCAGGGGACAAAATATGAATATATGTGGAGCGGAGTGGGAACGGAGTAGAGTCTACCGGTGATACTATTGGTGAATAAGGTGGCGGCCCCACAAAAGACCGTTGCCAAGTCTTTCAGGGCTATCATTTATATTTGACTGTTCTCATGGGTCTTTTTATTTTCCCTTCATCTTCCAGTTCTATTCAACACATCTTGGACTTTCTTATCATACACGTCCAAAACAATGTCAATCACAGTTGGAATTGCTGGTATCACTGGCAAATTTGCCCGTCTGGTCCTGAAGCATCTTCTCGCCTCACCGGATATCCAAATTCGCGGACTATGCCGCAATGTTTCGAAGCTTCCTGAGAGTCTCCGCCACTCACCTCGAATGACTATTTTCCAAGGCGAATCCACTGATTTTGACACTCTGCGTAAATTTGTCCACGGCTGTGATGTTGTGATCTGCTGCTACCTCGGAGACAACACTCTCATGACCGAGGGTCAGAAGTTGCTTGTTGATGCGTGTGAATTGGAGAAGGTCGACCGCTACATTGCCAGTGACTATAGTGTGAACTTCCCGAATCTGGAATATGGCCAGCTTCCCGCGAAGGACCCAATGAAGCATGTCATGGCATACTTGAAAGAAAAGAAAGATGTTCAGGGTGTTCATATCCTGATTGGTATTTTCATGGAAACATTCTGGAGTGGATACTTTGGCATGTGGAAGCCAGAGGAGTGCAAGCTCTCGTTGTACGGGAATGGTGATGACATCTGGGAGTCTACAACTTATGATACTGCTGCTCAGTATGTGGCTGCTGTGGCGAGAGATCCAAACGCAGTTGGCGTACTGCAATGTGAGTGAAAATTGTGTATGCTCCGGGCAAGATAAGTTTGCTAACTATTATATAGTCCTCGGTGATCGGAGAACAACTCGAGAGATTGCGGATGACTTCGCCGAAGTATATGGAAAGAAGCTTGAGCTTGACTTGCTAGGATCTCTCGATGACCTCTACAGCACCATGCATGCAACGTACAAGCAAGATCCCTCGAACATCTTTGCCTACCTTGCAATGTAAGTTCAAGCGCTTATCAAAGTTAAATGAATTGGCTGACTGAACGGTCTCATCAGGTTTTACCAATACTACTGCCTAAACGGTCAAACCTACTTGAAGAAGGATTTGGACAATTCTAAGTACCCTGATATTACCCCGACCACCTTCAAGAAGTTCTTCCAGTCCCAGAAATTGGAAGAACTGGGTGACTCATACCAGAATCCAGGCTCTAATGTTTAGAGAGTTTCCACTATGTGACGGCTACTCAAAACTTAGCCAGCACAGGAAGCAAGAAATCAGGAATACCTGTCCTCTATCAACTATAAATAGAAAATCTGCTTATTCTTCAATTTCAAATTTCATAAATTCTCGTAAAAAGTCATATAAGTCCTGAGTCTGCTTAAATACTGGCGAGGCGTCAAACCCCAACTGATTGCATGATCCCGTCCACATCTAATTGATCTGCAAGATCCAACAACTCTCGCGGGGGAATACTGACGGATGGATTGAGTCCCAGTAAATCCCATTCGAACTCCTCGTGATCGAAGACGTAAGGGTCTTCGTTTATTTCGTTGCCTTCATGTAGATTGACTTGCGGCAGATGGTCATTTGTTAATTTCGGCGTAATAGGTGCGAGAATGTGCTCCAATTGCCTGAGCTCAAGTCTGCGAAGTGGTGCAGCTAGATTCCCCTTCGAAATGAGTTTATCGAGCACTAGTGCCAGGTTGTCGCACCATGTATCGTTTGAGATCACCGATGGTGCAATTGCACGGATTAGGTAAAGAACAAACGCAGATGACGATGCGTCTTCGATTTGGAACGGCAAAAATGCGTCTGTGCGTTGAAATTAATATGATAAGTCTTTGAACACAGCTAGTAGATCATACCTATCAAGTCATCATCAGCTAAAGTACGCAGGGTCTGGAGGATAGTCTGGGCGGAATCGGCGCAGCATTGTAGCAGGGATGCAACAGGGGGTGCTAGCCCGATCGTTTGAGATTTTTGTTTTTCTGTTCGTTCGATATGCATGTGCAGTGCGCACATGACTAGCGGTCTCGTGGTAAGTACCACACACTGCTGGTGTTAGTGCATGACGAGATCAGTAGTTCGGAGGGAACCCACATGATGATGAGCTAGCATCAATCGAATCGCCATTTTCGAAGCACGGCTAATTAACCCATGGAAATGAGTGTTCAAAAAGGCAGTCAGGTCGTATGAAAGTTCGGCAATGCTGTGAAGAATGGACTGTATACTTCGAACAAGCGTGTCATCGAAATCATTTCCAACCCCGTAGACAGCTAGATTTTATTAGCATATAATCCAACTTCAATCAAAAAAAAAGACTCACTCGTCAGAATAGTGGCCATAAGCCGGGAAAGCCGAACATGCAATGTCAAATTGACTTGTTCTACTGAATTATCCATCTCTGCTGGTAGTTTAACCGTGATATCCTCATCCCTAATTGAGCTTGGAGCACCAATCAAAGCAGAAAATTCTCGGTCTAACATATAAACCACCCAAAATATCGTTCTGCATCGTTTGGAGAGCTCCGGTCCACATATCTCTTCTGGTACATGTCTGTGTATTCCTTCGATGATACAGCCCCGCAAAGCATGTCCAATCTGTCCACAATTAGATAGTGTAGAACCAGGGAGACAAAAAGAAACTCACATGTTGAAAGGCCGCTCTTCTCATATCTATTGACTGAAGATACACTGCCCCTAGGCTGAGTGCTTGGATACAGCCCAAGGGATCCTCGTCAACTCCTGACAAATCAGGCAACAGGGCCATCGCCCGGGATGCGTATTGATGACCAGGCGGTGTTCCAGAAGGATTCTTCTGTGTCAAGAACGCTTTTCCAAAGGCAAGAACAAGTAAGTATTGACAGTACCAAGGTCTGTTGGAAGCAGCTTTCGCTGGTGGATCTCGGTAGAATTCATGCAGGTCCTGCAAATAAGCGTGTTCATCAATCATGAAAGAAAGGAAGCCAAAATAAAACTTGACTGTGTTGAATAGAAAGAGCGCGTAGTCCAGCGGCGGCAGATTAGTGACATCAGGAACTTCATCTGGGGGATATGGTCGCCAGGTTAACTTGAAAGCCACGCCATCAATGTGAAATGGATCTGGCGGGCAGTTCGATTCAGGGACCTTTCTTCCTATCAAAGCAAGTACGCGACGACAAAAGGACCACGACGATGTCGGCCCCATGTACCCTTCGATATCCGAGTTAGGGATGAGCTAGCGCGAGATGATAGCATAAACACTTACAAAATCGGCCATCTGGTGTCTGGGCAAAGGATGGATCCCGGTCCACTAAAGGATTCCGAGCAAATCTTGATCGGTGACTGTCTTGTTCGGCAACACTATCCGTCTCATGCTCTCTCTGAGGGGTCCCTGGAGCATGCAGAGGAGGTTCCATCCCTGGAAAGCAAACGGTGATCAACACACTAAACACACATTCAGATAATTATTATAACTTACCAATTGACATTGAACGCCATCCAATATCTGCTTGATTGTCTAGCAGCGTGCTAGACGCTTGAGGCGTCGGAGGAACATCAACATTCTCATCGCCTGTGAACAGTGTACCTCCTAGAGGACTGTGATCAAGAGGGGCCTGGGGCCCATGTCGCACCGGATTTCCGCTTCTCGTTATGTGCTCCTCAAGCTCTCGTAGATACCTATTTCATATTAGCACGTGCAGTGGAGCTAGTTGCAGCTACTGACCGTTCCGACACGGAGACCCGGACCTCCTCCACCGGAAAGTGACAATGCTTCTTCTTCCGCGCACATCTTGTGCAAGGGCTGATCCCCGAGCATTTCACCTTCATTGACCGACATCGTTCACAGCTTCATAAAAAAAATGTAAGTTGGTTGTTTTTCTTTTTAGGTTAAGATTCTGACTCACGCCCTCTGGCACTTTTTTGTTCTTGCCGGGGTAGCTGTTGCAGGCATGCCAGATTAGGATACCGGGATGATGTATAGAACAAATGTTAAGCTAGTCTGTGCTTCCGGGGCGACTCTCCGATATCAATAGCCTCAGAGGCGGGGTAGAGATTAGACAGTTGCGACAATCAGTCGGGATGTCATTCCGACTTTTCTTATCGGAGATAACAGCGATGACGACCCATCACATGATTGGTGAGACCCTAACAGCATTGGCTTTGCCTTGATCTATTTGGCTTCGTGCATGAACTATGCATATCTCTAGAGGGTATTAATAGTCTGATTGGCTATCTTGTGCATTGGGTATCTACAGAAGCCACTAAAATAACTTCGGAACTCATCCGACGATCCTTCGCCACAACTCACGACGCAATGCGGTGGCCATGTGTTGTGTTCGCTCCACCGCCCCGCGATTTTCGATTGCTCGGCGGTGTAGATATCCCATGCACTCCGCAACTGAACCCCATGGCATGCATTTGAAAGCTTTTGGCACAGTCAAGTTGGCAGCAGATGATTGTTCAAGGGCACGTTCATAGTTCTGCACCAGTTCACAACTGAGCTCGTCAGCCATACCCTGGATTTGTCCACATTCCAGCATAACTGTAGGTTGGTTGGTAAGAAGCCTATTCTGGTGCGTGGCAATTGCTTTGGTTGCACTGGCGGCGTTATGGGTGGCGAGGAAAAGAGCGGCCTTGGGGAAAGGGAGGTTCTCCTTGCCAGCAGGCATTCTTCGGCAAAGCATGGTGTCTGCAATTAGATCGTAGGACTGATCTGTATCGGCCTGGGTATCATGTATAAGGGATCGTGTCTCGTGCTCAATATATGCCCCTCGCACCAGCTTGATACCCAGGGCCCAGCCCTCTTCTGCGGCCCTCGTAAGATGGTGGTCGAGGTTCGCCTTTGATCCCTTGAGATAGCCCTGAATAGTGTTATAAACAATTGGTGTTTCAGATTTATTATGCTTGCGCATCATTTCAATGGCCCAGTCGTCAAGACCCTTTTGTAAGATCTGCTGCTCTGCATCCAACCAGAGACGTGAGCCCTGCTTTTCTGTCTCAATACAAATCTCATCGACGGCTTTCACCATAGCCTCCGGCATAGGTTGACGTGCTGCCATCGCGTCCACTGAGATAGGGCCGGCACCTGTTAATCTGGCAAGGAAGATCAGATTCCGTAGGACAAGAATACAGAGCTTCAGTACTTACTTCACAGCAAGGAAATCACCCGGCCCAACCATACGCAGCGTCTCCAGTGTCCCTTCCTTCCACTCCTCGATCATCTCATAGCACTTGTCGCTGTATTGTGATGCACCGGCCTCATCAAACGAAAGCTTTTCATCATGATCCAGCACTATCTCTTTCGAATATCCCAAGATGACGCCCTGGTAGCCCATCTTCTTAATGTCGGCCACTGTTTTCGAAACTTCCTTCCTGTTTACTCCAGCACAAAAGTGATTATAAACCGTCCAGCGAAGGAGCTTGTTCAGAGGGAGGTTCCGATCTGGGTTCAATAGTGGGGATTTGGATGTCGCAAGGACGCCCGTGACGGCTAGAGCAGGTTTTAGGAATAATTTGGATGTCATCAATGAAGTCAAAAGCAAAGACCGTAGTAGCATTCTCGTCGGCATTCGGGCCATAGATGAGACCTCGACGGGCGGCTTGTTTACTGGCATGACGGCGGCGTCGTGGAAGTGAGATTTTGTCGAATGAAGTCGAACCAAGGTCGGCGAGGCTTGGACCGAGAAGCCATGAGGCAGTCTCGTCAGAGTAGGGCGAGGTAACATCTTGACTTGAGTGAAGAACACGAATAGACAAGTCCAACGTCACAGTTCTATTTTATATGAAATAGTGAAGGATAGCAGTAACACTCAACCAAAGTCTCTATCGTGGGATACTATTCGAAGCAAACTCTTCCTGTCGCATCTGTATTACTTTATCAGACCGCTACTACCTACCCAATTATCCGATCATAGATCAGCCGGTCTGCCATCGGAAGACAACTCCGATAGAGGGGGTTCGTGAACCAGGAATCCTGTCCCGCGATGCCAACTCATCTGTGTCCCGCCACGGAGCATTTTGCGATTCCTAAATGGCCCAGAAATACAGCTCCAAACGTTATCATTGCTCTTGTTCCAGCACCGGTCCGGTTCAACGTTGTACTGTTAGTTTGCAGTACGTTTCATAGATAGACGTACCCAGGTGGGGTTAGCCAGCCGCGGTCCGACGGTGTATTGTCTGATTTTTATTGTAGCCATATGTTTTGTTCTAGAATTCCGGTTTAGATATTGATCTTCAGTACCATCTGCTGATATCAGAAGTCGCTTTCACGCCTGGACCACAACATCGGGGGTACTATCGCTATCAGTATGTATTATGTTGGAATATACCGAAACATTAAAAAAGGAAGCTGAAAGGATATTGGAATACTATATTACACGCCGAGTCTCTAATATAATATTCGGATCACGCAGCTTCTACGTCGTCATGGCTAGAGACCAAACAAAAAGCTACTGCCAGTGCCAGGTAGTAAACTATGGATATATATCTCTATGAATTCCTTTCTATAAGTAGAACCAGTTGAAATAAGAGCCAATCCAGCGCAAAATCTCACCCAAAGCCGAGTCCACGACTGTGACAGTGCCCAACTTGGTGTGATGGATATTACGAGAAGAACTGGCAGTACTCCAACTCTTGTGCTGGTCACGATCAGTAAACAACGATGCATTCACACAAAGGGGAAAAAGTAAAATTTAGATATTCAAATATCATAAGGTATATGTAAATTTTCCCGCATTCTTAAACCTCATTTGAAGGATATGTAACCTTTTCCAGTGGCACAAACTCTTCCTTAATTGTGCGAACGCTAACAAATCGCTGCAGGTGCGCCATAGTGCCAGTCTTATCGTTTGTACCCGAGTCGCGGCTACCACCAAACGGCTGCTGAGCCACAGTAGAGCCAGTGCACTTTGTATTCAAATAGAGCATGCCAGCCGCATGCTTGAGAATGGTCTGCGCCTGGCGGCTGACATAGGGGTCCTTGGCGAAGATACTTCCAGTCAATGCATAGCGCGATGTTGTATCAACCAGCTTCAATGTCTGCTCCCATTCAGCATCCGGGTAGACATAGACACCGAGAATGGGTCCAAATAGCTCCTCAGACATAATTATGTGGCGGGGGTTGGAGGTCCGATACACGGTGGGATGCACGTAATAGCCCTCTGCTTTCGAAGCCTTTCCGCCAACAATGAGCTCCAGCTCCGAGTCGCTCTTTGCGTCCTCGATAAACTTGTTGAGCTTATCAAATGAGCGTTCGTGAATAACGGGGTTCACGAAATTACTATAGTCTTCGACGTCTCCCACCTTGAGAGCAGCGGTCTCTTCTGCCAAAACCTTTTGGAACTCAGGCCAGACAGACTCTGCAACGTAAACGCGGGAGTTTGCAGAACATTTCTGGCCCTGATATTCAAAGGCTGCTCGGATGGTATTCAAAGCCGCGCTCCTCACATCTGCGGATGGGTGAACGATGCCCCAGTTCTTGCCGCCAGTCTCACCGACCACTCGAGGGTAGGAGTTATAAATACCGGCACCAATTCCATCACCGATCTTCTTCTGAATGCCCTTAAACGTAGCAGTGGCCCCAATGAATGTCAGGGCCCCAAACTCGGGTCTCTTGAGGACAGTGTTGGTGATTTGCTCGGCATCACCAGGCAAAAACTGGACAACATCCTTAGGCAGACCTGCCTCGAGCAGAATTTGGTGAAGCAGCCAGCTAGCATGAAGTGCCGAGTCGGAAGGCTTCCAGATAACAACATTTCCAAGTAACGCAGCAGGTCCAATAAGCGTTGCGCCGAGCGCAGTAAAGTTAAAAGGAGCAATGGCGTATGTGAAACCCTCAAGCGGGCGGTACTCCATCTTGTTCCAGTTTCCGTCAAGGTGAACCCTAGGTTGCTGGGAGAACAACGACCATGCCTCCTGGATGTAGTGGCGGAAGAAATCGGCCGTCTCGGCAGCGGCATCAATCTCTGCTTGCCATATGTTCTTTCCTTGGCCAAGCATTGTGGCTGCAACTATTTCTGAACGGTATTTGCCGGTGATAAGCTCGGACGCTCGAAGGAAGATGGCGGCACGGTCTTCAAAGGGGGTCGCTTCCCATGCGGGCTTAGCTTTAAGGGCCGCGTCAATGGAGGCATTGACTTGCTCTGGGGTGGCAGAGGCGTAGTTTGCGACGATCTCGCTGTGCTTTGAGGGATTTGGCTGGGAGCGGGATTCCTTCGTGGTGACCTATAAATGTTTATGTCAGTTGAATATCCACTCATTGGTATTCGATTTCTTTTTGTACATACCTCTGAGCCATTAATAGTTATAGGAATTGTGAAAGGGAATTGTCCCTTGAGTTTCTTGATGGTCTTGGTCAGCTCGGCTCTTTCTGGGGAGCCTTTCGCGTAGTTGAGCTGTATTTCTGTCAGTCAAAGTTCAGTTGTATGGATATGTTGGTATTTGCTTACCATCTTTTCATTTTCGAACTTAGGGGGGCTCAGCATAGTCAAGTATCGCCTTGAAGATGCATTTAGAGTGCGAGGCCTAAGGCAGTTGAGCCTCGCTCCTCGAGTAATAGTAACAGGACGCATATTGAGTTGGATGAAAAATAAAAGACGGACACAGTCTTCAGAGTTAAAAGCACGAACGATTTGCCAACATCCCGGCAGATAAGCTGTTAAATATGATATACATGCATGAGATAGGCATGGCCATCGGGAGGCACTTCCGAGTACAACGGTGACAGGAGATATCTAATAAAGCTCCATTATCGGAGCACCTATCCGATGTTCAATAACTGAGTACCCTTCCCCCTGCCAGTCGTATGGAAATAAAGACCACGTCAACCTCACATACTACTCTTTGCGCTTCTTCGGAGAATATAGGAGTGGAACATTGTAGTTAGGCAACAAGCGAGCATGACTATGTATTTATGTGACCAGCCTAAGTCTTGCCAACTTGGGGTTTCCTATAATGTTGTGTTCCTTTTTAGTCGTTGTTTTTGGATATATAGCTGGAGGGTTGAAAAGAATTGGCCACATAGCATGCCGTATAGGATAGTGGAAAGTGGTGTAACCCGTTTCTATAAATAATACCCGATGTACGTTATACTATATAAGGCACATCTTAGAAGCATATACGCGTCTCTACTATCCTAGTCTTGGACTCAGTTAGAGTCTCGCCTCGATACACTACACTACTTAGAAGTTGGTAATTCGATAATATATCGCCTATTAAGCTCTTATAATATCTTGGTATCTTAACAGTAGTACCTGGATGAGATTTCTAGTTACCCCGAAGCAAAAATAAAACACTCCGTTGTCCCAAATTGTAGTGAGTGCCTAGCAACCTTGGAAACAACCATCTAACAATACCATCCTCGCGTAGCAAAGACAAGGTCAACCCTGACACTTAATCAGATGCATTGCCGTCTTCCTCTGATACATCGGTCGAGCACATGTTTTCGTCCACTCGAAATACTGACCAGTCTTCGGTTCGTCGCTGTGAACGAGATTTCTTAGGACCATCGTTTCCTTCAAGGGTGGATAAAATAGAAGCTTGTTTATGGATATAGGCAAGTGTTTCGACAATTTCCTGACGACGACTGTAATTCAGGTCTTGTCGGGACCACTGATAAAAGGTTAGTATAAATGCATTTAGATATCTCAGAAATAATAACTCACTCGTCCTCCACTATCGATTCGTAGAAAGTGGAACTGTTCATTGTCGGTCGATAGACCGAAAATGGCATGGTGAATCCTATTCTCATACTGACGTTGCCCATGAATCATACCTTTATTATAGTTAGTTCTGATGATGAAGATCGAGGAAAATTACTTGCACATATAGGCAATAGCCTGGGGTATGCCGCCGGAAGATTGGTCTTTGTTTGTTTCCACAACGACAAAATTGGCGGCTGCATACTCCTTTTCAGCGTACGGACCGTACCAAAGGGAAAAACTAGGTAACCCTTGTAAACAGCGCTTTTCTCCCTTGTAGATGACCGGCTCAAAGGAAAATCGGCATCTGGGCGAGATGGGGATCGGAGTTAACCTAGAATCGCATTGGTCGGGGGACGTGGAATGCACAGCGGTAAGAAGGATCCCTAAACGAAGCCGCAATGCAATTTCATGCTTTCCATCCGAGTTGGAAACCGAGGTGTCCATGATGTTTAGAATATGCTCTGTTAATCAATAGATCAACAACTAATTCCAACATATTCCATGACAGACTCACTGGAATCATGCGACAGTTTGAAGGCAGTTCGAAATTCCACCCAGTCCGTATCGTAAGTTCTGGTAAGAGAGAAAATGCTTTCAACGTCGGTGACTTGAAGGCTCTCAGCTGCCAACATAGGAAGGTGAAGTATCTGTCGTGAAGATACCATTATGGAAAATGGAGGAGGCGCTTGTAAGATCTCGTGATGTAGGAAGATATAGGAAGATGTAGGAAGGGATGGAAGAATAGGAGGGGAGAGATGGAAGAGGGTGTAGCTGCCTCTTTCAAGGTTCCGATGCCGAATAAAGTAAGAGGTCCCCCAACTCTAATTTCTCTCACTTTTCATCCAATCCTCATCTATTCTACATCACATATTTTTCATACCCATTCTGTTCTACCACAATTAATTTGCAGCCCAGATTCTAAATTCATTCTTTCCCCATTATGATGTCCAAAAGAAATGGCGGCAGGTTGTTAAAGACTTTCTGAATCGTAGGGCAGACGAGGGAAATCTCCAAGACCTCGTACAGGAGCACGATTCAGAAAAAAAGAAAGCCCGCACAATAGCCATCTCGTCCCAGGATATGGTCCAGGTGCAGAGCATGCTGGGTCTGAAACTTGTAACCAACGACCCCGGGCTCGACAATGTCCCTCCCCTTGAGATGTCATCTGAACTGAGTATGTGATACCCAAATGAAGAAGACGATATTACGCTAACAGAATCTAGCGAGTGTGCTGTCGAAGATTGACAATGCAACTACCAAAGGTGCCGTAAGCGAATCAAACATCCGTTTCACACTGGATATTCTGTTAGTGTATGCGCATGATATTGCGATGTCTGAAAACGCAGATCGTCGTTATGCAATCAGCATATAGACCGAAAAACATTGGGCCTACGGTCCAGTGGAATGGAATAAGAAAGACTATCGGCTAGTTGGACAACCCGACTATGCCGTCTGGTACGGTGAAATTGAAGAGACGGCGCTGAATGTAGTGGTAGCTGAGGCGAAAAAAAGACACATGACCGGCACTTGCCTCATACAATGCCTAGGATACATGGGTGAGTACCTAGCCTTGGAGTTATATTTCTATTGTTGGGTCTAACTCGTTGTAAGGCGTTGTGCATCGCACCCGAAAGGCATCGGGAAAAGAGAACTGCACGGTATATGGGATGGCGTCTGATGATCAGACGTTTATTTTCCTGAAAATCAATGAAAAATCCGAAGTAAGTGAGGTATGATGGATGTCTAACTGCCTCAAGTCTAACAGCCTTAGAACTAGTGGTCCGAACGGCAGTTTACCACCAGAATGCAACAATATAGCCCAGTACTGGGCTTGCTCGTCCATTTCATGCGAGGTGTGAAAGACGATGGGTATCAGCCAATGACGATAGATGAGAAGTGAGAAGGAAGTGAGGACAAAGTGAGAAAAAAGTGAGAGAGAAGTGAGAGAAAAGTGAGAGATGGAAGGTAGGGGGTATACCCTACGACAATCATTAGGTGACGATTTCTTATATATGGGATTTGGGATTATAGGATTATAGGTTACTACAGGAATGGGCTGATTTCGCACTCTTTACAAATCAGCATCTGTATACTCTCTAGAAGCACTGTATACTCCCAGCTCAGCGTTTGGCCCCAAGTTCTTGCTTCGATTAGAAGAAGCGCCTGTATAGCCATACGCAACTAGTTAGACTGTAACAGGTTAATTGAACTTTGTTTGATTGATTGATCCATTTCATGCGAACAGCGGCCAACATCTCCCCAACACGTTCCAAACAATCGTCAAAACAAAGTCACATGGAAGAAAATTCCGACTCGACCACCCAAACCACGCTGTATTCTTCTTTCGGCGAAATGGAAGTTGAATGCTAGATTCCTTCGTCTACGAAGACCCATAGGGGTCAGGGCTCAGAACCCATCTGTGTAGGGGGTTGATGCCTACGCGCCTTACTTTAGAACGACAGAAAAATGACGATACCTGAATTACGACCTATCGCTGCTAGAGCGACTTCCCCAGCAGTATTCAAAGAAAGGCTATTTAATATACAATTTACGTCTTTAAAGTCTTATACCGGCTCAATATTTCCGTATAACCACCGTCAATAGCAGGAACGCTATGTATATTCATTATTCCTAAATATACACCCTTTTTAATTCCGGAACAACTGCCATACGCTATTATCTTATCTTACACGAAACTCTTATATCCTACCTCCACTGCCCCTCCATGAGTGACATCCGTCCATTCTCAACATTACCATCTGTGAACTGCGAGACCCTCTGCGCAATACGGTGCCGAGACTATGCGCCTGAGCCCTAATTTGCAAATTTACTCCATGAGCGTAGTGTCTTTCCATACTATGAAATGAATTAGCAGATGATAAAGGTAACTGCGAAATGTATTTTAACCTACCTTTTCAAGAATGAAGGGAAGCGGAAGCATAGCGATGGAAATGAACCCCAATGTACTGGATGCCCAGCCAATTCCAAGAGATTGCAACATCCGAGGAGCAGCCAAAGGTAATGCACCTCCAAATGAGCTCCTAAAAAAGGTATTGCCGGCAAAGACACTTGCAACGTGTCTCGGATAAGATTCTCCAAGATAATTGAGGACAGACTGGAACGTGAGGTAGAAACCTGGCGCAAAAAAAGCAGTACCTATGATTGGAACAACCCAGTGTACACTAAATGTATATCAGTATGCGCGGTTATCCATTAGAAACGTTTGATCAAGCATACTTTGGTCGTGATGTCCACGCAAATATGAACAAACAGATTGGAATGCAAATTGCACCGACTTGTCCTGGGACTAGTCTCGCTTCAGGCTGGACACTGAATTCTTGCCTAGATATGCGAGGTTGGTAGGAGAATCGGAGCCAGAGTACGTATGCCACAACCGATATGACTGCACCGGCGAGGATGCCGAAAAATGCAACTGTCAAAGAACATATAAGCCTAACCAGATCCCTAGGTTGAATAAGAGGAGAAACCCACGAGCTTGTTGTACAGGACTGAAATGATATACTCCGCCAAAAACTATCAAAGGGTTGTGAGCCAGTGAATCCAGGTTACTAGATTAGAAAATGATCTTCTTACCAAATGGAAAGAATTCAAACCATAGATAGAGAATGCCATATATCAGCATGGTGTGTATGTTCACGAAAATAATCACCGGATCCATGCAGGATATCTTAAGATCATTCACCATCTGCTGGATAATCATGGTGCCCAAGCTCGTCCTTAGTTCCATTTCAGATTGGCTTCAATATAAAGGATTTTTTGTTTTTGTACAAAGTCATTGCGCTCGACAAAGAAAAATGTTGGAAGACAGGGTCTCCGGTAAAAAGAAAAAGATAAACAACGTTGTAAATGCGGTAATTCCAGCAAGAAGCCATAAAGTTGCTGTCCAAGTGTGCCAACGATCGCTATATGAGTTAGCAACCATCACTAGGCATAGAGCTAGGAAGGTACGAACATCACTAGAGTCCCGAATATCTGAGAGCTGGGATTAGCTGACTTAATAATTCATGCTTAATGGTAGAACGGAGGACATACCGGTCCTAAAATTGGCCCACAAACCCCGCTTACTGCATATAAAGCAATCGCATACGGCGCTTCGCCCGGCCCGTATACTTCCATCAGAGTTGCTCCTCCAACACTTATTGGGGCACTTCCAAAGAAACCACCCAAAAATCTTAGTATGAGGATAGTCTCAATGTTCTTTCCCAAGGCTGTTCCGATGTTTAGCAGACAAAAGACGAGAGATCCCAAGACGTACACCGGTGTACGGCCGATAGCTGGGAGATTTGATAGTGGAGACAACTAGGGAACGTAGATCAGATTATTAGCCAAATTAGGTCTGGTTTGAGTTTGATGTGTACATACAAACAAAGGTCCAATGCCATAGGCAATGACAAAGAGTGATAGCCCAAGAGTTCCTTCAGCAGTCGTGGCGCCGAATTGATCCTTGATACCGGGAATACTTGGTGTGAAAATTGCCGAAGCGGCATAGAAGCTGAAATTCAGGAACATCACATCCAACATGACAAAGGTCTTCGATAACCGTGACCAGTTCCTGGGCATGTCCGGGTCATCGTCACCTGAGAATTCAACGATAAATTGATGCCCGGGCTCGGGCGTCACCGAAGTGGTCGACATAACTGAATTCGACACCATCTCGAATTTAGGTATCTCCAGTTCAGGATATGGCAAGAACTTGTTACTGGTCAAAAAATTCAAGAGGCGTCCAAACAAACTCTCGCGGATTAGAGCATTCATCGTGGCAAACCTTTGGCAAGAGATACGATGAGCTAGGAGCAGGTTGCAATAATCCTTTTCAATTGTACCAGTGTATTTAAGAGAGGGAAGGAATTAAATAGTTTATAAACCCTTCAAGTCTAATGAGCCTTTTATTTTCCATTCTTCATTAAATTTTCGGAACTCCGATCAACATCGCGGATCAACATCGCGGTTCAGTGAGGTTCCTGATTCCTGAATTCCGAAGATAAACTCAAATGGCATCGGAACTCCGGATTCTTAGTTCAAATCTTAAAGCGTCAGGCTTACATCACGATACACCCAGAATAAATTTACTTGCACTTCCTCCTTGCGAACTCCTTGGAATTTCTATACAAACATTTAGCACACTTTATTCCAGTATTTACGACGACATTACCATCTCATGCCTCCCCATACCGTTCCAGAGCCAGGAAAGGTGCCAAATGTGCCTCATGACACTCAACAAGCTTATCAGATTCTCAAGTCGGGCGGAGTCATTATAGCCCCAACAGATGTCGGCTATGCACTTCTAGCCTCTTGTCAGGCCGGGGTTCAAAGAATCTTTGCTGCCAAAGGTCGTCGAGAGAGCCATAACATCGGTATCATTGGAACGTATCAGCAACATCGAGAGATCCATTTGTTGCCGGAGTCAAAGTTTGAGATGACGCGGGTGTTGACGGAGGATATGGGAATGATAATCGGAATCATTGCCAAGTTCGATTCAAAGAACCTTCACCCGCGTTTGGCAGCGCTAGATAAGGCGACACTCTCTCAGGTCACAAATGGTGACACAGTCAGCATCGCCATTCCAGAAGGACCTTTCTTGCGAGAGCTCGGTCGGCTCTGCGATGCCGACCCACAGGGCATGTTGATGTTCGGGACTTCCGCAAATCTTACCGGACAAGGGCAACGATTTCGGATTGAAGATGTGGAGCCCACCGTGCTTGCATGTGTCGATTTGATTGTTGATTACGGCTTGCAGAAGTGGCATTTGTATGGCTGCGGTGGCGTCAATCTCGATGTTGAAAACATGCTGGTCCTACGCAAGGGAGCCGGGTACGAAGTTTGCAGAGACAGGATCTTGAGATGGTTTCCGCGCCTGTTTGACGAGGCGGCTGGCGGCCTTGAACAAGATCCGGAGAGCATGGCCAAGGAGACATACGCTGGCAGATTGAAAGCTTCAGTCAATGAGTTTGGGACAATATAAACCATTTGAAGCGCGAGTTGCTTTCTTCAATTACTCAGGCTTTCGGATCAAAGGCCCCTTTGTATAAGAGTCTCCGAAATACATACGAAAACTTGTCATCGATTGGGTGTTTTTACTGGTAGGCTGATATTTGAGTGGTTAGAGACCCCTTTGGAGGGAGCTGACTTTTTCATTGGGTTAAGCGCTTAAGTGGGGTGCAACGCTCGATGTGCATAAATGACTTGCGGCGTTATTTATGTTATTCTAAGATTTGAGATACAATAGTTGGCATCGTGTACAATCTCCGGACCATGGGATATAAGTAGAGCTGGAAAGAGTCTGTGGGTTTGCAGTACTAAGGTGGAATGGTCTATGGTGTAGACTTTCGGCATTTAGGTTGAATCGTATTTGGTATGTTGATCGTACAAGTTCGGGAATTGATTCTTGCTTGGGAAGTGAAGGCATTTAGTTCTAGGCGAGGAGAAATGGGAGCAATATCATGTGGCAATATGTTAGAATCGGAATTCCGTTGCGGCGAGCGCGGAGTTCCGGCCATCCATCTCCATGACCCCGAAATCGTCTCACGCGACGTGCTCAAACATGAATCCAATATCAACCATGAAAATCAGAAAACCGGGTCCACCGCGCAAGAAGGCCTGCCAGTTCTGCACGGACTCCAAGGTCCGATGTAGCCTCGAGAAGCCGACCTGCTCGCGATGCTGGACTCGTGGCACGCAGTGTCGGTATCCCGCGGGTTCGGGCGACGTACGTCGATCAAGCCCTGTGGCTTCGAGTGAAAGAAACTCACCAGATGAGAGCCTTGGCTTTGAGTCGCCACTTGCAAACTCTTCCAATACCTCGACCGCAACAGCGTTCCCGAGTCATGTGTCTGGCCATGTGTCGGATATACGGCACATGTACTCCCAGCACGAATCTACACAGACGGTGGACACCGATCTGACTTTTGATCATATTGACCTCGTGCCAATGGTAGACGCTGAAAAGATCCGCGATCGCTGGCTGCAATCTTACCTTCTCGCTGCGCCTGGGCAGGTTCCCAAGCTGTTCAACCCTTTTACCGTGCAGTTCGTCACCTGCGTGCTTCGCTCATACCCTAACCATCTTCTCGAGGAGAAAAGCCTCCCTCCATTCATTCACCCAATGCAACTCAGCAACAAAGCGATGCCGCGAACAATAGCAAACTGCTTTTCTCTGGTGCGCATGTGGATGAACAGAGTTACTGGAAGTGAGGCAATTGTCTTATCAACCGTCAGACAGGAGATGGAGAGACTATCCCAAGAGGTACGGTCAGTTTAATTCCATGGAAAATACTACTCTAACCAATCAGATCGCAACAAATGACTTCGACACATTATGTTGCTTCCAAGTATACCTCATTTACCTAATAACAGCCTACTTCTCCCCAATCGACAACGTCTCCCTAGTTGACGACATGAATATGATAAACCTGCAAAATCTCGCTTTCCGCGCTGCAGAAGCAGGATTTACCTGCAAAGCTGAGCTTTCGCGAACGCGGCCAACTTGGGAATCCTGGATTATTGCCTCTTCCAAACGACGCACGCTGTTCACAATGTACCTCTTCACGAATGTGTACAACTCCGACAATGGTCTTCCAAATTTCCTATCTGATGAGTTGAGGGATATTCTTGTCCCTGAGAGTAAAGCACTGTGGGAGGCGTCTGATCGAGATTCTTGGACGAAGGAGTATAATCGACATTTGTCGAGATGGGAGGATGGAATGCTACGAATTTCGGAGCTGTGGGGATCTTCGGAGACGGGGTCGGAGGCAAAAAGGAAGCGAATCGGGCGGTGGGTGCAGTCGACAGATGAGTTTGGGATGATGCTTTTTGCAGTGTGTGCGCATATCCATGGGTGCTGACCATACCGTGGAATTTGGCTAAAAAGATAGCTTGCGTAGGATATAATGGCATCTTTCTGTGTATGCATGTTCTTATACTAGGCCGCAAATATTAGCAATAAGGAGGTACTAGAATTGATATATAATGTATAGGGGTTTAGGAGCTATTCAAATTAGGAACAATTATGCTAGGCTGAGATTTGTGAGCATCGAGACTAATCGGATGATCAGTTCTGGTGAATCACACAGCTTAGCCTTATATAACCTTATATACCTTACAGTTAGTAGTATTAACAAGTGAGCATAGACTGGCGTGTTTCATGTTTGAGCGGAGGGAAAAATGTTGCCCACTCAGTTGGATATTACGCACTGAAAACTGGTCACAGTTAGGTTAGAAGGGTTCCGGGCACACTTTTTTTTATACTCCCTAGGTTTCCAACATGAACGATTTGTGCTCTCAACTGCACTTTTGCCTAACAGGTCTTACTGCAGATTAGGTCCTTTTGAGCTATCGAGAAACGGTGCCAAGTAGAGCGCCGAATAGATATATACCGGAGTATTGGTCTATTCGTGAGCGTTGTCAAGTTATAAAGGTAAACACAAGTAACAATATACGATTGAAGGCGAAGACCATGTCCTTATATATCCTTCGTTCCTACTCCCTAAAAGTAGATATTGGAGTCACGTTCACGTGTCCCGTAGTTCCCAAATGGGCAACTTCTGGTGCGCCTAATATCCGATGTATGAAGTAACATATATCAACTCTGCATTTTGGACCACATCGAGCTTTTATACTTTGGACTATGTACTGTATCTTGCTTAGTAGTCAAAATTGCTGAGTATCATTATGTGAGTATAATTTTTGACCGCAGTCAGAAATCCAGTCTTTGAAAAGATAGAGAGGCTTGGATCTGCACTCGTATATTCTGACTTAAACTGAAACTTTTAATGAAGTTTACTAAAATGAACTGCCTCAAGCCTAACAGACTTGGAATTAGTGGTCCGAACGTCAATTTACCACTAGAATACAATAGTATGGCCCAGTACTGGGCTTGCTAGTACACTTCATGCGAACAGCTTCCATGTCCCATTCAAAAGAATCCTCCAACCATAGTCGCATGGAAGAAAAAGCCAAGTCAACCTCATATACCAGGCTCTACGCTTCTTCAGAGAATGTGGGGGTGAAATATGGTAGTTAGGCAACCAGCGAGAGTGTATGTTGTATATATATTTTGTGAGCATGGTCTTGCAACTCTGATTTTACTCTTGTATTTTGACCGTTTCTTCAGTAGCATTCTTAGTAGCCTTTTTGATGGTCTTTTTGATGGTCTTTTTAGTATATGTAGTTAGAGGGATAAGAAGAATTGGCCATAAAGTACTCCATGGTCAGTATAGAATAGTGGAAAGGGAACCGTTTCTATAAATAACACCTGGGATTCACTCCGTAGAAAGTCCACGGGGTAGACTAGGATCTAAGCATCGGGAATTCATATAATTCAATTAACAGTTTCAACTCATGAATTCGACTTAAAATAAACATAAACTATACAGGCAAAATTTGAACTGGCGCACTGGCGGTAATGAACTGCCGTAGACCAGCCCCCTCGGGAGCTCCGCTTGATCGTCAACATCGTCATTGCCATCACCTCCACACCTTGACCCCTCCCCACGCAAGCATCACCCCCCCGGTTTCCTGATGTCCCTATTCGGCACATCTCCAGAGGATCCCTCTGCGGGTGATCCTTCCAGATCCAAGTCCTCGCTGTTTGCTGACGAACCGGCTACGGGCGGCTCATCGCTGTTCGCTGATGACGACGGCGGCGACAGCTCCTCTCCTTGGAACGCTCAAAATAATACTGCCAAAAGAACTGCACGACGCGATCTAGTTCGGACCTTGCTTGCCAATACCGATGTTCCTGAGAGCTACATTGATGCATACGACCTGATTCTTAACACCGGGGATAGGGTTGGCTCCGGCATTGGGCTGACCTCTGTTCGAGAGATTCTTTCAAGCAGCGGGCTCACTGCAACCGATCAAAGTAAAATCTTGAACCTTGTTGCATCTGGTGATCATGAAAGCTTTAGTGGACTCGGTCGTGGCGAGTTCAATGTGTTGTTGGCACTGGTCGGCCTAGCGCAAGAAGGCGAGGACCTCTCATTTGATGCAGTGGACGATCGCCGCAAAAGTGAGTTAACTTTGCGCCCTTTGGGTTTTCTTTATTTTCTATGGATAATCTCTCTAATACGGAATTGATGGATGCAGAATTACCCCAGCCAAATACTGGCTACCTCGACAGACTACGAATGACCGGCGACACGAGCTCTGAACCACACCAGCAACCTGCTACCCCTCCTTCCCAGCCTCCTCCCCTACAAACCACTGGCTTCGCAAACTCGCAAAGGCCACGACGAGAGTCATTGGGCGGATTGGAGTCAGACCCATGGGGCAGCCCACAGTTACACCGCGGTCACAACCACGAGACAGGAGACGCCGAACCACGTATATTGAATGGATTCGGCAGTGTGAGGTCCACGACGAACGCCTGGTCTAGCAAGGTGGTTGAAGACACTACACAAAGCAATGTGGTTCAAAGGGGTCATTCCAATGGCCAGACGGAGGCCGCGCCGCCTAGCAGTTCTGGCTCTGGATGGGGGAATAATAACTTCATCGGTGTGGGCCCGAGCGACGAAAGCAGTTTTGGAGGCACAGTTCCTCCCGCGCTAGGTGGATTTGGTCCTGTAGAGGATGAGCCTAGCAATATTGCACCACGGCGTCGGTCCCTTGGTCTCGGCCGACCGACAAACCCACAGGTAGAGGAGAGCGTCACCGTCACGTTGCTCCCCGAGAAAGAAGGCTTGTTCATGTTTCAACACAGAAATTATGAAGTCAAGTCTGCACGGAGAGGTAGCACGGTTATTCGGCGGTACAGTGATTTTGTCTGGTTATTGGACTGTCTCCAAAAGCGATTTCCTTTCCGGCAATTGCCTCTTCTTCCCCCCAAGCGGGTTTCAGGTATGCACAACGGTGATTTAGGACACCTAATTTCTTACTCACAATCATGAAGTAAATGGCACTCACCTTTCAGCGGATTCATCTTCATTTCTCGAAAAGCGCCGGCACGGACTTGTTCGATTCACCAATGCCCTCGTCCGCCATCCCGTTCTTGGTCAAGAGCAGCTTGTGATCATGTTTTTGACAGTTCCGACAGTAAGACCTCCTTTCGAGCTTTTTGGGTGATCTGGTCAAGACAGATGATAACGGTGAATACAGGAACTTTCGGTGTGGCGAAAACAGGCCACAATATCAGTCCAAGACGAGTTTACTGGCCGGGTCCTCCCACCGGATCTTGAAGATTCGTTACCCGCCACTCTTGATGAAACGTTTGAAACAGTTCGTAACGGTGTCAAGCGTTCTGCAGAGATCTATATTAATTTGTGCACTTTGCTTGAGCGATTGGCTAAGCGCAACGATGGTTTGGCTGCTGACCACCTCCGGTTCTCCCTCGCCCTGCAGTCCTTGACGGAAGTCACGAAAGACACGTACGCTGTGGATACGAGTGACATTCCGTCCCTTAATGCAGGTATCACAGCTACCGCTCGGCATCTCTCTGCCAGCCAAAGTCTGCTGGAGGACGAAGCCCGAGGGTGGACCGAGGGGGTTCTAGAAGATCTAAAGCGACAACGTGATTGCTTGGTGAGTGTGCGGGAAATGTTCGATCGGAAAGATCGGTATGCACGGAACAATATTGCGCAGCTAGAACGACGCATTGAGGCCAGTGAGCAGAAGCTGCAGGACCTACGTGCCCGACCGGGCGCAGTGAAGCCCGGGGAGATCGAGAAGGTTGAGGATTCTATCTTCAAGGTGAGACTGGGTATTTCAAATGACATTCGCCGTAATACTAAATTTGGTTATCTACTAGGACAAAGAATCTATTGTGCAACAGCATGCCCGGGGCGTTTTCATCACAGAATGCATCCGTGACGAGCTTGTGCACTTCCAGCAGAGCCAGTATCACATCAGTCGGCTGCATCAAGACTGGAGCCAAGAGCGTGTCAAGTACTCCGAACTGCAGGCGGACAACTGGCGTGGCTTGAGCGACGAAGTTGAGAGAATGCCGACGGGTGTTTGACTGTGCAGCATTGGGCCTCGTCACTTAGGTTGCACGTACATACCAGCCCGGACTTGAAATCTTTGAAGTATCTTTTTTGGGGATACGCGCGGGGTGCGCAGTGCAGTATACTGGTACTGATCGAATATTTGCTTTTTTTCCTCTTTTTCTTGATATTTCCCCGGAAATACCCCGTACGCATATTTCACGATGTTGGGTTTTCAGTATCAAATTCCCCCTGGAAGTTTTTTTACATAATTGTCAATTTGATTGTATGTTATTGTATGTTATTTGTTCAATGGATTTGTATTTTCTACATATTTTTGTAAAACTCTGTTATACGAAAAAACATATAGTACAAGTGCATGCACTATACGCCACTGACTCAATACACCCGACGATCTTTGTGTTCGGGCCTTGGCAGGGCTGATTACAATACCATTACCCTTACAGTACACCGGAAGATTACTGCAACTGTTTGAAGTGACACTTCCGATATGCAGTTGATTTGATATAAACATCTTCTTTTCTTCTTTTTCTCTATATTCTAATTTCCCTATTTCCTTTCTATATAATATCATATTTTCCTGGTGCACGTCCTATCTCCGCCAGCCAAGACCAATTCCGCTTCCAACGTGGGTCTCGAAAGTCTCGGCTGACGAATCCCGCCGTTTCCAAGAATACTTCGTTCTGGGCAAATCTCCCAAAGCACGCGTTCACTCGCTTTCTTCTGCTTGGCCAAGAGTTCCCAAGACTCTGACCGATTTTCGCTCTTCTCCAATTTTTTTTCTCTTCTCTCTTCTCATCCCTTCCAATCCGAATCTACCCTTCCCTGAGGCCAAGCCTGAGAGCTCTTTTTTTCCAACCTGCCCAGCTTAGCCTCCACCCTCCGGTGGCATCTCCAAGCTCTTGGCTCAGTCTGCACCCCGCAGGCTCTGTACGATCGTTCACCTCCAAATCTGTCGGACGTGCGCCTGGATCGCGAAACCTCAGCCTTACAAGGCTCGGCAACTCGGCTTTTCGATCTCCGATTCACCAAGGCATGAAGAGCCACGCGAACCAACGAAGTTCGAGCGCGGAAGTCATCCGGTAAATCGCTCATTGCGGTACAACCTGGGACGGAATCGTACAAAAGTTCCCGAATAATACAATTGGTGTTCAATCACCCACATCTTCACCATGGCATGGGACCATCTGGACATTGATAAGCCGCATTTGGCTTACATGATCCTGGGAGGGTTCACAGGCCTGTTCATGCTATGCTCCTTATTCGTCAAGGAGAAGCTGTACATCGGCGAAGCCACCGTAGCCACACTTTGTGGTATCATTTTTGGCCCCCATGCGGCCAATCTGTTCAATCCCCATGAATGGGGAAATATCGATAAGATCACCCTAGAGTGCTCGCGAATTGTCCTGGTCGTGCAATGTTTCGCCGTCGGTGTAGAGTTGCCCAAGGCCTACATGGAGCGGCATTGGAAGTCTGTTTCCGTGCTGCTAATCCCCGTCATGACCTGGGGTTGGTTGATCACCAGTTTGTTTATCTGGTGGATGGTACCTCCCCTGAATTGGCTTGAGGCTCTGGTGTGTGCTGCCTGCGTTACGGCCACTGACCCTGTCTTGGCGTCGTCTGTTGTGGGTAAGGGAAAGTTCGCCAAGCGTGTCCCCAAGCATTTGCGTGACTTGTTGTCTGCAGAGTCCGGGTGCAACGATGGCATGGCTTTCCCATTTATTTATTTGTCTTTCTACATCTATCACTATCGCCCCAATGTCGGTGATGTGTGGCTGCACTGGTTCTGTGTCACCGTTCTGTATGAGTGCATTTTCGGTGCTATATTTGGCTTCACCATCGGCTACATTGCTCGCCATGCGATCAAATGGGCTGAGCGCAAGGGATTGATCGATCGCGAGAGTTTCCTCGTGTTCTACTTTGTGCTGGCCGTCTTCTGTGCTGGTTCGGGTTCTTTGTTGGGCATGGACGACCTGCTGATTGGATTTGCTTGTGGTGTTGGATTCAGTAACGATGGTTGGTTTACGGAGAAGACAGAGGAATCTCATGTCTCCAACGTTATCGATCTTCTACTCAACTTGGCATACTTTGTCTATTTCGGGTCCATCATTCCCTGGGAGGACTTCAATTCCCCAGAACTGGGACTTACTCCTTGGCGGCTGGTGGTGATTGCGATATTGGTCCTCTTCTTCCGGCGCATTCCTATCATGCTAATGCTTAAGCCATTCATACCAGACGTCAAAACCTGGCGAGAAGCTTTATTCGCAGGGCATTTCGGCCCTATCGGTGTAGGTGCCATTTTCGCCGCCATTCTCGCTCGAGCGGAGCTGGAGCACCACAGCACACAACCATCACCCGAAGATGAACTTCCACTCCCAGGAGCTAGCAATTACTATGTTGTCAGGCTCATTTGGCCCATCACTACATTCATGGTCATTACATCCATTCTGGTGCATGGCTCATCTATTGCGGTCTTCACTCTTGGTAAACGCATCAACACCTTGACTATCACCCTATCCTACACACAGGCCAACGAGGATGGGCCTTCATGGATGAACCGTCTTCCTCGTGTGCAGTCAATTGCCAAGGGATCCATGTCCTTCCGCAAGGCGGAGGATACGGATGCTTCATCGGACGAAAAGCTTCCTGAGTATCCTCCCGGTACTCTACCGCCCATCGGTATGCCTGGCAACTTCCTCCGTCGGCAACGTGACGAAGAGGGTGACAGTGAATCACAAAGCCTGGAGTCTTCTCGTCGTAAGCCTTTGCGGAGACGTCGTCGTAAGCGTGCTGCCGGTGGCGGAGGCCCTATTAGCCAGTCCGCTATTATACCCGCTCCCCGGCGAACCGAGGAAGAGACCCCGACCGAAGAACAAAAGAAAGAACTCGAAGAGCGCGATCAGGTTGAGCGTGGAGCTTCTCCGCCTCATGCCGAGCGGGATCGCTTCGGCCGTGAGCCGCAGATGGAGGTTTATCAAGAGGGCCCCAATATGATAATTGAGGATGAAGAGGGCAATGTTCTCGCGACTGAGGACACCTCTCGTATGTCTCAGGCAGAGAAGGCAGCGCACATTGAAGCGCAACGCAAGCGTCTGGAGAATGATAAATCAGGAGAGTTCGCCGCGTCTGAGAGTCAACCCCACGCGAAGACCGAGGGAGAAGAAGTCAAGGAGTCTGTCGAGGATAAGGCTGGCACGACATACGGAAATGCTCTCAAGAAGTGGTCCAACTGGACCGGAATTGGAAAGGGCAAAGAACAGGCAGAGAAGGCGCAGAAGCCCAAGAAGGCAGAAAAGCCCCCGAAGGCCGAGTCTGCAAAGCCCAAACCCCGTTCGGCCCATGCATACCAATTTGGCAATACTATCATTGTTGAGGATGAGGATGGTGAGGTGATCAAGAAGTATACACTTCCTGGCGGTAAGAAGGGCGAGAAAGCCCAGAAGACCCAGAAGGAGCCCACCGTTCCTGGCGAAGCACCTGTTCGACGTGGTCTGACCCGCATGGGAACCTGGTTCGGCATGGAGGAAGAAGGCGAGTCCTCGCAAGCTGCCCAGGGGAAGAACAAGGATGATGACTGGGCCGCCGACGACGGTATTCGATTCACTTTGGCCCAGGACCCCCAAGTCGACTCTCAAGGCATCAGCCACAAGGGCCGACGTATGAACAAGCAGGAATTCTTCGAGCAGATCAAGGGTCTTGATGCCAAGGCCCGCCGGGATCTGGTACAGCAAACAGACGCACCAGCACCAGTCCAAGAAATGGCCCAGCGCGAAGCGAAGACCGAAGAAAATAGAAAGCAAGAGCGCCGCCTTTCTGCTGCTGCCGCCGCCGCCACTGGCGGGACTAGCGCCATTCCCGAAGAAGACGCTGACGCTCTGGAGTCCGAGTCCCTCACCGATAGCGACGTTAGTGACGACGAGCCTGGCACTGATCACGGTTCCCCTAACGTGGCTGCTTCACTGGCCAAGTTCTCGCGTCGCGGTGGTCCCTCCGCCGCGCAAGAACGTCGAAACAACCTCAGCCCTGCACCACCTCGTATCCGCGACCGGGCTCGCCGCGATTCAGACGACGATGGCACAGAGCGTATCCCACCTTCGCGTCTCCGTCAAGCTGCTGGCCTGTCCGCGCCCCCGCGCCAGGCTGACGACGACACAGGCGAGACTCCAGCCGAGCGTCGCCGTCGTCTGAACGCCCTGGGCGTGGGAAACGATGATTTCGACAACAGTTCCGAGTCGGATGATAATGATAATGTCATTATGGAAGAAGACTCGGACATTGATAACGAGAACGGCGGCTCTAGCAAGGACAAGCAATCCAACGAGTCTCGATCTGGATCTGGATCTGGATCCGGCTCCGGCTCTCAGTCTACTTCCCGACAAATCCCGCGCGTTTCCTGGGGAGGCGAGAAAGGACGTGACATTTAAGCGAGCTTTCGATCAAGCCGTGCTCTGTCTCAAAGTCAATCGGGTAGAGATGTCTTGATTTGACTTGTATATTCCATCGTCCCTAGTCCTCGGCTAGAGACACATCATCACCTCCCGACTTTCGAGTCAATACTGGACATTTAGGTACCAGTTTCTTATTCCTACCCTTTGCCCCGACTATATTCATGTATTTTCTCATCCCGATGTGCATATTAATCCTGCATGTAATGACCTTGCTTGATCATCGTGATCGACTTGCTCATTTTTATCGTGTTTATATGATTCCTTCTGTTCTCCCTGCTTTTATTAGCTAAAGCGAAGCGAGTTCAATGCATTCATTACATGGACATAATTTATCTTTCATCGTACTTACGGTAAATGTTGGAAACTGTACATGTAAAGACTGCTTCTACTAATACTAGTAAGAGAAACAACTTGATCTAATTGACAAAGATCGAGGTATCAAAACAAAGCATATAAAACAAGGCCCAAAAAACGAATCTAAACTAAGTGCAATCCTATTCCATAGTACTCTGTGGCCTCATAATACCCCTACCAAAGAACTCGCTAACGACCCCGAACCGATCCCGTGAACGAGACAGCTCCCCCTTGAACAAATCATGTTGGTCCGCAGACTCAACCTGTCGTTGTCGGATAGCGCGTAGGGTGGCGTTAGTCGGGGCGCAGACGGGACACTGTGCGTCTTCGTCGAGGGTGTTCAGACAACGTTCATGGAAGGAGTGTTTGCAGAGGAAGTGCACTGTGGGTAGGTCGAGGGTTCCACCGCAGGATTGACAGCGGCGGGATTGGAACACTACTGGTTGGGTTGTCAGGTGCTCTAATTCTTGTTGTTTGGTTTCAGTTTCGGATTTGTAGCTTGTGATGAGGCGACGGTTCTAGAGAGAAAATGGGGTCAGTCGTTGCTTGGAGAGAAGGGGATGTGTTGAGGAAGCTTACTGTAGTGATTTCTTTGCGTTCTCGGTCGATGTTATCGCTGAGGTACTTCTTCACGCGGCCCATTCTTACGACTGCGTTGTTGCTAAGTGCTTGGATCACTTGTAATGGCGAGAGGAGGCCGTCTTGGTTGATGCGTTGTAGGACCGCGTCTAGCTCGTCGCCTGCCTCTTCGAGGATTTTAGGGCTCGAGGCGAAGTATGTCAATGCATCAACGTAAAGTTGGGGCTCGTCAGGCCCGTAGCGGCGTAACGCTTTGATGGCGCCCTGTGTATCCTTTGCTGAAGTAAAGGAACGGAAAATGTCGAGGCGGAGACCTTCTTGCTCGCGGACGAGGGTCGATCCTTCTCTGAAATCTGACAGGTCGGAGAGGAGAAGCACGTTGGATGTGGAGATCGGGATCTATATGAGTTTAGTACAAGTGATAAATAGGCGACTGGGTAACCCACATCTTTCCCTTCGATTAATTTCTTAGCTTTGGTCTCCCATTCCTGTCTTTCGCCTGCATCCTTCTTCCCCTTTGCTGTGTCCAAATACATCTCAAAGAGTGTCGTGAAAAGGTCGACTTTGGCGTCCTTCTTCAGGTCCGGTTGCTGCACCAAAGTCTCGAGGAAATCGATAAACTCTTTAGGGTGGTCTACGAAGGCAGAGAAGGCTGTTCGTGGCTTGGGAATGTCATAATCTGGCGGAGAATCTTCGACCTTGTCTTCATTTGCAGCCGGTTCAGGAACTTCAGCCGATGGCTGTGCGCCAGTGTCGACATTCATATACCGCAAAGGAAGAAGCGCAGCAAGACTTTGCACAGTGCTGGTCGTCTGTTCTTGGGGTTCTAATGGCTGTTCTTCCTCTGTGCGTGGCTGATACTGGCCAGAATAGTAGACTTTGAATAGTTCTGATGTCCGCTCAGGGCAATGTGTCAGCAATACTCGAGCGTACTTCATCAAGTTGTGATAGGCCTGGCACGTATTATTAGCTTGTTACTTCCAGATGGCCCGGTCGAGACATACCACTTCGGGATCCAACCGCCAGATGTATTCCACTGCTTCAGCATACTTCTTCGAGTCTTCAATTAGGATATCAACCACCATGTCATTTTCGCCATGCTTTGTTGCAAGGTAGGCGGCTTGCTCATAGTAGCCACCTTGACGGCACATTGCAATGGCAGTTTCAAGATCAAACTTCAGCTCTCCAGGAGCTTTGATAAATGAGTCTAGCTTGCTTGTGTCTTTGAGCTTTGCGTAGCAGTTCAAAAGAAGCGTTGTATGGTCAACCGTGGCACGGCCGTGGTCGTGTAGCTCTTCAAGATACTCAATCAGGTTGTGAATACGTTGGGTGTCCAGGTACTATACAATAGTCAGAAACAAAGAAATTCCAAGTCCGGATCCTCACTGACCTTGCGAATGACCTGAGAAGGTTCGGTATTATCAATGGCCCGGAGATACTGTTGCATGGCCGTATCATAGTCGCCCCGCTGGTACAAAAAGTCACCATACTTGCGGTAGATGGCATTTTGTTGTAGCGGATCAATCCCAATCTTTTGCGCAAGGTTAATAGCAAGGATATAGAGATTGCGCTCATATAAGATTTCAAGCTTTTGCTGGAGAGTCTTTTCCCGATAACGGAATACCTAAAACGGGTTAGAAAAAATACAACATTATAGAAGCCACATACCTTTCCATCTGTCGTAAGAAGAAACAAATCGCCCCATTCCATGAAAATACGCTTCATAGGTGACACCAGCGATTCGCTATGCGCGATGAACTTGAGATCAGTATCGAGCAGAGTGAACGTGGTCGTGCCAAAGATCTCCTCGGCTGGACTAGCAGTGTACTTCCTTAGCGGATCCGACTTGCTAGTTCCAGCTTTAGGCGGACAGACAAGAGCCACATAGTCCCGAAAAGCATCAATAGACGTCTTCGGGCCCTCGAAGGCATAGCTCGCACCACGACCCCGCGGACCGTATGTGAAGATCGCCTCCTCACGGGCAATGAGAATATCCCCGCCCTCCTTATCCAGAGTCATGCACCCCAAGCCGCATCCCGTATCTTCCAAAACGCGCGCAGGTTGTCCCTGCCCTCGCCCGGCGATAACCAAAGTCAAGATGCGGTTCGTTGTTGAAATGTAGAGAGTTGTGACTGCGCCAATTTGCGTTTCGAGTCCAGTAATCGGTTCCTCGGACTCGAATACGATCCGTTGTCGGGCGCCTCGGTCGTGGATTAGGTCGCCTCGGATGATGGTCACGGAGCCGTTCGCAAAACCCACTGCTACCTGTGAGAGGTCATCGACAGCTGCAAAAGCCGATATCTAGGGTACCAAAAGTAAGCGTTGACCTTGTTCATTCTCAATTCAGATGCAAACGCACCGGGAACTGTCTCCTGGCGTTCTGCACGGAGACCGTTGACAGACACCGCGGGCCACCATCTTTCTTCTCCGTGTCTAGCGCCCAGACCTTCAGAACCGGTTCGTTTAAAAGATCCTCTGCGACGGTGACTAGTAGAGCGGTACCATTTATCTGTCGCATGTGTGTAATGGAGCCGGTATCGTGGGCCTTGAACGATCGCACGATGCGGAAGGTCGAGGAGACGGTGTGGACAAAGCCATCGGTAGTGCCAACGAAGACGTTTGCGGAGCCGGTGCAGATACTCGAGAGGTCGCTCTAAGGGTGTCTGTTAGATACGTGGACTGGAGGAGAGGAAGGTCGAGGCCTTACACTGAAGACTGAGGAGCTGTCCTCTGGTAGCTTCACCGGCGACACGTCGATGAAGTTGAATGCTTTCCACTGTTACTTCTGTTAGCTCCAATCCGCCAGTAGGAAATTTCGATCTCTTACTGATGTCAACGCCATCTCGGCTCGCCATTGATTGAGATATGTGGAAGGTGATGTTCGGAGCTCCCCCCGCTGGCGCTCGGGCCACTTGGTTCCTGACGTATCTACTCGTGGACGGCTACGATGTTCTCTTTTACTTCAATTTGGCTCCAATTGATTGTTTCAGTAATTTGTACCTTTTTCTTCCAGATCTACATATGTAAACCCTTTGATTATCGTAATCAATATGTATTGTTAAAGGAAATGTACCAATATATGCTAGAACGGACTATGAAACCCCGAAACAACTGGCCAAGTTGGATATTTCACGCTATGCATGATGTGAAGATGGAGAAATGGAAACAAGAAGTCAAAAGCTAGTCATAATAGCATCAAGGAACTCTCGTTATTGAGATAGGTCCATGTGTAAAGGGGATGGGTGCGCATTAGTAGGAATCGCCTTGGGATTCTGACTCGGGCGACCGCTGTCTTTCATGAAATCAAAGCTTTGTTGAAGCCAACTACCAGCATCTGCGATTGCTTGGCTGAGGTTGAAACTCTCCATTCCACCTTGCCCGTCCTGGCCTGTCGTTGGTATCGAGTCGTTTAGGGTGAGTGGCAAGGACGCGACCTCTGTGGCAGATTGGAAAGTTTGTTGATCCAACTGTTGAGCAACCGATCGTGGGCTTTCTTCATCTTCACCTGATTGGGATTCCGCAGTGTGATATTCGTTGTCGGGAGATGTTGATTGACTTCTAGCAGAAGGGGATGGGCTTCCGATATTGGCCGTCCTTTTTCTCTTGGAGCTTCTGGTTGTAGGTGAGCCCGAGTCTGGCCGAGATGCGCGCTGTCTCTTCTCTGTACTAAAAGCGTAGGGTGTGGCTGTATCGAGCATGAACTGCGTATTTAAGGCTTGCGTCATGTTTCTGTTCGTGGGTTTCAAGCTCCGATCTTGACCGGCTTGCTCAGTGCTAAAATTGAAAGGTGTAGCTGCATCAAGCATGAATTGCGTGCTCATTGCGGGCATCGCGTCCTTGTTCGTGGATGTCGAACTTCGCTCTAGGTCACGTCGAATTGACTCTTCTAGACGGTAGAATGGAGTGACATTTGCTGAGTGTGAAGCATTGGGTGAATGGACTGCTCGATCCGGATCGGGTGTCTGTTGATTGTAATATTCCGGACTGTCCAGGTCGTCTTGGAAAGACTTCTGGGCATGCAGAAGGGCAGCCTGGGTCGAAAGCTGGGTATCAAGGCTTGCCTGTAGATCTTGTCCAGAATCTCCTCTTGGTAAAGCGGTCGAGTGTAATGATGTTACCCGATCGGACACTCCCAAAGGTGCGGGCACTTGTTGGGCAGAAGGGAAATCATCGTAGGTGTTCTGTTCGGTTGGCACAGAGAGATCTGTGTTTTGGAACGTCGTATCTTCCTCGTTTGTAACATCTTCTACTACAGCCTCCTCCAGCCCAAGGTTGTTCTCTATGACATCTTCCTCGTCTGCGAACCTTGTTTCTTTCGACAAAGTCTTGTGGCTTGTATCTTTTATTATGGAGTCGTCATTGCGAACTGGTATGTCTTCAGGAGCCAAAGATTCATGTTCAGCAGGGTCCAATGCTTGATCCTTAGCGGGACTAGGATTGGCGGGTAATGGATCGGGTATGGATTTTTCTTTTAGAGGGCTGTCCTCCTGCAAAAAGGTCTCTTCTTGTAGGAAACTATCATCTTGCATAGGAGAAGTCTTCTCCTGTTGGCTTGAATGCTCACGGAGCCACCTCCGATATTCAAACCTCGGAAGCTGAGAAGAAGAATTAACAATTCGGAGAGACCCTTCCTGTGGCAAACAGGATTGCTGATATTGTTGAAACGGTGATAATTTGGGAACGCTAGGGACTTTGGGTGCATTTGAGGCGGCCGGAGTCGACTGCGGGGATAGGCGTCCATTCGAATGCGCACGACCACTCTGGGCTGTCTTCGCTGGCACAGCTTTGACAGGAGGGAATTTTATTGGCGAGCCCGGCGTCTGCGGGACCTGGACTTGAACAGATCGAGGCATCGGTCGACGAGGTTTATCGGACTGACGAGAAGCAACGGATATTGTTGGCGAGCTCGGCGGTTCGAACTTGGTGAAGTTCATGAGCCTCCGATCCTTCTTCAGCCAATCCACCGTCCTAGGCGGAATTATTGACTGATCATCCACTGTCGACAAAGACGGTTCCTTTGGTTTTGTGGGTGACCGTCGTAACGCTCCATTTTGCCTACCATGCCCGGAGCGCGGGGTGGGTTCCCTGGATTGCCTCCGTGAAGACTTAGCGGGCGAAGAACGGCCTCCAGCTTGCACCGAGCCTCTAGGTGAGTTGTAAGATGTCGCAGGAATCTCTCGGGGGCGACTATCGACCGATAGACCCTCTCGGTATTTCGGAGCTCGCAAATCAGTTTCCAAGACCACCGGCTCGGGGATATTTGTTTGACGATTCAATAAAGCTCCCGCACGTGCGCCAACCCTGCGGGTCCTGTTCTTCTTCCATGGATTCACCCATCCGTCATTGAACGGGCCTCGCAGTGACGCAGAGAGAATCAACAGCGGTTTACCCTGCAGATAAGACTCCGCCAACTTCTCGACCCGCTGACGCTTTGTAGCCCGGGAGGCGTCATCTAGCTCTTCATCAGAGGCAACCAAGTCATCTGAATATAGCTCCGAGGGCGAAGGCACGCATGTTTCGAGGGCGACCGGGGAGACAGGCCGTGGATAGGGCATTGGGTTGAGTTTCGAGCGGAAATTAATTGGGTGGAGAAGCCGAGGCAGTCTGACGCTGCGATGGAGGGGTTTGAGGTGGATGTTTGCAGATTGTATTCATTGCTGGTGCAGAGGTAGATTGATCATATGCGATTGACACCAGGCAGATGTAGCTGCCAGTGATGAGGGTGCCTAAACGCGAAAACCACTTAACGCGTTTGATGCCCCAGCTACGGGTTGCGGTGGGGAAATATTATGTCATCTTTATTCCCCAGAGCACTAACTACCTAGAAGGCTTGTATTTCTACATTTATATCTCAACAACCGTGTTTTTAATTTAGCATATTGCTCGTAGATAGCCGTCGATAAGACTTATAAGCACCATAAATCTATTTTAAAGAGAGTAGAAGGCTATATTATCATCATTTCGAAAATCACTGAAAACTACTGTACCTTGAAACTATAAACTGTCCTTAGAATTACGAAAGAAACTAGAAATCACCTAGAAAGTTGAAGGGTACAAAGAAATGTCCCTGTAGATGATTGCTGAGATATCTAGTTGTCCCTCACATTTACTATGTTCTAGGGTGGCTTGTGTGGGCTATGTGAAGTACTTTGTAGTACAGTGGACGTAAGTATTTGCACCGCCTGTAGACCCACCCAGCTGACCGCCCCTATAAATTCATACCGCCTACCTAAAACACGTAGTATACCTAGTATACCTACGTAGTTTATAATAAAGTGTCACTGCATATATTTAATATACTCGGGTTCAATATTCGGTTTGCCGCCTACAAACGGTTTGCCGCCGCTACGAACGGTTTGCTGCCGCGGTAACCGAAGAAATATAAATACCTCTACCTACCCCTAGAACTTCCTCTTCTTCTTTTTCTTCTCTATCCTAGTGCATGGGTTTTACACGTATCAGTGAGGAGATATCCGAGATCGTGTTTTGCTAATTTAAAACTACTAATTGAGTACTTTAAGCGGGCCTTCGGGCCTGTTTAGGAATTTTTGAAACACTCCTATCTTGAAGTCTTTTCACTACTTGGTACCTATAAGGTGGCTCTTAGAGAAGAGATTATAGTTAGATACCTATAGCTGTACTATCTCATCTGGCGTCTTCATCGTATGCTTTGTTTATGTATACTCCTGAGTCCTACATGTAGGGAGCAATAGTACTACAGAGGAGATCCTGGTTGCTACTACGCAGTAGGCATAGGAAAAATTAGAGATATGGCACTTGTAGGATCTCTGAGACTATGCCACACTGAGTGGAAGCTATTATTGAGAGTCAGGGGTGATATACCCTATAGAGATTTCATAGTATGTGCGAATTGAAGGAGGGTTTTGACTAGCAGTATATTATATAATCAAGGGGTGCAAATACTTATGTCCAGTCACGGTATGTTCCTGGCACATTGTCCGGTAACCGAATTACAGCACATTTAACCCCAAAAGGGGGGTTCAACTTGAATCCACAAGAATTGAAGCTTTCCCCACTCCGAGTTTACAAGGCTCTCCTGAAATTCAATATGTTCATTTTATATTGCGTATCTGTACCACTTATATAAGTGATTTAAGGGAAACCGATGAAGATCTAGATCACATTACGGAGAAAGCAATAAGAACTTGAAGTCCCACACATGTCTAATACATAATTTACACATGAAGCGAGCTTAGCGTGATCTTTCGGACTCCGGAATGGCTCCACTTTGACTGTATACTTCTAAGACAAGGGAAATAATATGATCACATCCCCCTCCCAACTTCTTTGTTCCCCCCAAAGATGGCCTGCAATAGCGCCGATGTAGTGTTTGGCCCCCGAGTCAACACCGCCTGTCGCGCCTTTGACTTTACCCTCTACTTCGAGGATATCTTCTTCGCGTGCGTGCCAGCCGCAATAGTACTTTTACTTTGCCTTGTGGAGTTGTGGCTGCTGCGGAACGAGCCTCGCCGAGTTCAGCGATCCGCGCTACTAGGTTGCAAGCTGGTGAGTTGTCCATGCAAATGCCTCCTGATTGACGTGGTATTGATTGTATCATGATAGGGAGTTCTCGGGGCCCTTTTTGCGTGCCAACTTGCGTTTATCCTCATCCGACAGTTGCAGTCCCCCGACGTACATACCAATGTCTCACTGGCAGCAGACGTAGTGGAGCTGGTCGCCGTCATCAGCGCTGCGATCCTCTCATATTTCCACCACTGTCGGTCAATTAGACCTTCAACGCTGCTCGTACTGTTCCTCTCGGTTCGCTCACTGCTGGGGGTGGCTCGTATGAGAACGCTATGGCTCATCCACACAGCCAACAACGCGGCCATCCCATTTACGGTGGGATTCGTTTTCACCCTGCTGTCGATGGTCATAGAATCCACAGGAAAAGAGAAGAGCCTGATCGCAAATATAGTGAAGCCTGCAACGCCAGAGCCCTTTAGTGGCTTCTGGAAGCGTGCTAGTTTCGCGTGGCTCGCTGGGACATTCCGCCAGGGTTATGTGAAAGTCTTGTCTGTTCACGATCTCCCAGAGCTGGACCCCGACCTCAACAGTCAAATTGTTGCACAGAAGCTGCAGTACAGCTGGAAGCAAGTTGGTAAGAGGCACCCTGCATAATCTGATAGTGGCGAGCGGCTAGCTGATCAGAGCTGCTAAGAGGACAAATCAACGAAACATGCGCTTCTTTGGTCCTGTTTTCAAGCGTATCTCTCTCCATTTCTTGCGGGTGTCCTGCCCCGTCTCTTGAAGTCGGGTTTCACGTTCTGCCAGCCATTCCTCATTAACGCAACAGTGTCGTGGGTTGAAAATTCGGAAGCATCGATGAATTCTGGGAAGGGACTTATTGGAGCATATGCTTTGGTCTACGTGGGACTGACTGTGGGTTCATATTTTCTTTTTGCACCTCATATTAGTACTTCTGCCCTGCTGGAGACTAACTTACTTGGATGAGCAGATATCCACCGCCCTTTATGGCTACTACACCTTCCGTGCAACCATCCGTCTTCGAGGGGGCCTGATATCCCTAATTCACAAGCAAACGGTAAATGCCAGAGCAGTGGATCTAGGGGAGACTACAGCAATTACCTTAATGGGTACCGACGTGGAGCGTATAGCAAGCGGGTTCCGGGAGGTTCACGAGCTATGGGGGTGCCCGATTGACATAGGTATTGCGGTTTACCTACTAGAGCGACAGGTAGGCGTGGCCTGCCTCGTTCCAAGCGTGATTGCGATTGGTACGTTTCTTTTAGCGCACTTGATACCAGGGGGATTGATGATTGACTGAAATAGCTTTCATACTGGCCACTTTCAAGTTGTCTACAGTCAGCAATAGGTTTCAGCGACGGTGGATTGAAAAGGTCGAGGAACGGCTACGTTTGACTTCCTATGCGTTGCAAAGTATCAAAGCTGTCAAGATGCTGGGCCTATCAGATAAGGTCTTTTCAATCATCAAGCGATTGCGCTCTGCTGAGATTGCTACTTCGGCTATGTTCCGCAAGTTGCTTGTCGGAGTCATTGTCCTGTGTACGTGTTCAGATTTATTTCCTAGACGTTTTCAACTAAACTGATTGCAATCTCTTCGTGAACAGCTAACTCACCTGCTGACCTGGCTCCTATGGCGACTTTTGTGGTGTATATCATCATCGCCCTAGTCCGACATGACAACTCGATCCTGGCCGCGCAAGCATTTACCTCGCTCTCATTGATATCCCTAATAACAACGCCGATTCTGAGTTTTATTCAGGCCGTGCCGTCTGTGATTCAGTGCTTGGGCTGCCTAGACAGGATTCAAGAATATGCCAGTGTACGTGGCATACACGATGACGATGAAAACTATAACAAAGCGACTTCAGAAAAGAACGATAGTTCAATCAGTCTCCAGCTCATTCCCAAATCTGCTATGACGGAAAAGGATTTGGTGAAATTCTCTAACTTTAGTGTCGGATGGAAGAAGGTGGCACCGCCAGTCCTACGTGAGATGCAGTTGAATATCCAGCACGGCAGCATCACCATTATTGTCGGACCTATCGGTAGTGGCAAATCCACACTACTGGAGAGCATTCTTGGAGAGACAGTTGGTATGGGTGGTGGAGTGGAGAGAAGTATTTCTCTCGTTGGCTATTGCTCTCAAACACCATGGTTGCAAAGCGATACCATTCGCAGCAATATTATTGGCGCGTCTATGATTGACATGGTCTGGTATGCAACGGTAGTATCTGCCTGTGGGCTGGACAAAGACTTGGCTCAACTTTCTCATGGAGATCAAACGCCGGTTGGTAATAACGGTCTGACGATCAGTGGCGGGCAGAAGCAGCGCATTGTAAGTGGGACTAGCATCGTGTACAAGAGGCTATCAAGGATATTGACAATGAGTAATCTAGGCATTAGCTCGATCTCTCTACTCGCGATGCAAGGTCCTTTTACTGGATGACGTCTTTAGCGGCATCGACGCGACCACTACGGAATTTATCACTTCCAATCTATTTGGTCCACAGGGTCTCTTTCGCAAGCTCCAGTTAACGGTAGTGCTTGCCACACACTCTGGTAAGAGACCCCACTAATAGATTGTCCGCACCTCTGAGTAACATGTTATAGGCTTTCTCCTCCCTTACGCGGACAATATCCTCGTCCTTACTGATGGGCGCATCGTTGATACTGGCAGCCTGAATAGTCTTCAATCCAGCAACACTTATATCCAGGGGCTGAAAACTACTCTACCAGCCCCTCTTATCACAAATGAGATAAATGGGACGCCTCCTAGTCTCCAGGTCTCTGATGATGAGACTAAGAACGTGGATTCGGATGACGTCGAACTACTCGATCATGCATCATTGACCGATCCCACCCGCCAGGCTGGAGATTTCTCTGTTTATGCTTATTATGCGTCAGCATCAGGTCGTATGGCAGTTATTATTTCTCTTGGCCTGATCCTATGCTGGTCCTTCTGCCGCGAGTTTTCTAGTAAGTCCTAGCTCCCCTATTATAGTGAGTTACGGTGCCTTATAGGCTTCGCAGCAATCTGGTTGGATATGTGGACGGCGGCCAATGCTCAAAGTCCCAACTCCAGGGTGGGAATGTATATCGGTGTCTATATCACGCTGGGGATAGCTGGACTAATCTTCATGACTGCTGCTTGCTGGTGCGTTATACATTCTACGAACTGCTTGCAGTGGGAAATTAACCAGAACCGTACAGGCTTCTATTTGTTCATATTGTGTCTAAGTCAGCACTCCGACTACATGATGATCTGGCAACCAGTACGATGAGGTAGGCTTCTATTTCAGAAATTGAAGGGCATTGCTGACTTGAGCTGGCAAGGGCACCATTCCATTTCTTTCACAAGGTCGATGTCGGCAGTATAACCAACCGGTAGGTGCTTTCTTGCGTCGTTCCTCTTCTGCGTTAATTAGCTTACATACCTCCGACATTCAGATTTAGCCAGGATATGGATCTCATCGACATGAGTCTTCCACTGGAAGCTGTGAACTTCCTAGCCGGTGAGTTTCGTGTCAATGTAAGACTGGTATTTATCTAACCTAGACCCAGCCTGCTGCACATGCATTGTCAAGGTTGTAATTCTAGCCGCATTTGCCAAGTACCTGGGCATCGTCATTCCATTCCTAGCCATCCTCGTCTACATGATACAGAAATTCTATCTGCGAACCTCTCGTCAGCTTCGACTCCTAGACATTGAGGCAAAAGCACCGCTTTACACTCACTTCCTCGAACTTGTCAGTGGTGCAGCGACAGTCCGCGCGTTTCAGTGGAACGGGGCATTCAATGCGAAATTGATTTCTCTCCTCAATTTCTCACAGCGTCCCGTGTACATGCTGTACTGCATCCAGCAAGGTCTAGGCTTCTTTTTGGACATTCTCGTTGCGGGGATGGCTGTCATTTTGGTGGCAACCGTGGTCTTCTTACGAGACAAGTTTAACCCGGGGGACGTTGGTGTTGCCCTGACCATGGTTATGACATTTAATACCAGTCTAATGCAGCTTATAAAGTTCTGGACCATGATGGAGACGTCCATTGGTGCTGTTGCTCGTGTCAAGAGCTATGTGGCTACTACTGAGCAAGAGGCGTGCGTGTCTCCTCAGCAAGTCCAATTGCCTGCGCAATGGCCGACGGACGGATCTATTCGGATTTCGGACCTTACAGCTTCTTACTCGTAAGTCTCCTCGGTCAATGTTCATCAAGAAACAAGTACATAATTCATGATACTGATCATGGCTAGCAGAACGCGATATCCGTCTGTTTTAAAGAGCATCTCAATGACAGTGCAACCCGGTGAGAAGATTGCGATCTGTGGCTCATCTGGTAGTGGAAAATCGACACTTATCCTTGCTCTACTGCGGATGGTAGAAATCCAAGAAGGGTCAATGACGATCGACGGGGTCGATCTCTCGAAATGCTCACAGTCTGAACTCCGAGCCCGAATCAACGTCGTTACCCAAGATCCGTTTCTTGTCGCCGGCTCAGTGCGTTTCAATATTGATCCGTTTGAGACGATACCAGATGACAAGATCATCGAGGCACTGCGTCGGTTGGGTCTTTACGATAGCATTGAGGAGGGAGGCGGTCTTGATATGGAAATGAACGCCGATTCATGGTCTCTGGGACAGCGGCAATTACTCTGCCTTGCACGTGCGATGATACGAAGTGGGAAGGTGCTTATCCTTGATGAGGCAACCAGCAGGTGAGTTTCCCGTATTTCATTCTTTCAAACTGCTAGAGATATTGATGAACATTTGTAGTGTTGACCATGAAGCCGAGGAAATGATGCAGAAGGTCCTGGACACGGAATTCTCGTCCCACACTGTCCTATCTGTTCTTCACCGTTTGCGCTATATCCATAGTTATGACCGTGTCGCTGTGCTTGACGGTGGGGTTTTGGTGGAATTCGATACCCCTGCTGCGCTACTTGCTCGTGATTCACGATTGGCAGCGCTCTATCATTCCGGAAGTCATTGATTACCACAGATGGAATATATGGATCCCCTTCTCTCTATTCTCTAATTTGGCACTGGCAATGGAGCACTCTTCTAAGATCAGATAGCGAGAATCATAGCTCCAAAAATAACTTAATCGAGAGTCCACGAAGCGGCACCTTCAAGTGAAAAGTTCACATGTTACCTCTAGGGCATGAATCTACCAACACTGAGCTCTCCGGGTGGCAATGCCGTTTAGTTCTTGGCCTCTCTCCCGAAAGGAATAAATTTATGTCCGAGGATATCTACCCAATCTAATCCAAATTGCCCTAAACCACTATTCTAATTGCCATCAGAATCCACCGGCTTCGGAAGAGACGACTTCTTCAAAATTGCCAACGCCAATTGAGAGATAGGGGCTGGACTCAGAACGTCAAAGATAGACAGCTGACTCTTGAACTCCTTCAACACCCAGTTGCGCACTTCAGTCGCCTTGAGAGAGTCAACTATAAAGCGTTAGTATTCAAAGAAGGCCGTAGAGAAAAAATGGATAACTTACTCCCGTAAGCAGTAATAGGCTTCTCCACGTCAATGTTTCCTGCATCGGTAGAAATTCCGCTAGCCACGTTCATACGCAGCGCATCCTCGATTACCAAACGAGCATCCTCAACAGATGAAGCAGCACAAATAGCCTCCTCATAACTGATCTTGCTGTCTATCGGAGCGACCGTTCGATCAACGCGGTGCTCAAACTTGGGATCAAATGCCCAAGTCAACAGTCCCCCGGAGCGTGAAATTTGATCAGAAATGCCAACCACTATTTGATGTGACAGCAAGTGTCCATCCACGCCTTTTCCGCGAATAGCAAGACTCAAAGCGGCCTTGACCTCCCGCATATTGACGAGCACAGGATGAAGATGAGGGAATCTTTGGAGAACTTCATCCGTTGAGCCCATGGTGCCCGCCTCAGAGACAAGCCCGAGGTTCAGGCTCAAGGCTGTCAGACCAAGATGGTGTCTATGGGCGGCTAACGCATCTTCGAAGGTATTTCCTGCGCTGTAATTTGCCTGGGCGCTGTTACCGATGATCCCGGAGATTGAGGAGAGCAGGATAAAGAAATCTAGATTTTCTCCGAGGATTTGATGTAGGTTCCATGATCCTTGAATCTTGGGTGCTGTTGCAGTTGTCCATTGGTCAAACGTCATACTCTCTAGCGGCGCATCAGCGAGAACCATAGCACTCTGGATGATACCACGGATATCCCAGTTGTTTGCTGCGCCCTGAGCTGCGACCTCTCGGACCGCAGCTGGTGATGTGATATCGCAACGCACGACCTCGCAGCGGCAGCCTTTTTGGATGAGCGCCTTTATTGCAACCTCAGAAGACTCCGGTATCCTTCCCGAGCGAGATAAAAGGACAAGATGGCGGGCACCGTGATCATGACACAGCCAAGCCGCGATTTTGAGACCCAATGCCCCAAGGCCACCCGAAACTATGTATGTTCCAGTTGACTTAAGTTGCGTGGGACGAGGAGCTGTGTGCTGGACCGGAATCAGAGACGAGGGCTCAAAAGATAATACAACGTGGCTTGGTCCCTTATTTGAAGTCTCCAGAATTGAGTCAAGCTGAGAAATCGAGTGCTGCGATGAAGGTGGTTGTACAGGCAAGACGGATGGGCTCCTTTCTAGAAGCCCAACCACGGCTCTTTGGGCACTATGCATACTTTCCATGTGGATTTGTGAGGAGTCTAGTGACACAAATTGAATATCATGCCGTTGCGTAAGATTGTGAAGAGCGCTCTGCCGGTCAGCATTGGCTTCAATTGTGATAAAGCGACCTTGTGGCACAATACTGGTCAAGAGATGTGGTAGGTTGGAGATATTGGATAAATCAGAAAGAACTAGGTCAATGCCACCATGAGTAGATCTATTGCGAATCATCCAGGAAACCGAGCTGGACAATTGGCTCAACACAGTGCAATTTGAAGGTGCAATCAATTCTTCACCTTCTGGTATGACGGCAAATTTTTTGAGGCTAAGCCACTGTGCGACTTGTAAGAGCGCGCTCCGCAGCGTACAATCTCCGACGTCAATCAAAATAATCGGCCCATCATTCTGAGACATTGCTGAAGGGCTTCTGGGGGTTGAATCGGTAGATACGGTGTCCTGTGAGAAGTTGTCCTCGCTTTCTTCGCCTGGACTTGGCATTGGCAGCACCATCTGCCCTAGAATGTGGTACGCCATCGTCAAAGGACCTATCCAATATGCTGCTTGCGTAGGAGAGATATTGCTAGGTAGCTTGAGTAGAGAGCTAGCATCATCTCGGAATCGCGTTTGGATCGGGGCTGCTGGAAGACGCAGCACCATATCGCCCGCCTGGTAGTCCCTGACATAATGGCCGACCTCGGTGACACATCCGATGGTGGTTCCCACACCCCAGCCATTGTATAATGTATTGAATGACGACAAAGCCTGGTGGCTCCGCGAAAGACGCGTGATTGCCATATACTTTGTTGTAATCAATAGAGTGTCCGCCTCCGCCTCAGTGCCACTGTCACTGTCGCCGTCAACCCAATCAGCGATGGGGGCCCATTGGATAAATCCCACTGCGCTGACCTGCAATGCCATCGCCTGGCTGAGATTCTCTAATTTGAGATCGACATTAACCGAATGATGCGAATCCAGGGCAATCTCGGCGTCCATGGCTGCGTCTGGCAGCAGACGGGGAATCAATAGCTTGCCGTCCATCTCTAAGATCTCCGTCTCTATAACATCCGTCGTTATGCCAAGACCTGGTATGGTTTGGCAAAGTACTTGGGAGATGATAGAGACCGTATCTTCTCTCTGGGAGTCATCTGAAGAAAGGTCCAGATGTGGGATTGCGAGTTGAGGATACTCAGCACGAGCGGTGCGCAGTAGTCCAGTGGTTGCGGCATACTTGATACCATCTTCATTCGGGGAAGCGAGAGATCCAGTCGTTACCCAAAGAACATACTCGGCACTAGACACCAGTTGTTGGAGATGGACCAGGTCGGATTCTCCAGCATTATAGATGAGAGGTTTGCCGTACTCAATCAGCGAGATAACGATCGCGTCGTTGACTGGGAGATATTCACCCCAGCATGCGACTTTGACTTTGATACGATTTTGCTCAAAGTACTCACAGAGAGACTCGCGTATATTCCGCTGGCTTGGTGTTTGATCGCCCGGATTTCGCTCGAGAATAATGATACCCTTCTGTTTCCACTGATCCGGACCAGAGTGCAAAGGTTTCGGAGGGGAACCAGCAACCAAATAACTGCAGTCATTTTGAATCGACTCTTCGAATACGTGGTAGTTGTGATGTATCATTTCGCGGAACGATGTCTCCTCCGCGTTATCACCCCTATCCTGGAGGACCACCAGTCGTGCCTCCGGTTTCCAAATACGAGGAATGAGTGAAACAGTCCAGTTCGCTAGATCAGATCCACAGAGAATGACAAGGTCATATTTTCCGAGAGCCTCTACCTTCTCTTGAAAGGCCTCGTCAGGGCCGGTGGCTTTCACTGACAGAGTATGCAATGAGCCGTCAAGAGATTCCAACACCTGTTGGTCGGGACCAGGCACAACAACCGTACAATGTGAAGGTCGCTGTTTGGACCTTAGTTTGCTTTCAACAATCGTAAACCAAGGCTTATGATTTTTGGCTCCAACAAAGAGGATGTTGACATTTGCATATTTGTGCAGAAAGCAGTCGAGCCAGTAATCCAACCACCCGTGACTATTCATTGTTTCTGAGACTTTTGTGGTCGTAATGTCCTCTTTCCAAATCAGATCTGCAGAGCGTCGGGCACCTGTCGTAGCTGCCTGTTCTCTTGCCACAAGTCTTCCACCAATGTCTCGCATTATCATGGAATCGACCACTATATATGGCCTACTCGCTGAGATATCGACGAAGAGCATATCAGCCGTCAATGTCTGTCCTAAGCGCTGTGCTGAGGCAGTACCTAAGAACGTCGCCCCAGCACCACTGCATATATCCGCGGAGACAAATATCCGGTCGACGGAGATTGGCACGGCTGCCTGATGCATAGCTTCCTGCGCCTGAACCGCTGCAAATGCCAGTTGAAATGCGCTATCCAGCGTGGCAGGGTGCAGGAAATGAGGATATTCAAACTGCTCGGGCATGACAGACTTCGTGTCCGGGACTTTAAGGGTACCACATGCAGTTCCAGAGTGTGGCGCCACTTTGATATCCTGCAGTCCCTGGAACATGGGGCCATAGTTGAGACCTATGGACACCAGGTGGTTATAAAATTCCTGCTTCTCAATGGGATTGCTCGTGAGATTTTGGGCATTTAGCAGCATATCGCGCATATGGGACCACTGTTCTTCCTTGGAATCCTTTTCAAACTCATTCGGGGTCGGGCTTTTGTAAACTGTCATCACGGAGCCCGTAACTAGTCTGCGTACTGACTCTCCAGGTGGATTGGAATAGACAGTAAAGTCAAACATGCCATTTAGATGACTATGTGGACGGAAGGATAAACAGACTTCTGTTCCGGTGGAATCTTCAGGAATAGCAAGCCCTGTTTCGAACATGACATTAGTGAGCTCAAACCCCTCAAGGAACTCCTTGTCTGTAGCCATGCTAGCTGCAGCCTCTAGTACCATGACCAAATAACCCGCAGCAGGATACAAGCAGGCTGCAGCCACATTGTGATCGGCCAGCCAAGGGTTTTCGGATACACTCAAGATATTACGCCAACGGGGCTCAAACGGATTTTGACCGTCTACTGCCACCCCGAGAAGATCAGTTCGAGGCTGGTGGCGCAATCGCACTGCCCTACTGGCGGTGTTTTCGTGCCAAAAGCTGTTGTCATGATTCCAAGGATATGAGGGCATACGTGGAAGCATGTCTAGTAAGACACCCTCTCCTGGTATAGCATTCGCTTTGTCGATCTTCACCGGATGACCCGTCGCCCAGAGAAACCCGGCAGCCTCGAGTGCTGTTTTCTTGGCATGTTCACCTGCAACCAGGATGGAGCGATAAGGAAGCTTACTAGCCAGTCGTGGGTGAATCCCAGAGAGGATTTGCTTAATTGGTCCTTGCAGCGTTTTGGAAGGTCCAATTTCGAGTATTGCACTGTATTCAGTATTCCAGGGTTCGCTGGTAGGCCCAGTAACAAGATTGTGCAATGCACCGGCAAACCGGACTGGCATCAGAATGTTATCCATCCAGTATGCTCGATCAAGTCCATTGTTACCCACCGGGCTTTCCGTTACAGAGGAGTACATCGGGACCCTGGGCACCCCTGTACGCCGAGGCAAATTATTCAACACTCGCTCCACATCGGCGGTGATGACCGCCATCTGAGGAGAGTGATAGGCGACCCCAGTACGCAACAGACGTGAGAACTTTCCGGCTGCCATGAGTTTCTCGTGTAGCGTCGAAATCTCCTGGACCGGCCCAGATAGCGTGACACTAGAGGGGCTATTGATGCAGGCAATAGTCACTGAGTCACCACATCCGGATGTAGCGAGATATGAGGCTGCATCCGATTCTGAAAGACCAGCTGCGAGCATACATCCCTCGGTTCCAGAGCGCGATGCTACTTGACTTGAGAGTGCTCCCCGATAGAAGGCCACATACATTGCATCTTCCTGGGATATAGCACCGGCAGCATATGCAGCCGCTAAGATATTGTCAGAGTGATAACATTAATGATAAGGTTTTGGGCATAGGAACATACCAACTTCACCGGAGGAGTGACCAACTACTGCAGCAGGCGTTATACCCCAACTATGCAGGAGATCGACCAATGCAATCTGTATTGCCGTACATAGGGGTTGTGAGTATCGAGGATCTCCAATAGTCTCTGCCGTTGCGGACATGAGCATGTGGCGTATGTCAAACCCTGCCCCACACGCGTCCAATACCTTTTGACTGCGTCGAATACTGGAGCCAGAATCTGGATCTGACAACAATTCGCGCGCCATTCCAGGTCTCTGCGCACCTTGACCAGTGAATACAAAGGCAATCTTCTTCCGAGAGGATACACGCTCTCTTGGAAGATCCTGCTGGCGGCGAAAGGACTCAACGAGTTTGACCCATGTATCAGCCACAACGTAGCTGCGGAAGTCCATCTGGGATCGCCGAGTGCCAAGAATATAACTGAGGGTCTCCATAGATGTAACCTCGCCTTTTTTGGAGCCAGGCTTTTGTTCGAGAAAGTCGGCATATAATTTGCCAACCCGAGTCAGCCCAGCTTGATCGTTCGCTGAAATTGCAAAGAGCTGAAGCTTGGACTCGCCAGCAGCGAAGTTACTCTGTTCTGTGGATGTGCTCCGAGAAGAGTCAAACGATGATTCTGGGAATGAGACGGTAATGTGAGTGCCTTGGAGACGACACGATGCCAAATAATGTAGTGCATCTTCGAGGATGACATGTGCGTTTGCGCCACCGAATCCGAATGAGTTGACACTGGCTCGCCGAGGACCAGCCTCGGGCCAGAGCAGGTTCTCTCTTGGGAGCTTTATGTTCCATTCCGATAAATGAAGCTCTGGGTTGACCTGCTTCAAGCCCGTCACAGCGGGAATTACAGCAGACTCTAGACACATGACTACCTTGATCAGGCCAGCCAGTCCAGCGGCACCCTCAGTATGGCCGACATTGGGTTTCACACTACCTACATATAGTGGACCGGTTGATCTCCGTGCCGTCCCTATCGTCTTTGCAATCGCTCGCATCTCTATCGGGTCCTGGACAAATGTCAGTTCATCCGTCCCTAGGAAGTACATTTCGGATACTTACACCCTGCGGCGTTCCGGTACCATGAGCCTCAAAGTAACATGTCTCGGACAAAGGCAGCCCCGCCCTTCGGTAAGTACTTTCGATCAGAGCAGCCTGGGCATCCTCACTCGGGATAGTCATACTCGTCGTTTTACCATCATGGTTAACCCCCGTGCCCCTGATAATGGCACGAATCACATCACCATCCCTGAGTGCATCCTCTAAACGCTTGACGACTACCCCGGCAATGCCTTCCCCTCGTCCGTATCCGTTAGCTGACTCGTCAAAGGTGTGACTAATGCCGTCTGGCCCTATCATCCGCATTGCCGAATATTGTGAGACCAGATTAGGGTGCAGGATGAGATTCGTTCCCGTAACAAGAGCCTATACGACGTTCAGCTTCGTATCCCGTCTCCCTTCCAATTCCCAGTATGATAAAATACCTGGTCGCATTCGCAAGCCTTTATAGCCTGACAGGCCAAGTGTAGGCCGTACAGGCCGGAGGAGCAAGCAGTGTCAAGCGTTAGGCTAGGCCCTTTCAAATCGAAAAACCACGAGATACGATTCGATAATATAGCCTTATTGGTTCCTGTAGCTGCATGATCTCCCAGGCAGAATAAGTCCCCTTCAGCAATCTCCTGGTAATCGGCCGTCATAACACCGCTATACACGCCTGTTCTACTGCGTGCGAGCCTTTCCATGGGGATTCCAGCTACAGATGTCAGTGTTCGCTCGCATGATGAATGAATAAGCTCAGTTTTACCGTTTTCGAAACTTTCATAGGCCACCTCTAGGCCAAGGCGCTGCATTGGGTCCATGGCGGCTGCCTCGCGGGCAGTAACCGAAAAGAAGGGAGCATCGAAGGCGGACACATCATCAAGAAAGAATCCCGATTTTGTGCTGATCTGGTCGTACGAAAGAGATTCAGTCAGGATAATTCCTATCGTAATGAAAATCGCAAACTCACCGCTCCATGTCTCTGCCGGGACGGATGGTACCACGCGTCCGGGTTGAAGCTGCGATTTGGGATGCGACTGTGGCCGCTACGACCATCTTGAATCATTTGCCACAGCTTTTCAGGGGAAGATGCACCGGCGAACCGACATCCCATTCCCACGATCGCTACTGCGCCGTCCATTGCGGCGTGGTGTGTGTTGTTGAATGGCTCAGGTTATTTGCTGACAGTTGTAGTGTATGGTCTGGATAGCTTCAATACCCTGCGTAGTAGGTTTTGCTAACCGGGAGGATGTTTCATAGATTGATTCTTTGTGTTTACTAGGTAATTGTATCTTGTATTGCAAGCCGATTTGTTGCGGGATATTTTGGTTGGACTAACTACAGATTGCATTGCCACATTCACTCCAAGGATCATGACCCCAGTAAAAATTCTCCCCTTGTTATCATTAGCGCCGGAATTCAGTAAGGCTGCAGAGTAAGAAAGAGACGAGTTGGGGAATCACAGAAGCATTCATGCTGTTCGGAGAGCGAAGTGGAGAAATGCATACGGACTCCCGGATGCAAGGCCAGGGGCCAGGGGCGCTATACCTTTATCTCCTTAAGGAATGGCTAGTATAAATTAATCAGGAAGGATCAATTCATCTTACTAGGACATATTTGTAAGTAATGATTAACTAACGTATTCTCACGAGATAGGCATTCCGAAACACCATATTAAATGCGATGAATTATCTCAACCATAACTCGATTTCATTTCAATATTCGTCTTTTAAGTATTGATAAGTAGCTTGAACAAAGTAGGTAAGTTCGATTTAAATCAATCAAAAGGTAAGAATAATTTATTATAAAAGTCTCCTCAAGTTGCGCGAGAAATATCCTAGGATATATATCCACGAAGATAAGCCATAATATATCCTGAAATTCCATTATCGGAGTAGAACTCCCGTATAGAGTAGGTAATACGCCAGGGGGATTCATATAGTAACCTCGAATCAATTTTTATTGATTTAATGTAGTGTTTTGGGGTGCGCATCGCGTGGAATACGTAAGTTATATTACTTCTTCTCTACAGTCTATAAACCAACAAATCAAAGGAATTGCAGCAATTTTTAATTTAACTCGAGGCCGCTATGCCCCTGCGTACTCAGAAGAGAATACATTTACTAAGTTCTCACGATTACCACAATATCAAATGAGTCAAATCCCCGTTCCCACCTCATGGTCGTGTGAAATGGTAGTACTTGGGCTTTCTTATGTCTTAAATCCCCTCTTGAAACACAGATATCTGAAGCAATTTTCTGCTTGAACGCCTCTCTGCTTTCGTCGTTCACTATCATAGCCAATCCCTGAAAAGGACGCTGAAGAGCCTCTGCACCGACAAGTTCTTCGACAAGGAGACATTTAAGTGGCAGATAACCATTTATCATTCTCCGTCCCCGACTCTGGAGAAATCAGAATCCAATAGTGATAGGGGCCGTATCTGCATCTTAGAGAGCCCAACATAGTTTCCAGATTATCCGAAGCAGTAAACAAACTAGGTCATGAAATGCGGAAACATTACACGATACGGAATAACCAATGACGGGCAATAGTACGTATATATTTTAGTAACCAGCAATATCGCGATTTGTATTAATGCGTGTCAGGTTGAAAGATGCTGTAAGATTTGTTCAGCCCTGGTAGATACATGATGCACATGCTGCGCTAGATCCCCCTGGAGCTGCTTGAACACGGAGACCGATACACCAATAACAGCCGACCTCGAGCCTGTCCGTGCTTCTTTCAAAAGAGGAAATGGCTTGTCGATTAAGGCGGAAAGCTGCCCTAACTCCCCCTGCAGGACTTGCACCGACCCAACTAGCCGGTTGTGGCTGTCTCTGTTGATTGGCCCCGTGGCCATGGAGACGGCTGCGGCATAATTGGCGATTAAATGAAACCATATCATGTAGATTATCATCAGAGTTTGATAGTCCCCACCCACACAGTGACAATCTAATATGTTGGTAACCTGGCCTAGTATCCTCCGATTGGTGAAGATGACGTCCCCTATAAGTAGCTCGGCGTTCCTGGAGTTGTCGATCATGGAGCCACCCTCGGGTGCAGTGAACCCTGTCGGATCTGCATTGTTGCTGGCCCGGACCTCCAACAGAATATTCGTTACACGGGAAAGGCAGGTGCACGAGTCTTCCAGTGGGTCTTCGGGTTCACCCGGTAGGCTATAAGTGAACAGCGACGACGGGGGCGACAAGGGTTGTGAAGTACTTTGTAGCTCGCTAATATGCGGTTCCCTCTCATATATTACCGGCGGACTGGTTAGCCCTAAATTATGCAGGTACCATTCGGAGTTCACAACTGGAAAAACCTGGGGGTGGTACTGGATATGATCCGCAGGAGTATCCCCAGATGCTCCACATGTGTCCCCCACTTGAGACGAAGAGTAATTGACCTCTGATTGCATGAATGTCGGGTAATACATGAAGGGATTCCCACAAAGATCTATTGGAGGGCTGGATAAAACATTGGTTGCATTGCAGTGCGGTGTATTGGTGGACGATGCAGGACGACGGCCGTATCGATTGGACGGGGCATATGAACAGGAGAGTGCTCGTTCCTGACAGCGGCCACATCCTGGCCTCGTTGTGTCGCATTTAACTTTTGCATTCGCACAGTTTGTGCAGGTGTTGCGAAACTTTCGTGGGGGGTTTGATTGCTCGGGCATGGTGGCTCGTGTGATATCGCTGACAGGTCAGGCTTGATGGGCGAAATAGGGACATAAGGGGTTTAAAGATCCCTGTTGTCCAGGTCTGAGAGGCAAGGCCCTATGCTTAAGTAGAAACCAATATATTTCCGCTGTTTTATCAGTGAATTTTGATTGGGTAACCTATAATACAATTGAAAATAGTGAGAGAAAATACCTAATATATTAAGTCAGTTACAGAGCATGGTTTGTGTTGTTCATAAAGTGTCACTGGTGTAAGCAGGCTTGGTGGGTACTGATAGCGTGCAATACAAGCCTCCCTAAGCTATAAACAGGAACCTTGGTTCTTGTTGTGGTCTAGTGGTAAAGTATTCCATGCTGTGTATTGTGTTGACAGGTACATAAGGCCTTTTTCTTGAGTTCCTTTGGGGCTGGAACCCGTAATATAACCATATTGTAGGTACACACTGTAAGGTATACTTGGTGTGATTCATCCATGGATTAAACGGTGGATTATATAATATGGGATTTTTGGGTATGTCGATCCATGGATGGAGACGTGTCAGATCTACAGTCCCCCCCCGCCTTCCAAGAAAATCAAAATTCAACTTGAATGGTTCAATTAGCTTACCTTTATAAAGATATCTAGGCTAATTCTTATGTCTAGCCAGAGGCCGGAATCTGAATCATATTACCTTTAAATTCTAATAACAATTATAATAACACGTAGAGAGATATAGTAGTTTAGAGAGCCCATAGTAAATTATACTTTTTGGTCTACTTAGTCTTGAATATCTACACCTTAATACAACAATAACTGGAAGGGGGACTCAATTTACACTCTTATATAATATAGTGTGATCCCAACATAGTTCGTGTCTATGGTTGTGAGCACCTACATATATATACCACTGCAACTAAGTCAATCCTATGATTTCAAGTTGATTTGGTTATGACCTTTTGGTCTATAATGGGTAAATGACAGAGCAATGGGTGATGAAATATCAATAGCTTAGTTATTTCCCCATTGCTAGAGACTCCCTTCAGAAAATATTTAAAATCCTATAGGTAGGTAGCTATATAGATTTTGAGTACGGTGGTGATTTATATACCTTTTTAGTATATAGTTTCTAGGTCCGAATAATAAATATCTTCTTTAATCAAGTGGCTGATGTAACAATATAAGCAATTCTCTTTAGAATGTTTCTTCTAAATATTTCCGCGTATTTTATTAATATTATTATTATTTAGTAAAGTAATCTGGTTTATTCCTGGTTTTTGGTGGGGCGGCAATCACGGAAACTCTTGCAGGAGCACTGTAAACCTAGCATGGACCCAAAAATCATGGAGATTATAAGCAGGTTTGGCCCCCGGGTGCCCCGAGCTGGTAGCTCCCGGAGCCCCTTAGGAGCTCCGGTATTGTTCAAATGTAAGATGATGGCCCGAAGCGTATTTTTTCATGTCATTTACAATACCTTGCATTTTACTGCACGAGCATATCCGAAATCGGCTCTGCCACCGCTTACTACATTCATCTTACCACTCGCGCTATTATACACTTTTCTCTTTCCTCTTTTGCGCGTTGAGGTTATCTAGGTTGTATATCTCTTCTGGATAAAATGTTGTTTCTAGCTACCTAGGTATAAATGCGAAAATTCGAAGTTCTCGGTTAGAAAAGCGGCAGAAAATCGATTATGTAACCAAGGGATGTTCCGACCTCGCTTCAACACACGCTAGTTGGTGGATGGGCACGGCCCCTCGATATGATGCGGCCCGCCTACGGCCCCCCACAATAATAAATCTGAGCTAAGATGTTACTCTGTATTGATCGAGCCAAATTTGAGAATGGCAGTATCCTCGTGAGACAAGTTTAGATGGGTCTGCGCATAAAATATCAGTCACTGAGAGTGTGTCCGCAATAGGGGCGTATTTCGCATGGGCTGTTATAAACATCGTCAGTGTATGATAGGAAATTTGGTAATTGAGCGGGCCAAAAGAACATGGGGCCGTTTTGAAACAGATAACTGAGCGACGATCAAATAGTCATTATTGTTACGACATACGCAATCGCTTATTATCGCCACTCGGGTTTGCTTACGTTGATGATAAGCGTATATGCTGACACGGGCGACACAGCTGAATCACTCTGCTGGAATATATATCAGGCTGAAACACCCCAAGTACTGACATTCGGAGAGCGAAGTGGGGATCTAAGAGTAGGACTTGCAAAAGGATGCCGCCCGGAGCCCGGCAGGATTTAGTGAAAGTTAGGGAGAACCATTCGCAAATCGAGGTGCATACGGCATGCGAAATACTGGGGCCATGGCAACGCTGACTTCATTTTCAATGAACATTCGTAGGCCACAGGAACTTGAGAATGGGATGGTGCATGACCCGCTAAGATTTCTTCGGGCCGTTGATATCAATTGCAATAATGGGAATAGAATAGTATTTGATTTTATACAAAATTGTTTGAAAGGTGTTATCCAAACACTCATAGCTCGACTATACAGCACGCTCATCTCTCACATTTCTATCCAAGTGTTGTAGATTGTTGAAGCTTGATTCTTGCAAGTTTGTCGACCCACACCTTGAAACAACCTACAGGACATTGATAGGTGCTCTACAGAGCCTGTATAGCTTCATGGATCCCTCCATACTCTCCTCGGGCATTCGAGCCATGGACAAAGTCCACCTGGAGAAGGTTATGTCTTCCACCAACTCTGACAATGTTAAGGCTGAGGTCGGACCTCCAGCTATCTCTGTCTATGAAGTATCCGACACTGAATCCGAATCCAACGACCACGAGGCCTTCAAATGGCTTGCCATTAATTATCCTAGCCTCGGTATGGATGATGTGGAAAGTGTATACCTCTGCACACCGATGCAGGAGGCTATTCTGGTGAGCCAGACACAAGGCACGAATGACTACATCATCCAAGCTTCAATGGCTGTGCATTCATTGAATGGATATCCAATGGATATAAAGCGGCTGGAGATGGCGTGGACCAGTATCGTGCAGCAGTCGTCGATCTTGCGTACTGTCTTTGTGCCATCGACATCAGGCAAAAGTTTGTTCTGGCAGGTCGTACTGAAGACAGTTGCGACAGATATTCGACAAATCGACAATGAATCGCCTGAATCCTTCTTTGCACAGCAGCCGGAGTGGGAAAACGGACGCATTGCTCCTCACCGGCTGACGTGCTGCAAAACTCCCGACGGACCTGATTATGTCAAGGTTGAGCTGCATCACGGTATTGCGGACGCTGTCGCCAGCTTGACAATTTTCCAAGAGCTTATGCGCCTTTACGACAATCCTCAATCAGAGCTCCGTGGACCATCATTCCATCAGTTTTTGCAACACCTCGACAATACATCGACGGATGGCAAGCTCGAACACTGGAAAAACTTTCTGCACAAAGCACAGCCCTCCATATTTCCACGACTGCAAGTTGGTGAGCCCCCTCAACGGCCTGACAAGAGACAGAAGCTTGATGTGACCCTCCCCCGTCAGGGCATTTTTGGACTAGTCTCCAGCTCCCCTGTCAGCTTCTCTATGTTCTTCCATGCCGCTTGGTCTGTTCTACTACGCGCATATCTCGGCCGTGACGATGTCATGTTTGGCTATATCTCGTCTGGGCGTCACAAGGTTCCTCTTCCCAACGTATCTGAAGCTCTTGGTCCTTACATCAGCATCATGGTCAACAGAGCTCAAATTGAAGGATCCTCAACATTAGTGCAACTTGCCAATGAGCTGAAGAAGAACGTTTCCAACAATCTTGCACATGAGCACTGCTCTCTTGCAAGCATTCAGCAGCAAATGAAATCAAATGGAGGTCTGTTCAATACCTTGGTAGACGTCCAAAGACGCCCCAAGCTCACGCAGACATCCTCCGAAATCTACCTCGACCTTGTACATGTCCACACAGTCTCAGAGTATGATATTGTGCTCAATGTGGAGGACACCGGCAGCGAGTTGTTGGCCAAATTTGACTATGCAGCCAGACTGTTGAGCAAGCCAGACGTCGAAAACCTGGCGAGCTGTTTTCTCTCTATCGTTGATTTATTCTTGAAGAGCCCTGAGGGTAGGATCCACGAGATGGAGCTCTCCAGTTCTCTTCATCGAACTCAAATCCTGGAATGGAATGGCTCTCCTCTCACTGTTGCTTCTGCCTGTGCCCATGATCTTATAGAGGCTGAAGCTGCCCGTCACCCTGATGCAGAGGCTCTATGCTCCCTTGAAGTCTCGTTGACATATCAAGAGCTCAGCCACCTCAGTGAAAGACTGGCAAAATATTTAATTTCTGCCGGTGCTGGACCAGGGAGTCTGATTCCATTTTGCATGGAAAAATCTCCCTGGGCGATTGTCACGATGCTTGCCATTATGAAATGCGGTGCCGCCTTTGTCCCAGTTGATCCGGCTGCTCCTCCAAGCCGCATGAATGGTATTATCTCGGACACAAATGCTAAGTTAATTGTTACCTCGCATGCTGCATTACCACCACTCGCAGATATTACGAAGGAACCACGGCTTGTTGTTGTGGACGAGGCCTTGTTGGGCACAGTGCAAACTGCACCAGAATTGCTATTCAATCTCCCAATCGTTGGATGTCAAGAGGCAGCATATGTTCTCTTTACATCGGGCTCTACTGGCAAACCCAAAGGAGTCGTAGTGCCCCACCAGTCGCTGTGCTCCAGTATGTACCGCCACGGGCCAGCGCTGGGAATAAATCAGACGACTCGCTCGCTCCAATTCTCCTCATACACCTTCGATGCGGTCATCGCAGAGGTATTAACGGTACTATTGCATGGTGGTACTGTCTGTGTGCCGTCGGAAGCCGATCGCATGAATAACATTGCTCACGCCATTAACGAGATGAGCGTCAATTGGGCGATGCTAATGCCAACCTTTGTTCGACTCCTCGACCCATCCTCAATTATGACCCTACGTACACTAGTGCTTGCCGGTGAAGCAGTCGATAGGGATTGTCTGGATACTTGGATTGGAAAGGTTAACCTATTCAATGGTTATGGACCGACGGAGACATGCGTCGTGTGTGTTGCTACGTGTTTCTCAGAAGATCCAACCACATCCCATGACATTATAGGGAAGCCGGCAGGTTGCAGAGCCTGGATTGTCAACCCGACAGATCACAATATTCTTTGTCCAGTTGGTACAGTTGGAGAACTTATCATTGAAGGACCTAACGTCACCCAAGGCTACCTCGGTGACCCGGAGAAAACCTCCAAGTCTTTCATCGATGCGCCAAATTGGTCATCGGAGTTCTTCCCGCATTTATCCCAGAGACCATTCCGCTTCTACAAGACCGGGGACTTGGTACGGCAATTGAGTGACGGTTCTCTCAAGTTCAGCGGTCGTATCGACAGTCAGGTCAAGGTGAACGGTCAACGGCTCGAGCCAGGAGAAATCGAGCATCACGCCTTGCTGAGTAACTTTGTCATGCAGATCTTAGTTGATGTGCCAAAGTCAGGGAAATTGCGCGGTCGTTTGGTTGCTGTTCTAGTGCTGCAGAATACCCATGCCGCTGGTGATGCATCCTCATTGCAGCTGGTGGCAGAAGAGTACTGGGCTTCCGCAACCGGTCTACTGGCTCAGCTGTGCGACAAATTGGAGTCTACTTTACCTGCATACATGGTTCCAAAAACCTGGATCCCAGTCCAGCAAGTTCCACTTTTGCCATCTGGCAAGATGGACCGCCGAGGGATCAAAGAATGGTTGGTAGACATGGACACCTCAACATTCCAGCAAATATCCGATCTGCAGAGTATCGAATCGGGGACTCCGTACAACTCGGAAGAAGGAATATTCTCAGATGAAACAGCCAGGCAAATGCGGACGATATGGTGCGATGTTCTAAATGTGCCAGAGCAAAAAATTGGGGCTCGACGGCCCTTCTTAGCTTTTGGGGGCGATTCCATCTCGGCCATGCGAGTCGTATCGAAGGCTAGATTATATGGTCTCACTGTTTCCGTTCGAGACATACTTAAATATGGGACAATCAATGACCTTATGCCCTATGTTCGGCGGATCGATAGTTCCCAGCAAGCTTCCCGAAGGCCGCAGCAGGTTGAAGGAACTCCCTTTGCTCTGACTCCCATTCAGATGTTGCACTTGGATGCAGTTCCCAGGGGTACAAATCACTTCAACCAAAGTTTCTTGCTGAAATTGAAGCAACCGACTGAGCCGGATGCGATCCAACGTGCTGTCAGTTCTCTGGTTCGCAAGCATTCCATGCTACGAGCCCGTTTCTGCATACAAAGTGATGGAAAATGGTGGCAGACAATCACAGACAGCCAAGAATGGCGATTCAACGTGGTACAGAGCCAGGAATCAGAATCACTCAATCTGCTAATTCCTCTCTTCATGGCAAGCCAAAAGTCGTTGAATATTGAGCATGGTCCTGTTTTATCCGTCGACCTAGTTGCCCTTGGAGGCGAAAGGCAGTACCTGTATATGGTCGCACATCACCTAGTGATAGACCTAGTATCCTGGCGTACTCTCTTCGATGAGTTAGAGGACGAACTGCGGTCGCAAAAGTCCTTATCCCCTATCCCTCCTTCCTTCCAGAACTGGGCCTTTGCGCAATATGAACAAGCTGCCAAATTTCGAGCTCCTGATGTTCTACCCTACAAGCCTCACGCCCCTAATTTTGAGTACTGGAACATGTCAGGTAGACCCAACTTGTATGCAAATGTGACATCGAAAACATTTTCCCTCGACGATGAAACAACATCCATTCTCATGGGAGCAGCTAACAACGGCTTGCGTACTCAGCCCGTTGAGCTCGTCATGGGGATCATCCTGCACGCTTTCCATACAGTATTCTCAGACCGTTCCGTTCCCACACTTTGGACTGAGACGCACGGTCGCCAGGGTTGGTCTGATGATCTTGATCTTGATGTTTCTCGAACTGTGGGCTGGTTTACGTCCATTTATCCCATCTGTGTTAATTCTGATGGATGCACTGATGTCCTGCAAACCATCCGACGGGTCAAGGACGCAAAACGCAACATTCCTAATCACGGTCTGGATTACTTCACCAGTAGGTATCTGGATAAGACAGGCAGGGAACTTTTTCAGAGCGATAAGGACATGGAAATTCTGTTCAACTACCAAGGCCTCTACCAACAGCTAGAGCGCGACGACTCACTGCTGTCCAATGTCTCCAGATCTAAGTTCGACTTTCCATCTGATGTTGCTGAGGATGTCCCGCGACTATCTCTGATTGATATCTTCAGTGGTGTTGAGAATGGTACTTTTACAGTTACGTTCACTTGGTCGCCAGATATGGCCCGGCAAGAGGACATTAAGAGCTGGGTTACTGACTGCGAGTCCTTGCTGCAATACGTTGCTCGCAGCACTGTCAAAGAGCCACTCGCATCTCTAAGTGACTACCCCTTGCTACCTTTCACCTACCTGGAACTCGACAACTCGTTGCAAAATCTCACTCGGCAATGGAGCCTGACAAGTTTGGACGAAATCGAAGATATATACCCTTGTTCTCCAAGTCAAGAAGGTATCATCGTCAGTCAGATTCGTCAGCCAGCAAGAAATTTGTACAACTTTGAGACTACCTGGAAAGTCACCTCGCGATCTGGCACGCCTTTGGACGTCGACCGACTTGAAGCTGCATGCTGTACTGTGATTCAACGCCATCAGATCCTACGAACCGTCTTCTGCGAGACCGATGTGGCGGATGCCCCATTTTTCCAGGTTGTGCTCAAAAACGCTGCCATCCTCGGTCTTCCGCTGTCTCGTTCTAACATTCATCCTGGGGATCTCATCATCCCAGCGCCTAATATCTTGAGCTCCCATCGTTTCCCGTATCACTGGACACTATGTGAAACTTCAGATGGGGTGTACTTTAAGTTCGTCATTAACCACTGCCTGCTTGATGGCTCTTCTCTGGGTCTATTGGTACAAGATATATACTCTGCATACGATAACATCCAACTTTCTGCAGCCCCCCTGTACAGCAGCTTCATCGGACATTTGCTCGGAAACCCCACTGATGCCTCATATACATTCTGGAATCGTCGCCTGGACGATGTTGGTTGTTGTCATTTCCCAACATTGGCTGGGGAGGGACCTACAGAAGTTTCCTTCGACCGTGTCGACATCCCTTTCACCAAGGATCAGGTCGATGGAATACGAAAACTTTGTCGGGAGCTCGGAGTCACCCTGGCCACTACCATGAGTGCTATCTGGGCACTGGTTTTGCAGGCTTATATTGGGAACGACGCGCAGACCATTTGTTTTGGATACATGGCATCGGGCCGAGATGTTCCACTCTCTGGTGTGCATGAGATGATGGGCCCTCTTCTGAATATGCTGGTACAAAGAGTGGACTTCAATCCACTGATGAGCGTTTCAGAATTGCTGACGCAAGTTCATAATAGCGTCGTAGCCAGTATCCCTCATCAGCATTGTTCGTTGGCCAAGATTCAAAGCAGCATGGGCCTCAAGGGTGAAACACTATTCAACACCTTGGTCAATGTGCAGAAGCGCACAAAGACAGACCTCACTCAATCCGAACAGCCAATTCAAATGATCATTACAGATTACCATGATCCTGCTGAGGTAAGGCACATCGCTTTTTTCCCCCTGGGTAAAGGGACTCGCGCAAGGTAAATATTTTGCTGACCATATTCTACTAGTTCGATCTCATTGTCAATGTGGTGGACACATCTGAGGAAGTAACTGCGAATCTGCACTTCTGGAACTCTTGTATCGCTATGTCACAAGCCCATGATGTGAAAGAAACATTCCTGAAGGTCGTGGACTCGTTTCTACAAAGTACCTCCACGCCTGTTACCCAGGTGGATCTGCTCGCTGAGCACCACCGTCGCCAGCTTCTGGAGTGGAATCCAGTTATACCGCATTCTGTCGATTCATGTCTTCACCATTTATTTGACGCACAGGTTGCCCATCGTCCCGATGCCCCGGCTGTTTGTACCACAGGCTCAGAGGGAAATTGGACATATACCGAGCTGGACGACCTTGCGAGTAGACTGGCCAGTCACCTCTCATCCCTGGGAGTAGGGCCAGAGGTGACGGTGCCATTTTGCTTTGATAAGTCGCCATGGACAGTAGTGGTTATTCTAGCTACATTGAAGGCTGGAGGTGCTTGCCTTGCTTTGGACCCGCTATATCCAATTCAAAGATTGCATCACATGATTGACATGACAAAGGCAACTGTTGTTGTCACTCAGGAACACCACGCAGACAAATTCCGAGACGTTCAATCTCTGTCAATTATTTCTGTCACCCCCGGATTATGGGACCGCCTTGAGTCTCGCTCGCTCTCCGGTCATCCGGTCAAACCAAATAACGCTGCGTTTATCAATTTTACCTCAGGGAGTACCGGCGTGCCTAAAGGCAGCGTGCTCGAACACAGATCTATTTGCTCTGCATTGTGGCACCATCATAAGCTAGATCCTGTGGGAAAAGACACTCGCGCATTACAGTTCTGCTCCTATACATTTGATGCGAGTTTTGCTGAGATTCTCCTCACCCTGTGCTATGGTGGATGCCTTTGTGTTCCAACTGAGGATGAGCGTATGAACAGACTTGAAGCAACAATTACAGATCTTGATATCAACTGGGCGTATCTCACTCCAACAGTCACCGGGCTTCTAGACCCCACTCAAGTACCGAGTCTCAAGACATTATGCCTCGGTGGTGAGCCTGTACTAGACAGCTTAGTGCGCAAGTGGCTTCACAGGGTACGAATTATCGCCACTTATGGTCCCTCCGAGTGCTCTATTGCGATATCCCGCTCTGAGGTGCAAAAGTTCGGTAATGGGCAGCTGGGCCCAGCCTCTGGTGCACTACTCTGGATTGTCGATTCTATGAATCCTGACAGATTAGTACCCATTGGGTGTCCTGGCGAGCTGCTAATAGAAGGCCCTCTGGTGGGCCGCGGCTATCTCCAACAAGACCACAATGATGCAAGTTTTGTCGTGGATCCCCAGTGGGCCAAGTCGTTCCCAATCGCTGGTCTCCCGTCTGTTGGTCGCAGGATGTACAAAACAGGTGATATTGTTCGCTTTGTGGAGGATGGGTCAATGGTGATGCTGGGGAGAAAGGATGCACAACTCAAGATCCACGGACAGCGCGTTGATCTTGACGAGGTTGAGCACCATCTTACCGTGGATAGCGAGATTCGACATGCGGCATGTCTCCTTCCTAAGGGTGGTACTTTTGCCGGCAAACTCACGGCAGTTGTCTCCACAATGGAACTTGCCGATGCTACATTTGGAGTCGTCAACAATGGCATGGAGGTGATGCAAGGTCCAGACACACAAAGCCGAGTATTGAAACTACGATCTTGTCTCGAAGAAAGAGTACCTGTATACATGATTCCCCGCGTCTGGGTAATGGCCAAAACAGTCCCAGTGACATTTAACGGCAAGCTCAACCGCCGGGCATTGCTCCACATGCTCGAGACAGTTGATAAAGATACATACGAGGCTATTCTGTCTATCGACAAAGAGGTTATTCAGACTACCGGTATGAGTGCCATGGAGGAGCAACTGCGCGATGCTTGGGCCCATGTTCTCAATATCCCTAAAAGCCATATCAGCCCCAGTCGATCTTTCTTCAGCCTCGGTGGTGACTCAATTTCGGCTATCCAAGTATCCGCTCGCCTTCGTGGCCAGGGCATTGGGCTTTCTATGCACGACATCATGCAGTACCGCTCAATAACTGAGATTGCCAAATATGCTCGGCGTGTCCAAGTCTCGCCTGTGGCTCTTGCAGACGAGTCCCTGGGAACTTTGTTCCCCCTGTCCCCCATTCAGAGATCTTACTTTACTAACATGCCTACAGAACAGGATCGGTATAACCAAAGCTTCATGCTTCGCATAAAACGGCCCATCGAGAGTGCAACTCTCTTGCAGGCCCTTAAAGCCATTGTTTCTCGCCATTCCATGCTTCGTGCACGCTTCAAGCAGAACGACGATGGACAGTGGGCGCAGGTTGTCACAGATGAGGTGGAGTCCTCACTGATATTCAATGTAACACCCGACATGCAGTCCCTTTACGACACGGAACCAATCCTTCAAAAGGCTCAAGATGGTCTTGACATCAGCAACGGTCCGGTCTTTAGCGCACAACTTCTTGGTCTTCAGGATGATAGCTGGTACTTATGTCTCATTGCCCACCATCTCGTCGTTGATTTGGTATCATGGCGAATCATTCTCGAGGACCTCGAGCAGGCCCTTGAATCCACCGGCATCACAACCCATACCTCAATTCCCTTTCAGTCATGGGTTGGTCTTCAGGTTTCGTACGCTCAGTCAGTCGATGGGCTAGAGGCTTTGTCACCCCAGAACGTTATCCATTCCAAGGTCGAAACCGCAGACTTGAGCTATTGGGGTGTTCCCGATGCAAGGTCATATGGCACAACTGTGTTCTCGTCATTTGAGCTTGATAGCGACACAACAACCGCCCTGCTCGGTGGCGCCAACCAAGTTTTGGATACTGAACCGGTCGAAATATTCATGGCAGCAGTCCTCAATGCATTCCACACCGTGTTCCCACAACGCAAAGTCCCCACTCTTTTCGCCGAGGGTCACGGTCGTGAGCCGTGGAACACAGATATCGATGTGTCCAGAACAGTCGGGTGGTTTACAACGATGTATCCCATTTGCATAGACCGAAAGTCCGCAGATCAGTCGCCTGTCTCTACTCTTCGACTAGTCAAGGACGCGTCACGAAATATCCCGGCGAAGGGTTGGCGCTATTTCACCTCCCGACACTTGACTCCCGCTGGTCAGAAAGCCTTTGCTGAACATGGCACCATGGAAATCCTCTTTAACCACCTTGGACAATACCAACAACTTGAGCGCGATGATGCACTTTTCGAGCAGGCAATACTTCCCTACGATATGTTTGACTTTGGCCCCAGCATCCCTCGGGCAGCATTATTCGAAATAGTCACTGTCGTCGATAAAGGAAAGCTGATCTTCAAACTGAGCCATTCCTCGGAGCTTAAACACCATGATAGCATTCAGCAGTGGGTTCAAGCATGCAGAAACAGTCTCATTGATGCTGGAGACAACCTTCTGCGTTGGAGCTTGAAAAAGCCTTTGCCTACATTCAGCGACTTCCCACTTCTCGCTAAGCGCTTGAAATACGATGATCTTGATCGTATCTTTGAGAATATCGGCGCCAATATGTCCACTGTTGAGAATATATATCCATGCTCTCCGATGCAGGAGGGGATACTGATCAGTCGTACCAGACAGCAAGGTCTTTATGATACGTACAATACTTGGAAACTCGTCCCTCGCTCTGGTTCCGACAGAGTGGATAAAGCCAAGCTTGGACACGCTATTGCCCAAGTCATTTCTCGTCACCAGGCTCTTCGTACGTGGTTCATTGAGTGCGAAGGTACTACACCTTACGTGCAAGTCGTGTGGAAAGAAGTTGCACCACCGATTTTCTACATCGACGCACCAACTGCTCAAGATTTTATAGAGCTAATACCATCTGGGAACTCAAATGATTCAAGTTACTCCAGGCTTGGCTATCGGTTTATAATCTGCGAGCCGGCGGCTGGCGAAACACTTTGTCGCATGGAAATAAACCATGCATTGATTGACGGTCTCTCCATGCAGGTTTTAATAGGGGATATCCTTCGGGCATACGATGGTCTATTGACTGCAGATTTCATGACCCCGCGCTATGGAGACTTCATATCCTATCTCGAAAGCCACTCTAGGGAGGCTGGATTGGCTTATTGGACTGGCTTGCTGGAAGATATAAAGCCCTGCAGATTGCCATCACTTTCCGACACCAATAGTCAAGCACCCGGCGTGTTCAAACACACACAGTGTGAACTTGGCAGCAGTCTTACCCAGCGGATTATCGAAATTTGCAAATGTCAGAATACCACCATCGCTAGCGTGGTGAGCGCGGTCTGGAGCCTTGTTCTGCGAGCTTATGTGGGAACAGATAGCGTTTGCTTTGGGTACATATCTTCCGGTCGAGATGTCCCAGTGCCTCAGGTTGAATCAATTATTGGTCCTCTGATCACCATGATGGTTTCAAGAGTAGACATCGATCAACAGATGCCTATATCAGACCTTCTGCAAAATATCAATGCCCGTTTCCTGGAAAGTGTGGCGCATCAGCATTGCTCACTTTCCCAAATCCTGCACGCGACCGGAGAAGGCAGGCAAAGAGGTCAGCTTTTCAACACTATGGTGAATGTACAGAAGAGAGGTGCTTCCATGGCACCATACTCAGCGACTATTGGTCTAGAGTTACTGGATGTTTATGACCCCAGCGAAGTAAGTCGTGCCCCAGCAATAGGTTGACTCTCGATACTAACTCACCATTGTAGTATGATGTTTCCCTCGACGTGGAACACAATGAAGACAATGTCACTTTATATCTTCATTATTGGACCAGCTTTTTGTCAGAGGAACATGCCCAGCTCCTGCACGATACTGTTCTGCAGGGATTGAAGTCTCTACTTGAGAACATCTCGGGTACAGTCGGCGATATTACGCTGTTCAGCCAGTCTCATCGATCTAGGCTCCGAGAATGGGCACCAGAGATGCCACAGGCTGTTGTCTCATGTGTACATGACCTGGTCGAGCAAAAGGTCCACGCCCACCCCAATAAAGAGGCAGTGACCACGTCAAATTTGTCAATGACGTACCAAGAACTGGACAGTCTGGCATCCTGTCTAGCAAGACACCTGGCCTCTTGTGGAGTTGGGCCGGAGGTCATGGTTCCCTTTTGCTTTGAAAAGTCGCCTTGGGCTGTTGTAGTCATGTATGCGATTCTCAAAGCTGGTGGTGCGTGCGTTGCTCTATCACCAGAATATCCCGACCTCCGACTAGCCAGCATCATCGACTCTACTCTGGCAAAAAATGTAATCAGCGATGTCAAACACGCAGAGAGGTTTGAAAAGCTTGTGGATCATGTGGTCGCGGTCGATGGAACGGTATCAAGAGTCTCTGACATGCTCCAATACTTGCAGACTCTTGATGGTATCACTACAAAACGCGCCCATCCTGACAATACCGCTTTTGTCGCTTTCACCTCTGGTTCCACCGGTACACCTAAGGGAATCATTCTAGAACACGCCTCAATCAGCACCAGCATCCACTATCAGGGTGCAACTGCACTAATGTCAAGCACCAGTCGTGTGCTCCAGTTCTCGGCTTACACTTTCGACGCCAGCATTGAAGAGATCTTTACCACCCTCGCCTTTGGGGGTACTGTTTGTGTACCATCCGAGTACGAAAGGATGAACAAGCTTCCAGAGTTCATGAAGGCACAGAAAGTGAACTTCGCCGACATGACACCCACGGTGGCTGGTCTTCTTAACCCCGACGAAATTTCCCTGGCTACTTTGAATCTCGGTGGTGAGGCCGTCCCCCAGAGCCTAGTTCGCAAGTGGTCTAGTCGCACAAATCTGGTTATCACCTATGGGCCATCCGAATGCTCTATTGCGTGCTCTGGAATGCTGGTTGAGACGTCAGAGCTCCCAGACGGCGCCCTTGGAAAACCAGCAGGCTCTTTGATGTGGATTGTCGACCCAAATGATCCCAACAAGCTCGCTCCCATTGGCTGTGCTGGTGAGATCCTCATTGAGGGGCCATTACTTGCCCGCGGATATATCGAATCAGGCCAGACCAATCAAGCCTTCCTCATGAACCCTTCGTGGACGAATTTCGTGCGCATACCCGGCGTGCATTCAGGCCGCCGCATGTACCGCACTGGGGACATGGCTCGCTATAACTTGGATGGATCCCTTATTTTCCTGGGCCGTAAGGATTCGCAAGTCAAGATCCACGGCCAGCGAATTGACCTGGGGGAAATTGAACACCATCTTCTACGTGAGTGTATTGGCCAGGCCACTGTGCTAATTCCCAAGCAGGGATTCTGGAAGAATAAGTTGGTTGCTGTCTTTGCGCCTGGGAATTCACAAAAACAGCCGAATCAAAGTCTTGAAGTTCTGACGACACCTGAGATGGCTCCACTGATCAGCGAGCTACGTATAAAGCTACAGGATCATGTGCCTGGTTATATGATGCCAAGGGCGTGGATTCCTATGGTTGCTTTGCCGGTGACGCCTAACGGCAAGCTTAACCGCCGTCAGATACTGACACACTTAGAGTCAATGGACGTGGGAGCCTGTGAGCGAGTTGTGCTGCTTGAACGAGTACTAGTTCCGGCCTCCCCTCTGAACGCAGTTGAGAAGCAATTTATCTCAGTCTGGGCAGTGGTCTTGGCTATTCCAGAGGCTATGGTAGATATTACGCAGCCCTTTTTCCGACTGGGTGGTGACTCTATCTCTGCTATGCATGCGGCTACTCAACTACGGTCCCAAGGGATACGTATTTCAGTACATGACATTCTCCGCTATCGTACAATTGCTGCCCTCGCGGAACTTGTGGCTCATACCGCACAGACAACGCCCTCCTTGTCACTTCATGGCGTAATTGAAGCCAATGAAACCAAGGATACTCCATTCCCACTAACACCTATTCAAACAATGTATTTCCAGGCACATCCAGTGGGCGAGAATCACTTTAATCAGAGCTCCCTTCTCAAGCTCAGGCATACAATTACTCCGACTCAAGCATTCACAGCTCTCATGACGCTCGTGCAACATCATTCCATGCTCAATGCACGGTTTGCAGTCAACAGTAGCGGGGTATGGTCCCAAACCATCGCTGGTGATACTTCGCAGTCGCTGCATTTTACATCTTCTGTCTTGACCAGCTTTGAGGATGCCAAAGCCTTGCTTTCCTCCAGTCACACTGTCTTGGATATCCAGCATGGTCCGCTCGTGGCTGCCAGTCTGATCAGCGTCAACTCAGACACGACAACAGACCAGTTCCTTTACATAGTGATACACCATCTCAGTGTCGATTTAGTATCGTGGCGCTTTATTCTTGAAGACTTGGAGAAGGTGCTTCTCGATCAACCCCTTGGTCCCAAGCCGTTGTCTTTCCAGGCCTGGGCGATAGCTCAAGACGCATACGCAAAACAGAACCTCCTTCCAGACAACGTTTTGCATTTCAACATTCCCCAACTTGATGATCAGCAAAATTACTGGGGAATGGCTGCCAGACCAAATGTATATGCCACAGTCATGGAGTCAAAGTTCACTATCGATTCAAACACCACATCACTCCTTCTTGGAAACGCCAATGACGCCCTACAAACTGAACCTATGGAAGTAATCTTGACACTCCTGCTGTTCACTTTCAGTCAAACCTTCCAAGATCGTGATCTACCAGCCATCTTTTGCGAGGGCCATGGTCGTGAATCTCCGCTTGATGCAGACCTTTCTAGGACTGTAGGCTGGTTCACGACCATGTTTCCTATTTGGATTCCCAATATTGACAGCAATGGCCCTCTTGGATCCCAATTCATTCAGGCCCTGCGGCTAGTGAAAGACTGTCGTCGTTTGCTGCCAGGAAAAGGCTGGCAATACTTCACATCACGCTATCTCAATGAAAAGGGCCGGATGGAATTCTCTGGGCATGATGATGCAGAAATTCTTTTCAATTTCTTCGGTTCGACAAGTCTTAAGACTCAGCGCTATGATATCCTGGAGGAAACTTCTTTTGATGGCGTATCTCACGTCAACCACAACTCTCCAAGATCAGCGCTGTTCGAGATTTCCGTCAATGTTCAATCAGAGAAACTCTGCTTCAGCTTCCAATACAGCAGAGAAATGAACCATCAGTTGGGAATCTCATCTTGGATAGATCGTACCCGAAGCTTGGCTGTTGACGCTGCCAGATTGCTGGGGCAAACCCCGTCAACTTCGACACTGGCGGATTACCCCCTCTTGGGTTTAAAGGATTATTCTGCACTCGATATCCTAGTTGAGGCGTTCAAATCTCAGCTAGACATTTCCAGCTGTGACACATTCCAGACGGTCTATCCATGTGCGCCGATGCAAGAAGGCATCCTACTGAGCAGATCACGCATAGCAGGCGTGTACAATGTGCAAACCATTTGGAGGGTCACTCCCTCGTCTTTCGGCGACAATGTGAATCTTAACCGCCTGAAAGCAGCCTGTACTCGTGTTATCTCTCGCCATGATATATTGCGAACACATTTCGTGGAGCATCACCGAAACCAATCCGCCTTTGTCCAAGTGGTGATGAAAGAAGTCATTCCTCCGGTCAAAGTGGTCAAGTTTAGCAGTGTGACTGACCTAGAAGCCGAGTCGAATGAAGCAATTTACCGAGTCGGCAGTTTGCCCTACTTGTTTACAATATGCCAGACCACCAATGGAGATGTCTACTTACGTCTTGACATTAACCATGCTCTCATTGATGGCACATCAACTCATGTTCTCATTCGAGATCTTCGGCGTGCCTACGATGAACAGCTCCCTGCCATTGGCCCTGTCTATGGTGACTTCATATCACACCTACACGCACTCCCTAGCGAGGATTCTTTGGCTTTTTGGACCGAGCATCTTACTGGCTTGACGCCATCCCACTTCCCTCAGCTTACCGGACTTTCTTCCAACGAGAATTCATCCTTCAAGATGGTCAAAGTTGACCTGACACAAAAGATGAGGGTCGATCTGCATGAATTCTGCAAGAAGCACAGTACAACATTGGCTAATGTCATGTCCACCGTATGGGCGCTAGTTTTATCGTGCTTTGTGGGAACTGACTCTTCTACTGTCACCTTTGGATACTTGGCATCTGGAAGAGGTCTTCCTATTTCTGGCGTTGATGACATATTAGGCCCACTGATTACCATGATAGTTCGCAGAACTGAGATTGAGCCTGATTCAACTGTGCTAAATATGATCAGCAATATGCAGGAAGATCTTACGCGCACCTGGCCACATCAGCACTGTTCACTCGGCGACATTTACCATGCTTTAAACCTAAACGGCATCCCTCTGTTCAACACTATCGTGAATATGCAGAGAGAAGTTTCCGGTATCGAAGCTGACCAGGCATCGATCTCTTTTCAAGTCGAAACGGGACTTGATCCTAGCGAGGTACTGGTACCCTGTTTTCAATTCGTTCAAGCTCTAATATTATGTTCCACTTCTAGTATGATATCTCCTTCAATATCCAGGATGGCAAAGATATTCAGCTTTCATTGGGGTACTGGAATCACTGCATTTCGGAGGCCCAGGCCAATGTTGTTTCACGCACAGTGGGCGTAATAATCTCGTCAATCCTCACAAATCCACATCGGCCAGTCTCCAACGTGGATTTTGCTGAAAGCTATGACATCCAAACCATCGAGAACTGGAACAACTCTGTCCCTGAGCCCATCGATCATTGTATCCATCATGCCATTGAGCTTCAGGCCAAGCTCAACCCCGACTCGCCAGCCGTATACTCCATTGATCCAAGTGTCTCTCTATCATACCAAGAGCTCAACAATATGGCCGATAATATGGCACAGTATCTCTCCACATTGGGTGTTGGGCCGGAATCACTCGTTCCTTTTTGTTTGGATAAATCACATTTGACCCCAGTGACCATGGTTGCTATCTTGAAGGCTGGAGGAGCATGTGTAGCTTTGGATCCATCTCAACCTCGCATCCGACTTCAGGGCATTATCAGAGACTCCGGAGCAAACGTTATTATGTCGGCGCCCCAGTACAGGTCGCTTTTCTCTGATCTTGTGCCTCACGTTGTGTCGGTGGAAGAAACTGGTTTCCACCAAGGCCTGTCTTCCCATAATAGTACAGGACCCACGAGTGCAGTTCAGTACAACAATCCAGCCTTCGTTATCTTTACCTCAGGGAGTACGGGGACTCCGAAGGGCATTGTGGTCGAGCATGGCGCTTTTTGCTCCAGTGCACGGTCTCATGCTCCAGCGCTACGCTTAGGTCAACGTTCCCGGGTTCTCCAGTTTGCCTCTCACACCTATGATTTGAGTATCGCCGAGAACTTGACGACACTTATGGTAGGCGGGTGCATCTGTGTGCCATCCGAGTACCAAAGACTCAATTGCCTAGCCGATGCTATCAATGCGATGCAAGTTGACTGGATGTTCTTGACTCCCACAGTCGCTGCTCTTCTTCACCCTGATGATGTTCCAACTGTGAAGACATTGGTTCTTGGAGGAGAGCATGCTACACAAAATAACTTTACAACATGGGGCAGTCGGCCAGGTGTCTGTCTAATCAATAGCTATGGCCCCGCCGAATGCGCTATCTGGACGAATGCCAATGTTCAAGTCCAGGCCAATGCTGATACATCGAATATTGGGCCCAGGCTCGGATGCTCTCTTTGGATTGTTGACCCTCGTAACCACCACCGGCTTATGCCAATTGGTGCTCGCGGTGAGTTGGTCATAGGAGGACCTACTCTTGCAAGGGGGTATCTACACAACCCCGTGCAAACAGACGCCGTGTTTATCCAATCACCGGATTGGTTCAAAGGAGCCTCGGGCATTTCTCAAAGCTTATACAAGTCTGGTGACCTGGCACGCTACAACCTGGACGGCACTCTCTCCATTCAGGGTCGCAAGGATACTCAAGTGAAGGTTCATGGTCATCGCATTGAACTTGGGGATATTGATCGCAATATTGCGCAGATCCCTTCCGTTGAACATGTCACTGTGCAGCTCCCAAGATCGGGCCATGCACAGGACCAGCTCGTAGCCTTAGTGTCGCTAAATGAACTTCCACGCAGATCAACCGAGAGCACCACACCACTCAAGATCATCACTCATCCCGACCACACAATGTTTGCCACCCCGATTCTAAATTCCATTCGGTCGCAGCTTGAGCAACAGCTCCCGAGGCACATGCTGCCAACTCTGTGGATTATCGTTGAACGGATACCACTTCTCTCCTCTGGAAAACTTGACAAGCAAGCAGTCAAAGCTTGGTTACATAGCCTGGATCAGGAGACATACAACCAAGCTCGGTCCCTCTCCCAATTTGAGGCCGACCCTTCTTCGGCTTTGCCTGAGACTCCTACAGAATTGGAGTTGCAGCAGATTTGGGCAGATGTGTTGAGATGCCCGCTCTCCTCTATTCCCATGACGCAATCGTTCCTGAGAGTAGGAGGTGATTCCATCTCCGCCATGCAAGTGGTCTCTCGCGCGAGAGCCAAGGGCATCAACATTTTTGTTCAGGATGTTCTAAGATTGAAAACAATTCGCAGCCTCGCTCGACAGGCTACTGATGTTGGCACTATCGCCAAGCCTGCTCATCAGGTCAGCCGATATGAGCTTCTTACATCCAAAGGCGAAGATTTGGACCGATGCATTGCCGATTGTGTGTCCCGTCTAGACCTCAAAGACTCTTCTGTCATTGAAGATATATTCCCTTGTTCACCTATGCAAGAGGGCATTCTGATCAGCCAGGCTAAAACTCATAGCAACTACCAGGTGAAAGCGCTGTTCAAGGTTTTGGTTGAGCCAACACATTTGGTAGATTCGGACAAACTGGAGCAGGCATGGGCTCTGGTTGCACAACGGCATCAAGCTCTTCGTTCTGTCCTTATCGAAGGCGCTGCTGGACAGGCCAATTTCCTTCAAGTGGTCTTAAAAGAGGTTACTGTTCCAATTCGAAGGCTAGACTGTGACTCGGTAGAGGACTTCAGAGGTTTGTCTGAAATCAATGCATATGCAGAAGATGGACCCCCTTACCGTGTTTCCATATTTAAGACCCAACACAATGAGGTCTACTGCCAGTTGGCCATCAGTCATGTTCTCGACGATGGCTCCTCGATGCAGGTCTTGATACGCGATATCTGTCTGGCATACGACAACATGCTTCCTGCAGGGCCCCCTCCACTGTATAGTAACTTCATATCATACATCAGGGGCCAACCTGCCGAAGCGAGTCTGGATTTCTGGAAGACGTATCTTGACGGCCTCGTGCCAACTCACTTACCGGCGCTGCAGAAGACGACAAATGAATCACCCCAGACTGCCGCCTTTGACTACATGCTCGAAGGAGAAAAAGTGGCGAAAATTCATGCCTTCTGTGAAAGGTTCGACATAACTGTGGCAGATATTTTCAAGACAGTCTGGGCTTTGATTTTGGCTTCTTTCCTCGGGACGGAATCAGTATGCTTTGGTCATCTCGCGTCAGGTCGCGATACTCCCATCCAGGATGTCCACAACATCGTTGGACCTCTTATCAATATGCTGGTCTTCCGTGCCAATATTATCAAATCCACCAAGGTCATCGATTTGCTTCAGGAAGCGCACGAGGGGTATATCAAGGCACTCTCCCATCAGTATTCCTCGCTCAAGGAGATCTCCCATGCCATTGGTTCTGGGCAAACAACTCTCTTCAACACGCTCGTCAATGTCCAAAGAGCAACGTCGGACTTTTTCGCTCATCAAGGTGATCTTCCTGCTCAGCAAACAATCACCCTTCGTAATGTTGATCTCGATGATCCCACCGAGGTATGTTATACATTCTTATACTGGGTACATAATGTCGCGTCTCTGTTCCTCTAACTGTTATAATTCATAGTACGACTTGAGCCTGGGGGTGATGGAATCCAGAACGCAGATCCATGTTATTCTGAACTATTGGACCTCGTTTATCAGCTCGGAGCAAGCAGCATCCATAGGGACAATTGTTCTACAAGTCATCGACCAGATTGTGGCCGATCCTTTCCGACAAGTTCGAGACCTTGACTTTTCTAATGAAACCGATATGGCCTTACTTCACCAGTGGAACCCGGTCGTTCCAGCAGACACTGGTTGTCTACACAAACTTTTCGAGAAGCAGGTGGCTAAGAAGCCCTTCGATGCCGTTGCTGTCGTGTCCGATAATAAGTGTCTAACCTACAAGGAGCTGGATCAGATGGCGAATCAGTTAGCGCACCTCTTATTTCAAAAGGGTGCTCGCCCGGATACCATCATCCCCTGCTGTTTTGAGAAGTCCGTCTGGGCGATTGTCGCGATGCTCGCTATATTGAAGTCGGGGGCTGCATGCCTTGCGCTTGATCCCACATATCCCTTGGAGCGCCTGCAAATGATGATCGAAGACACCGAAGCGTCATTTGTTCTAACTTCTCCGTCACACACCAGTCTAATGGCCGATGTCAAAGTGGAATGTCTAGTTGTTTCGTTCGAGGCTCTGAATACCTTGGCTCACTTCGAAAGCTCTCATGGGCCCCAGACATCCGTTGCTCCTGATAATGCAGCTTTTGTCGTGTACACTTCCGGTAGCACAGGCACGCCAAAGGGTGCTGTCCTCGAACACCGCAACCTATACGCAACATCGCGTGGCCTGGAATCTTTGAACATGACAAGCGAGTCCAGAGTCGCACATTTTGCTTCTTACGCGTTCGATGTCAGTATCGGAGAAACCGTTTTAGCATTGACAAGAGGAGCCTGCGTATGCATAATCTCCGACGAGGACCGACTAGGAGATCTATCAGGGGCATTCAACAGGTTACAGGTGACCTGGACAATGTTGACACCAACCGTGCTGCGCATGTTGGAACCCCAAAATGTCCCAAATTTGAGAACAGTTGTTCTGTCAGGCGAGCTTCTCACTGATGACATAGTGGCCAAATGGCACGAAAAGGTGGACTTGTTCAACGCATATGGTCCGTGTGAATGTGCTATCACCTGTTGCGCTACAGAGCAACTAAAGGCTGAAGATCGTGGCGTGAATATTGGACGGCCTTGGCAGTCGAATCTCTGGGTCGTGGATGCAGAAAATCACCATCGTGTTGTTCCCATCGGTGCCATTGGCGAGCTTTGCATAGAAGGCCCTCTCGTTGGCCGTGGGTATCTCAAGAACGCCAGCAAAACCAGCGCGTCGTTTATTGATGCATCTTCGTGGTATAAGGATCAGAAAAGCTCATCACGCCGCGCCTATAAGACCGGTGATCTTGCCCGTTGGAACGCAGACGGTACGATTAGCTATATGGGTCGCAAAGACAACCAGACCAAGATCCAAGGTCAACGAATTGAACTCGGAGAGATAGAGTACCAGATATCTGCGAGCGCGGGGCGTTCTGTCAAAGCTGTGGTCGCGACAGTGCCAAAGCACGGTATTTTGAAGAATCGCCTAATAGTTCTCTTGGACCTTGAAGACTGGCATTCATCGGTGCAATCGAACACTGCCGTACCCTTCATTCAAGACGAGCCTCTTCAATCGCTGGCACTGAAGTGTATTGCTGAGATTAAAGCCTCTGTGAAGAAGAACTTGCCCCGGCACATGGTTCCCAGTCTTTGGTTCCCTGTTCATCGAATTCCCACTCTGAAATCCGGAAAGACAAATCGCCGTCTCATCAGCGAATGGTTTGAGGCCATAGATCAAGCAACCTACACATCAATAATGGCTTCCATTCAAGTAGCCTCCACTGCTATACCGCCGTCTTCTGAGATGGAGGAGACTTTACAGAAGATCTGGAGCCAGCTCCTCAACTTGCCGAAGGATAGCATCAGCATGGACCAGAATTTCTTTGCTATGGGCGGAGATTCTGTGCTCGCAATGCAATTCATCGCCCGCTGCCGAGCCCAGGGAATTACCACCTCGTTGGTGGATCTCTTCCAGCGGGGTACTATTGCTGCTCTGGCCCCCTGCTGCACACAGAGCAGTTCGACAGATTTCTCCAACGACCCGACTTTGTCTCTGGTTAACCAGACTAGCGTACAGGAGGACGATGCTGTGCTGGAGGACTCATCCAAAGTTGAAAACATCTACCCTTGCACCCCCATGCAAGAGAGTATTTTGGGCGCTCAAACGAAGCTGAAGAACTCATGGTACGCCAATTGGGTGATGGAGGTGCATCCGTCGTCAGCTGATTCACGACCAATCGAGATGGACGAGGTTGCAAAGGGCTGGCAGAGAGTTGTCAATCGCCATTCCGTCCTACGTACTTTCTTCCAGTCTGGATCCCAGTCGAAGAAGCTCTATCAGATAGTACTGAAGGAGTTCAACGCCCCGATCTCTTACATTACATCAACCGCTCCTGATTCTGTTAATCCGTTTGATCTCACACCGGAGATTCCCGAGGATGGTATCCCGCCCCATCGATTGGTACTCGCCAAAACCTCCTGTGGAACTGTATTGCTACAGCTACAAATCAGCCACGCTATCTATGACGCAATTTCGCTCTCTGTGCTGTGGCATGACCTTCAGGTAGCATGCTCGGGAGACCTATACAAATCACCGGCACCGTCCTACAGAACCTTCATCAAATACCTCAGTGGTCTAGACAGACCGTCAGCAATCAATTTCTGGAAGAAGCACTTGGCAGCTATTCAACCATGCCAATTCCCATCTCTACTCGAGCCCAGCCTACCTACCTCCCAACAGACTCTTGGATCATTCGCGAGTGCTATTGTCCCCTTTGAAAAGACAAAGCAGGCTCGAGCATTCTGCAAACGTCACGCCGTAACGACAGCCAACTTGTTCCAGGCCGCTTGGGCCCTTGTTCTCCGCTATTTCACAGGCATGGATAGCGTCTGCTTTGGATTCATGTTATCGGGACGAGACGCGCCCATCCCGGAAGTCAACTCGGTGTTGGGACCTTTCATCAATCTAATGCCCTGTATGGTCAAACCTGGTCAGGAGACAAGTCTTTCAACCATATTCCAGGACTTGCAGGCGGATTTTGCTGAGGTGTTAATGGTATGTACTGGAATCTTCTTAAGAACCCAATGCCGTAGTCTCAATTTCATAGTCTTAATACTGACTGTTGAACAGAACCAAAATTGCTCCATTGCTGATATTGAAGCTTCATTGGGAATGAAGAAGCCTTTGTTCAACACATTCCTTAATATGCAACGTGTCGCAAGACAAGCGCCGTACTCGCAAAGCAGTGTTCAATTCCACGAGAGAAGCGGGTTAATGACGGACGAGGTATGTCTTCCTTGTTGCAAGAATGATTCTACATTCGCTAACACTCTAGTAGTATTCGATTTCTGTATATGTTGTGGATGCGGAGGAGGGAATTTCAATCTCGTTCTGTTACTGGGATTCAGTTCTCTCTTCATTCGGTGTCGAAAAGGTTTCCAGCGCTCTGTTACAAGCACTAGATCTTCTTTTCGAAAGCAACCCGGACGACTCGCTCTCGAAACTCTCCCTTGATTAGTGTATCTGCCAGTTTTGATCCGCTCTCCTGTTCCAGTGCGATGTTTCAGTCTTCATCCAGTTGGTTTGACTATTCAATGTTATCTAGCTTAGTCTAGTATTATATATATTTCAATATTTAACTGAAGTTATTGACACCCATTGCCGCCCTGATACACTATGTTTGACTAACTCATAGGATTCGATTGCTGTTCACGGTGAAGATGAACCGAATGATCGGCTTGGAGAAATTTGGAGACTTGAATTGACGCCAACCCTGTTTTTGGTGGGAAAATAAAGGTGATCTAGAGAAAGGTCGCACGTGATGTCACTGGTTGCATTTTATCGGGAATTGATACGTGCACACCAACTTACATAATTTTTGCACACCAATTTACGTAATCATATGATTATATAATGAAAAATATCATGTGACTATCACCTCATCTATCAGATTAATATTGCTATCAGATCAATATCGTATAAAAACCTCAATTCTTCCGCATTGGGCAGCTTCTGAACGTATGGTTGGCCTCCCCGCACCCCGAGCACCTAGCTGGCGCCTTTTGCTTCCTCTTTGGGCCCTCCTCCTTCCTAATTAGGCAATCCGCCCCCCTTTTCCCTCCCTTTTTTGCCTTTTGTGGTATATCGGGAGGTAAGATTATAACCGATTGGGTACCTAGAGTAGGCTTTATATGCCAAAATGGGTCGATCTCATCTAATAAAATTGACTGATTTAATCTGATAAGATTAAATAGTCGATGCTTACATGGTAGCCCCATTGAGCGAGTAAAATAACCAGTACATTCCCCAATTGGGCCTGTTTGTAGGGCTAATTCGCGCTGCCGATGAATTAATCTAATAGAATAATTAGATATAAATCCACGAATTAGATCATATAGCCGATTTATAGCAGCTATTTTGGGAATAGAGCACTTATCAGATTCGATCTTATCTTGGATATCATCTTGCTGCTGATTAATAACCCTATCTACAGCTGTGAATACTGTAGAAAGGTCTCGATTTGAACCATTTAGCTCCCTTTTTAGCTGTACGTGGGCCCCTTCCGAGCGTGAGGATGCTAAATTTCCAAAATGGGTAGTATATTGGATCCAAAATCGGATAAATTTCTCTTTATAAATTAGCCAAATATCTATCAAATAAAGGATTAAACCAGGGTTTATTATATAATCATATGATTACGTAAATTGGTGTGCAAAAATTATGTAAGTTGGTGTGCACGTATCAATTCCCCATTTTATCCATGGGTCCATTGACGTAGCGCTTACTCAGTGCTCAGGTGACTATCAGGTGACAGATGCTCCATGGACCCGAAGACCGTGGACCCGTGGACGAGCAGTTCGCTTATGTCATTCTCAGTGAGCGGATCAGGGGCCGTGCTCAGTTCTGCCCAGTGAGCAAAAAGCGGCAAGGTCTGGCACTAATACGAGGAAGTCGAGTACGAAGGACGAAGTAGAGTTGTATAGTCAACAACATATGCTATCTTTGATGGCAGTATCGAGAAGCATAATGCATACAATTCTTAAAAAGTTCTTGAAAGAAAAGCAGTGAATTCAAGTATAGCACAAAATCACGGGTCAGCTATAGCATTCTATATATCTACATACTACTATAGTCCTTAGAACAAGGTAAATCATATTCACACGAAGTAAAACTCTGGATCAAAGACGGCAGAAAAGAAAAGAGATCTCGCCGAGAGGGCATAAAAAAGACGATAAAAGGCCCCACTCCATTCAATAGCACAGCAAGGACACAAGTCGGTACAAAGCATGAACGCTAGGGGAGAAAGATGAGATGGCATGAGCAGGCAATTTGTCTATGACACAGAATCGAAGTCTCAGAGCAGGGTATCAAGGTACGCATGTGAGAGAACCGGGGGGATGGGGGCGGGTTATTGGTGCGGAGACACATGCTTCAATGGGTTGTAGCCTTGGGCTGTTTATTCATGATACACGGGCGCACGCAATGGGAAACGGGGGGAGAAGATGGGGGAAATAGATATGGATCAGACATTGGACATTCAAACAAGGTAATAAGGGGGGGTCATTAAGTGGTCATCATCACGGAGTGCTCGGTACGCTCCTTCATTCGCATCGCTTGTGCTTCCAGAGAACGGGCCATCAGTTTCGTCACTGCGAGAACATGTTAGAGAATTGTTCTGGTTTGAAGAGGGGGGGGAGGGGTGATTTTTGAAACTAACCTGGCCAGACAGCAGCTCGTTCCAAAAGACTGGCTGTTGCAATCAATATTTTACATCCGTATCCGCCTTCCACAACACTGGGTAGCCGTTGCACGACACTCAGTGCGGACATGGAATTGCCATTTTGGACCTGGCGCTGCATTTTCATCTCAATACTCCCAAGGATCTCCTTGATCTTATCGACCAGCTTGCAATCCTCTTCTTCGAGTAGCATGACTCCAGGTACTTGGGTCAAGTCGGCATCGTCGCGGCCTAGGATACCAAGGTAGGGCCCCACCCGTTCTTGAACAGTGGTGATCCACTCCGCCAGCACCTGTGCACAATCGAAAGCACACATCGCGCACTGGATGGGTAGTTCGCGTGAAGAGAACTCGGCAAAGGTATTACCAAGACGATCCGACATAGAGATGGAATCCGCCGCATAGAACGCCGCTTTGCGCAGGTGCTTTTCACGCTTGGATTGGCCAATCTTGTAGATGTTGGACATAGTCTGCATGGGTTCCTCTTGTGTCGGTGTCCTGGAGATGGCTAAGTCTGATACTCCTAGATCGGCAATAGAGTCTCGTCTCGTATCAAGATGACCAGTGAGGGAGGGATCCACAACGTCGTTGATTGCAGCATCTGGGTGCTGGAAAATATCAGTGCCGCGTGCGAGCTCATCCGCCATGCCGTTCCAATCGCGTTGCCAAAATGCCTCTTTGCATCGGCCTAGGTTGACAAACAAACGAACATAAGCCAAATCTAGGAGAGGGATGCTGTCTGCAGACAAAGGTCCAGCCCCGAAAGGATTCGGTCGCTCTAGGCTGTGGACAGGGTTACTGGCCCATGCCGCTTGCCATGCCCGTAGAGCGGGCTCGATGTGGGATTGCATAGCATCGGTCTCCTGGGCGGTCCATTGCCGGCCCATGTGCCTTTGGCGGGTTTCCCAGATGTAGTTGTGTAGCGAGTAGATGAGAACCAGGCAGCCGAAGGTACTTGGGCGGTTTTCAGAATTAGAAAGATCGTCGGAGCTGTAGAAGAGGTTTGCCGGTTGACTCTGCTCTCGTTGGCTGGCAGTCAGAAGAGACGTCAAAGCAGCAGAAAATGACAAAGTCTTCTTCGAGGCTGTTTGGCCGCCCATCTGCTTCCACGCCTGCGGTGATTCAGCCGCCCAAAGATCTTCTTCGCAGGGAAGGTCAAGGCGGATTTCCGAATTTGTGAGTGCAGGTGCATGGTTGTATGCTGAGACAAGAAAGCTGGAAATAACAAAGATAGCATAGAGGGTACGTTTCCGCTCCTCTACAAGCTTCCAATTCAGCCAATCTCGGCGCTCTTTCGGTTGACTAAATGACGAGGACATCCAGTTTTCTGCTTCACCGGGAGAATCATTTCCGTTGTTACCAGCAGTGAGATGATCTTGCGGGAGGTTCTGAGCGTCCAGGTGATGTGTTAATTCTGCTGCACGTGCAAGGCTGACCAAAGCAGCGCAGTGCGTGCTAGCAATGTCTGCCGACGTCTTGTCACCGCAGGTGTGGCCGTATATCACGTTCAAGAGCATTGCCTGCACCAGCCAAAGCGGGGTATTGTGTACTGAGTTATCGCGGGGCGAATGTGAACGATTCAGGGCAGCAGACATGTCGGCCTTTCGTCGTTCTTCTAGGTACAATTGGATCATCTTTTTCGCGGCGTCGAAGAGATCCTTGGAGTCGGCAGATTCGGATTCGTACAGGGCACCGATAGCCGCCATGGAGAGGATTAAACAACCCCCGCCTCCAGCAACACCGGTCGAGCTAAGATTGAGGTGTCCGCTTGGCGTGCGCAGGTTGTTCGTGTACTGAGGAGCTTGGAAATTGAGAGTGGGGATATGGAGAAACGGGATATGGGGATGGAAGTAGGTGATGTAGGCCGAGATGTACCGCTGCAAGTCCGAGGTGCTAGGCAATTGACCGGAACTGTTGAAGCCAGTCGAGCGGGCGAGCAGCTCACGACTGTTTAGAAGTCCACTTGCGGGCTGGGAATACTTGCGATGATTGAAGCCAGTGGGGGTCGACATGCTGGCTAATAGAGCCTGTCGTGTGGAGTCTGTAAATGTATCCGTTGAGACTGGTGAATGTTCATTTCGAAGGGCACTATTCGCGAAAGGAAAGTTGAGAGGATTAGGAGATTCACCGTTGGCTGCCAGAGAGGATGAAAACATACTCTGCGAATGTCCTCCCATGATGGGTTGGCCGACCGAAGTCATAGATGGAGGGGTGGCATACGTCTCAGAAAACGGATTCTGCGCCATTAGAGACTTGGGCGACACTGTCTCTGGGGGGATCCCCAGATCATTCAACGTTGTTGGGGAAAAATCGAGCGCGAACTGGTTGGCCGTATGGTGCGCAGGGAAAGGGTTGTGCCAACCGTTGGAGATGGGAATGCGATTCGGGCCATCCAGCATGGCCTCGCTGATTCCGCTCTGGCTACCCGTGCTTATTGCTGATGGTGAAGACTCATCAATAACCGAGTCGTTGCCCATACCCACGCCGGTTTCAAACCCGTTCATCCAGTCAAAGTGCATATCTTCATCCATCATTGGATCCGCGGAGGGTTGAAGTCCGTTGTGATAATGACCGAACGGAGACGAGGGCGAATCGTTGAAGCCTTGTGGGGACCCTGCAAAGTGTAATTGCGCTGGATTGATGGTGCTACCATGACCCATGAGCATACCATCGATACCCGTATCAAAGCTCCCATACACGGGAGCAGTCCGAAGTCCTCCGGACATGTCCATGGGAAGTCCGGAAGTTTCGATCTTCGCGAGGCCATTCATCGAATGATGT